GAGAGAGAGAGAGAGAGCTGGTTCGGAGTTCCCTCCCGAGCCCTAGGCTACTGCCCCAATCAAAGTCCATCACCTCAGTTCAGGCAGTCTGCCAACATCATCCATTCCTCATCAGGCAGTCAGCAATCACTATTCAACAGTCAAGATGTGGTGTCGCTGGCCATATAAGGATGGACGCAGTCTACGTCCTCTACTCCCGCTTTATCCCAGCCCAGCAATATGTCAGCCATGTCATGTACGGGAGAGACGAGCTATATCTGAGTACCAACCAAGGGAATCCCATCTCATAGCTGACCTTATTCCCATGATCAGACGGCTCCAATATGGTTACAATCGTGCGCAGAGATTCCGCACCGAGAAGATCTCTTTTGGAGGCTCGCTCCACAAACATCAAAAGTCAAAAGCCTCTAGGTGAGGTACAGGCCATCGACCCCGCAATCTGATGATGTGGAGTGCATCACGGGCACAACCTAGTCACACTTCGGCCCGTTCTCCACTGACTCCAGTTCACGAATTGACATGGGAAAAAGGGGAGATGTTGATGGAATTTGAGGGAGGGATCCCATTCTTTATCACTATTCGCGACACGCCTTCAGTTCCGCTGTCCTCTCCACCAAAGTACTGCTGCCTTCAGTACCTCCTAGCGTAAGGCTGACCACACGTTTGTTACACCGCATAATCTTGACTGGCCCAGTCAGCCTCCTCTTCCTCCTCCTCCTCCTCCTCCTCGTCCTCGTCTCTCTCTCTCTCTCTCTCGCTCGCCTGATCACTCACTCATTCACCAAGACGCCAAGAGAGATGCGGACCCATCAGTCAGCCATCACCATGGGATACGAGGCGTGGGATGAGCCGAGTCGTGCGGTTCAATGGACATGAAACCTCGATGCCCAGTGGCCACGCACGTGAAGCGGGGTGCCCTGATGTACGTCTGACTGTAGCTTCGGCCCTGCATAACGTTCGCGGAATTTGGGAATCTCCATGTGACAAGCCTCCTTCTGGGACTGCACTATATGAATGAATCCTCCCTCGCACATGTCCCTCCTGGCTGTGGTCCATCTCTTGGGTCAAGCCCCGACTGCAAACCACATCATTCACCTCCCTGTACCCCCACTACCCATCAGCCCCAGATGGCAGCCAACGGAGTCAACGGCCATGGCGATTTGCCTGCCCTTCATACTACTCCAGAAGACTTCCTCAAGCATGACTACGACTTTATCATCATTGGAGGAGGCACCGCAGGATTAGTGGTCGCTGCTCGATTGACCGAGAATGAAGACCTCAAAGGTGGGCGACGTCGACGAATCGATTAAATCACACAGAGGCAGAGATCAACAGTCTGACTGTTCCATAATAGTTGGTGTGCTCGAAGCCGGGACCTGCAAGTTGGGGGATATGCTCGTCGACTCGCCCGTCATGTTCATGCAGACCTTCAATAACCCAGACTATGGTGGGTGGTCCCGATATAGATAGCCTCTATAAGGCAACCTGCTGACATGGCTACACCATAGACTGGGGATTCATGACCGAGCCACAAGTAAGTGACTAGATCTTTCCTGGCTTAAACAATTTGCTGACTCTGGAAATCTACAGACGGCAAACAAAGGCCGACGACACCACATTCCTCGCGGTAAAGCACTGGGTGGATCTTCCGCAATCAACTACATGATGTGTACGTGATCTGATTGCCGGATCGACCACGAAGAAGCTGACAACAAGACACAGACGTCCGTGGCTCGAAGCAAGACTACGACGACTGGGCCATCATTGCAGAGGATGAGGGATGGGGTGCCGACGAGATGATGAAATACATGCGCAAGCACCAGACTCTCGAGCCCATTGACGACAGCGTGACTGAACGTTCTACATACCCCTTTGTGGGCGAGCACCACGGCACTTCGGGGCCCGCGAGGACCTCGTTCAATGACTGGCGATTGCCCATCGAGGACGACTTCATCAAGGCGTGTGACGATGCTTGTGGATTGGACAAGAAGCCTGTAGACCCATGGAGTGGCGATCACATCGTAGGTGCTTTTTCTATCCAGGAGGTCTGTCACTCGTACTGATGTGACGACAACACAGGGTTTCTACAACACTCTCGGCCTTGTTGCTCGCAGCGGGCCTAACAAGGGCCTCCGATCCTACGCTGCACGAGGATACTTTGCTGCCAACGCCCACCGACCGAATCTGCACGTGTTGACTTCTGCAATGGTGCAGCGAATCGAGCTCGATGGCAATACCGCCACTGGAGTCACATTTACGCACGGCGGGAATACACACACGGTCGCAGCGAAGAAAGAGGTACTCGTTGCGGGAGGTGCCATTCAGTCACCACAGATTCTCGAGCTGTCGGGTATTGGTGACCCTGAAATCCTCCGTGCGGCCGGCGTAGAGCCTCTGATTGAGAACCGAGCTGTCGGCGCCAACTTCCAAGACCACGTCCTCACTGTAGGCTGCTGGGAAGTCAAGCCGGGCAACATGACGCTCGAATCCATTCACAACCCGGCCGTGATGGAAGCCGCACAAAAGCAACTCGCCGAGACGGGCGGCGGTCCCCTCACCAGCATCTGCTCCATGCAAGGCTTCTTCCCCTACAAGCAATTTGCCACGGCCGAAGAACTCTCCACCGTCATCAAAAACATCCAAGCCGAACTCCCCCACCTCACCCCTTACCAGCGCAAACAATACGAACGCACCATCGCCCACCTCCAAGACGACGCCTCGGCCAACCTCCAACTCGTCCTCGTCCCCAACCACTACGGCATGGAACAAGGCATCGAAGACCAATCCCGCGTCTTCCCTCCCCCCGCCGACCCCATCAACGACCCCCAAGCCATCTCCGCCGCCATGTGCCTCCAATACCCTCTGAGCCGAGGCACAGTCCACATCAAAACCTCCCTCGCAACCGACCATCCCGCCGTCGACCCGGCCTTTCTCAAAAACGAATCCGACGTCGACGTGCTCGCCGCAGGACTCAAAATGCTCGGCCACGTCGAAAATTCTCCTCATTTGCGCGATAAAATTTCTCAACGCCTTTATCCTCGTCCTGGAGCAGATATGTTTTCTACAGAAGAGATGAAAGATGCGGTGAGAGAGATTTGTATGTCGGAATATCATGCGTGTGGATCGGTGGCGATGGGGGATGCGACGGATACGAAATTGGTGGTTAAAGGGACGAGGAATGTGAGATGTGTGGATGCTTCGATTTTTCCGAATCATGTTTCGGGGAATATTGTTTCGAGTGTTTATGCTGTTGCGGAGAAGGCGGCGGATTTGATTAAGGAGGATTGGTTGTATGGGGGGTTGAAGGGGGTTGTTGCTGCTGCTGCTGCTTGAGAGAGATGTTTAATTTTATCGTGATTGGACTAGTGGATTTGTTGAATTTCTGTCGATATATTCTCTTCTTCCTCCAACTACAGATTCTCATCGCTTCCTCTCTCTTTTCAAGTCGTATACAAATACCCCGGCACACAATCCCCCAACTCCTCAATTTCCTCCTCCGTCTTCCCACGCACCCAAAAATCCCTCTCCCCAGCCCTCCTCTTCCCATTCTCCCTCTCCAATCCCCAATGCGTCAGCACACTCCCGCCCAACAAAAACACCACCAAATACGCCAACACCACCCCATGCCCTTCCAAAAACCTCGGCCCACTACTCTGCGGAAAAATATTCGAAGAGACAATTCCATTTAAATTTCCCCATCCGATAAAAACTCCCATGGTGACTCCTCGTTTATAACTTCCCGCGAAATTATTCGATCCCCATGCAATGGTGTTGGGTACACACGGGTAAATTCCCATGGCGGCGAGAAATACTCCGGCGTATTGTACGTTGGGGTTGGAGCTGCCGAGGAGCATGGAGAAGCCTGCGATGGCGAGGAATGAGATGTAAATATTTGCGAGACCGCGTTTGCGCGTGTGGTCGGCGTACCAGCCGACGAGGACGGTGAGGAGGGCTGCGGCGGCGTAAGGGGGAACGCTGAGGAGATTGGTGAGAGTGGTGCTTCCGGATTTGACGAAGCCGCTTTCGCGGATGATGGTGGGGAGGAAGAGACTGAAGGCGTACAAGGGCATGTCGCAGCCCATGTAGATGATGCAGTAGGCCCAAGTTTTCCAGTCGCGGAGGGATTGCCAGAAGTATTTGAGTTGGAATTTCTCCTCTTGTGCTGCCCTGCTACTCTGTGGGTTGTCGGCGCGTAGGCGGACGAGGACGCGTTGACGATCGGTGGGGGAGAGAAAGGTGGCTTCGGTGGGGAAGTCGTGGACCATCCAGTAACTGGCGATGCCGATGAGGATGGTTGCTAGGCCTTCGAGGATGAAGATCCTGAGAGAAGGGAGAAGATGTATTAGCATATTAATAGAAGAGAACAGAAAGAAAAAAAGAAAGAGAAAAAGGTACTAACCAAGCCCAACCCGCCTTCCCACCAACACCTCTCATCTGTATAATCGCCGCAGCCAACAACCCTCCAAACGAACCCGCCAACGCGGCCGCCGAAAAAAACACAGCAGCCCGAATCCCAAATTCCGACCTCTTATACCAACAACTCAAATAATAATTCACTCCCGGAAACAATCCCGCCTCAAACATTCCCAAGAAAAATCTCGCAGCCGCTAACCCCGAAAAATCGTGTACGAGTCCCATACACACCATACAAATTCCCCACAATAACATGATGAGGGGTAAAAAAATGCTGGGGCGGAGTCTTTTGAGGAGGACGTTGGTGAGGGGTTCGAAGAGGGCGTAGGAGATGAAGAAGATGGAGAGGGAGGCTTGGTATTGGTTTTGGGACATGTGCAAGTCGGTGAGGAGGCCGTCGATTTTGGCGTTGCCGATGTTGGTGCGGTCGAGGAAGGAGATGAGGTAGAGGAGGGTGAGCCAGGGGATGAGGTGGAGGTCGAGTTTACGGAGGAGTTTTTTGTCCTGTGGTGGGAGGGTCATGAGGGTTAGTGTTATTATCCTTTTATTTGATGTTGTGCTTGTGGGTGTGTAGAGTAGAGAGGGAGGGGAGGAAGATGTCCAGAACGGGAAACAGAGAAAGAGAAAGAGAGACAGATGGTTATCGCTTACAATTGCTGCTCGCTCCTCATCGCTTTTGCCTGCATCCGGGTCTGTAATGTCTGGCACATGGCGAGTGGCGTCGATGTTCTTCTCTTCATGAACAGGCGTGCGGTCGCCCTCGCTATGGTAGCCCGCGGTGAGGTCGGACTTTTCCATTATGAGGGCGTAGTAGAACACATGAACAATAAAGTATAGATCCAAAGGGGAAGGATGAAGGGAAAGTTGGCGGAAGAGGAGCAGAAAAAGAGATCAAAAGGAAGATTGAGCAGTGAGTGACATTTCCGTACTGCTGTAGCTCTGTTACCTTAGGTGCTCTTACATCATTACGATTGGAAGGATTTATTATGCTGTGCCATTGTGCGGGTAATCGGCAAGCACGAATAAAGTGCTTCGATCATCCTTTGCGTGGTCGGTCAAGAAATGATTGGCAATCAACCCAAGCCACATCAAGCATATCAAGCTTTTCTCTTGTCAACTTCCCTTCTCCACACTAGCTCCACACTCCACACTTTATTATCCATATGAGCGGGGGGAGGGGTATATCATCACTCATATCACTCATATCACTCATGTCTGATATGCTTTTAAATAAACTCGGAGATATTCAAACGTGTAACCGAAACTAAGTGCCAAGTACATCAGTTTAGATCAGTTCACTGCTGATGCTGAACGTCTCTCCAGTCTTCTTACCCACGCGAATACAACTCAGGTTGATTAGTAGAAACAGCTCGCGCCAATCTGCCGGCAGATCTAATCAGTCAATACCTGAACCTTAACACTTCTCCAATGCTCTTTTCGCTGTGCAGAACGGTGAAAGTCAATTAGAGTAGGATCCCACATGAAAGAAATCATCTACAAGTCCAACGTCAAGCGAGTCTTTCTGCGTTAGGTAGCTTGGCTCAAGCAGCCCTACCTACCTGACTCTCCTGAGTCTCGCCCAGTGAAGATCTGTAGCTTGAGAGCAAAATGGAATGTTTGAGAGATGTGCCCGTGCAGTGAACATCAGTGCTGAGGGCACAAGAGTTGGCGGTTGGGACTCATACCGCTGATCCGGTCACAAGCACAGGTACATTCCTTTTCATCATCGCAGTTGCTATTGCAGCTGCTTGGAGAAGAGTACACCTCCACCATCCAAGCAATGGAAGGTAGGTACGATTCGATAGCCAGTTCCTTCTGCACTCACACCTTGAGCCAGTGCAAGGGCGACAATGACCGGGTTTCTGGAGCTTTGGAAACGGAAAGTGTGCCATAAGAAGCATGCAACTGCCTAGGTAGTCTCATGGGGCCACTGCCATCAAGCGTCTGAGCCTTCTGGAGGTGGCGACAACATTCCCACATCATACTCAGACCAGACCAGCGAACATCACCATCTTGACCTGCAATCACTAAATCCCGGTGCAGTCCCATTGCAGACGTGGTTGCAGAGTACAAGGCGTGAGCTTGAGTAGTTGATCTGGTTGGCATGTCGTAGATCATTCCCGAGCAACTCATCAAGTACCTAGGTACGGTCCCGCCAACTTCCATCGCGTCTTGGTACCGACGCAGGCGAGTTGGGGTTATAGATCATACCTTAGCAACTTACTAAGTACAGTCAAGCAAGAAAGCGTAAGCAGCTTCGAGGACGACAACGACGACGACTCTTTTCTACCAGCCCCGAGGCGAGTACAACGCCGACCTGTTAATAATAGTTTTACTATTCTACCGGTTTTCGATCAGGCGTCCGAATATAGCGGCGACGATGTCGAGCTTGAAAATGACAACGCCAAGAAGAAGTGTTCGGGCGTGGCTGTTGCAGGAACATTAACGTAGCATTGCCGCGCGCAAAGCACCGCCGCAAATCGCCACGGGATACTCTTCCAAAAAAAAGCAGGTCGAGACTGGCAGAGCAAAGCGCGATATGCATGTTCTCTTCCCAAGGTAGAGGACCTTGTTCTTGCCTTGGCTGGTCCCGTTGTTTCGCAGCCATACTGGTAGTCGGGATCAGTTGCTCCATGTGCCACAAACATCAGCGCTCCCTGCTGAATGGGGACTCATATGGATTGTGGAGATGAAATCGCTGTGGGTCTGCGTATACCACAATATAAAAGTACCTCAGCTTCGTCAAAGTCGAACTGGATTGGTATCGACCCCAAGGCTTACATAACGCAATCTGCCGTGCGTGTCCAACAACGCCATGCTTGCTGGTCATGCGTTTGGTCCTTGCATTGGCAAGTCAGATGAGACCTGGAGCAGGACATCTATTCGGCCCTCAGAACTTGGTTCTGCAACGTACCAGTGCTCACTCGCAACATGGCTACCACTAGCTGAGATTCGGACCCAAATCACCCGCCTTGATGCTGTGGCTATATGATGGCCACTGAGTCTGTTTTGAGCTGCCCAGCTCTGGCCCGAAATTGATGAGCTCGACTGAATTCGCCCTTTTCGTGCGTACGACCCTGCCATTACCTGGTGCGCTTGGAATCTGATTTCTACCTTGCCACATCGGGCTAAGCGAGCGTCGGCATGGCGCTCATGTAGAAGCCAACGAGGATGACTTGCTATGGCCCTCAGCTTCACGACAGCGATGGCCGCGCAGCTGCACAAGAATCCACCCACTTTCTTGCTTGGTCCGCATTTGTAGATGCCCCTACAGATGGTAGACTGCCCTCATCGGCCGCTGTCGCTTTTGCAATTGAATCCAAGATCTTGATAAGAGCGGCTTCAGGCATTCTGCTGTTGGACTCGCTGCGCCTCTCTTCCGGATGTTCTGCTTTGACCTTCACGTTCACTCAGTGGTGCAACCCCTTCTACCCGCAGAGTCGGTGGTTTGGTGCATTGCGCTCGGCTCAATCCCAATGCCGCAGTCAAATGCGGCCGTGTATTCCTGGAGTCCGTCCATCGCACGGGAAGCTCTGCGTTGACCGAGAAGGGTCCGTTGGTTGCGGTATGCTGTTGCGGCATTCCGGCAGTGGTATTGACCGTGAGGTCTCTTGGTGGCTGCCATAGCAGTGCTGCAGATGTGCCAGCAGCTTTGGCCGGCGGCGTACTGGGGCTGCTGCACAAGTCGCGGTGACTGCCATGCCCCCTGTATGTCTTCCGCTGTGTCTTTTGGGGGGTTGCCTCGCGTGCTCTGCGAGTGGTGAATAGTCCTCCAGACAGTGATCCGTGGCGGGTAGGTTCCTTTGTCGCCAGTTCGCCGTTGACCGTGACCAGCGGAGGTCTGTCACTGCTGGCAGAAAGCTGCATCCTATCGCTCCGCCGGAACATTGTTGATATCCCTCTGCTCTGATGGAGAGCGAAGTCCCCCGAGCTTGATGTGCGCGACCACCTCCCCCCCCTCCCCCCCCTGGCGAGTCGGCCCTCGATTCTCAAAGGACAACACACCTGTGTCTCGTCCTGCAATGATGTCGGTATGCTCCTGCCAGATGTCTCCGAGATGCTGCTGTCGGCGGGGGTGGTGCTGTAGTGGGCTGCGCGAGTGTGCACTGGAATTCACTAAGTCCCCACTGACGTTGGGCTTGGGCTCTCCCCACACAGCCGTGCTGTGCATCGTTGACATACTTAATGATCGCAAATTCCTGCTTAGTCATAATGAAACTTGCAATGAGTAATTCGGGGGGGTAGTCGCCCAGCGGGCACCCTGGTAGAACTGTTACGAGCTTAAGTTTCCCCTTGAAGGTGGGTGGCGCAAGGTTTTTGCCCTTTTGCTTCGCATAGGTAACGAAGCATATGCTTTTGCATAGCAGTATGGGCCATATTCCCCAGTTCCGATAGCAAGATCGAGTGCTGTGAGTGTGCGATGGGAGGCCGCGTCCCGATCCCAACATTGCTGAAATGTGAGGGGCTTCGTGGTCTGGTTGGTCTGGGAGAGGCACATATGGTGTGGCTTGCTTGAGCGCTGACTCCTTACTACCGGCCCACGCCAAGGTCGTGAGTTCGATCACCAAGGGGAGCGCATCCTTTTTTGGTCCCATTGACAAGCGCGACATGAGAAAACTCCCAGCCAAGTGCTTTCAATTATGAGATGGCTGTGGTGTCGACGGTGCAGATTTCTGAACATGGTCGCAATATCAACGGGCATTGGAGCCAAGACGTTGAGCTCAGACCAGCTCCTTTGTTGTTTTCTCTCCGTCCTTGGTGGCGCGTAGTCCTGACGACAGTCACGCACCTTCATCAACCACCACTGCATCAGCCGCCCGCCATCGCGAGCGACAGCGACCGCAACACTAGCAGGACTATGTCAAGCCAGCAGACCGCAGAGCTTCCGCCACGGCCGCGCGGCGGCCACGACATCAACCTGACAGAGCGAGGCGGCAGCAAAAGCCCCCATTGATTCAGAGGCACGAGCCCGTCTAGTCGCCAATCTGACCGACCGCGAAATTGCCGAGCTCAAGAAGTACTTGACGCCAGAACTCACGGCGAGGCTCGCTCAAAGCAATACCACCACCACGGCCCCGACAGCTCCCTCGACTGCACCCACCAACACTGCCGCATTGGCAGCGCTGGCCACTACGACAGAAGACCTCCTTGCCAAACAGGCAGCTCAATTGGCAGTCCACCTCAGTTCCAGGAGCATGTGGAGGCGGAGAATAGCAAGTCTGCTTAGGCAGCAACAGAAGCGGGAAAGAGTCTCGCGACAGCAGCGATCGGGGTCTCCGTTGCATCACGCGCTCGTAACTGGTAAGTCGGTCATTGCAAACTCTGGATCGGCCGTGCTAACTTCGCCAGTACGCATGGCCTGAGTTTGGTCTAGCAGAAGCAGATGACTTTCCATGGAGACGACCGGGCCTCGTCCAGTTGAGGCTGATGACTTTCCATGGAGACGACGGGACCCCGTTCCGCAGATGCGGATGATTTGTCGCGTAGATCAAGGGTCTTCACGAAGAATCACCAGCTTCTGCTGGGCGAGGCCCTGCCATTTCCATGGGAAGTCACCAGCCTCTGCTGGAAGAGGCCTCGCCGTGTCTATGAGCGGTCATCTACTCTGGAGACAGCGGGGCCTTATCCAGCAGATGCAGACGACTCGGTCAGGAATTACAGATCAGCAGAGGCAATTGACCTTGCATTGATTCGGCAAGACGAGAGACGACGGAGCAGTGGCAAACAGTACGGACAATTGAGCCCTCTTCCCGGTGTTCGCCATGCGCCAACTCGGAACAGTGATGAAGGACACTCCAGAAGTTTCGATCATGACCACTTGCAGAACTTCTCCCGGCGTGGCGGAATGAGGCCAACTCCAGACAACCCACCCAATGCCATACGAACAGTGCCGAAGTGCGAGCAGACTTTTCAAATCTTCGCCAACAGGACTCGCAGTTTCCAAGACCCTAGATCAGGATGCTGTCAAGTGGAGAAGTTGGAGATGACGCCGTTGATAGTAAAGCAATTGCAGATACACCGTCAACTTGGGCATTGGACCGACTTCATCTGGTTCTTCTTTTTCATGCATTGCACGCTCTGGGAACAAGAGCTAATTACGCTCATGCGCAGTGCAACGATGCACTATTGAGGTTTTCCTGTCCCGCTACGCCCAGAATGACCGATTTGCAGTGAACATGCCCCCATCAACATGACCAGGCTGTAGATGATGGAGACGAGAGCAGACTACGGCTCCCGTCGCCGCTCTCAGCCCGCCCAGCGTTGACCACGGAGGCCAAGGGCTAATGTGGTCCACTATCCACTGCGGTTCCAGCAGCTAGTTGCAAGCCCACGGCGATGTTGCACCCCCCCATTCTTTCCAACTCTTTCGTTCTCTTGCACTGCTCCATCTCCCGCCGGCGCCATTTGCAGTTCGATGCTACGTCGCATCAACCCAAGCATCCGCCCATGCAGCGCGTAACATGGAGCGTCCTTTCAAGGAGCATGATACAAGCTCAAGTATGACTGCCGCCTACGTCCTGCTTGACATGGTACGGGCTACAACTTCTTCAGTTCAGTGGATTCGTCTCGAGAGACTCGATCTTCGTGGAACATGGAGCGTTACGCTGTGGCAAGGCTACAGAGACAAGATTTGACCTGACAGATGACACAAGAAGCACACATGTGCGGTAGTATACCTACAAGGTACTACTGATGGACGTGTAGGACGAGCATGAGCATCAGATGAAGTCGGGAGATTTCCACCGACATGACTAAGCCATAGCCTCTTGGCAGGAAGCATTGACAAAGGAGCATCGAGGCATTGTTGATGACGAGGAAGGTGGAGCCGGAAACATTGCGATCGACTTGGCATGTCAATGCTCCGTCAATACCAGCAGGTTGGGCCGAAAACGGAATGACAGACGAGCAACTTCTCTCGTGAGAGTGTGTTGAGGGAAGCCATTGGCTTGACTACCACATCTACCGTACGAAGTGCCTTGATAGAAGAATTACCATCTGTACGGTCACGATACGAGTGGTAATTCCACATGCCAGCACGATCGCAGCAACACAAAGGCCATAAAGAAACGACCACTCATCATTCATGACGTCTTAGCCTTTAATCCACCAACCTACACCAAACGCGTGGCCTTGCCTTATCTACCTCCTACCAGAACGAAAGAAAAAGGAATCTGAAGCAATCTGCAAGCATGCATGCCTTGTCGCCTGCCCGTTCCCGATAGATTTCCCCACGGCGCGATGCAAATAGAAACAGAAAGGGAAAAAGTAATGATGTCGTCGACCCGAACTCACAGATCTCACACACACAGATCTCGCATGTGCACTAGCTTGATTCAAGATCGGCCAATGAGCAGCTCAGCCCAGCTGTCATCGATCTTCCCACACGCATCATTCCTCCCGCGATCGAAGGTTCTTTGTGAGTTGCATAGTGTGAGTGCGTGAGTGAATGACGACGAAAAGCACAAACGACCGGACCCTTTCCCCGTCCGGCCCTTTGGTAGACCATACGTACGTACAACGGATGGGCTGCCCTGCTCTCGTATTCCTTGTTTCAACACACAATTCTACGGAACATCCTTGCCTACCTTTACCTTTTAGTCTATTCGAATCAGTTTTGACAATCGGCCGTGCTCCGCGATCGTCGAGCTGGTTGTACATATATATGCCTAACATCACTCCCAAGCAACGCAAAGGATCCTTTGATCATCCATATTATCCGATCAACATTGTGAACAAATCATCCACAACTACAGCTGCATCAACCAACAATAACAACAACGACATCACTACCACCAACAACATCACCATGTCTTCCCCCAACCAAGTCCCCAAATCCGGCGCAACCACTTTCGGCGACCGCAAAGGCTCTGGAACCTTATTCTCCGGCATCGAACACTACAAGCGACAAGACGGTCCTGCTGCGAAGCAACGCCGCGATAGCTTGAAGGATATGCAGCCCAAACCGGGATTTATCGCAAACTTGTGGAATAAGTAAGAGAGAACACTAAATAACCCTTGTCGTGATGATGGAGAAGAACTTTGTGCTGACTTGGCTCTTTTCTGCGCTATAGCACTTTTAAGGGAGGTGATTTGAAGTAGTACTTCCTCGTGGTGCTTAAAGAGATGGGAAAGGGAAAGGGAAAGGGAAATGATATGATATGACGTTTTATACCTATGATGATGTGTTCATGAATATGAGGATTGGAAAGAGAATGTTGTATGAATATTTACCGTATACCTTAGCGAAGGTGTGATGGAAGGGTGCTTTTTGGGAGACATATCATCATGTTGGAGATATCTCTCAGGATTGTATTGTTGTGGTCACAAGTCAACAACCAACCTCCAATGTGGTTGAGGAATGAAATAGGATGAAAATCAGATTTCGTCTCATTGTGCATGTCGTTGTCAGGTCTTTTATGTTCAACCATAAGTATGCCTTTTGTTATATGAAGAGGAGCGTGACCGTGATGGGATGATAATGGTATATGTATGCTGCTGATATGGGTAGTTCAGGTAGTAAGATGTACTCTGAAGAGAACGTGCAGAGAAACTCGCAAAAAGACATTGTTAGTCAGGCTTGAGGAAGCCGGCCCCTTCCTCCGCTCTGACATGGTAATTCCCTTAGAATTGACTTTCAGCAGCAAGCTGATGAATTCCACCACATGTAAGCAGCTCGTTCTGAATACCCGAGTAACTGTACATGTACCTCAAACCATCTTCCTCCTACAAATCGGACACTGATCCCTCGTCTCAAACCAATCCATCACACAATCCTCATGAAAATGATGTTGACAACTCGTCGTGAGAATATACCTTTCATCACCACCACCACCACCACTACCATCCCTCCTCATACTGTTACCATCACTACTACTACCTCCTCCTCCTCCTCCTTCTCCTCCACCACCACCAAACCGCCCCAAACAAATCGGACAATCATCCCCCGCCTGATCCCAATATTTTCTGCTCCAATTCTTATATCTAGATTTCGCCATTCTCCCTAGAGCTTTCCGGCTCGTAGGAGAAATGACGGCCTCATCCATCATCATCGTCATCTGCTGCTGATGATGCTCTTCTTCAATGTGTCGTGGAATAGGTTCCCATTCGGGAAGATTTGCCCATTCTTGTTGCCAAGCGGAGGGGATGGGGGTCCATGTGGGTAGGATGTTCCATTGAAGTTGTGAATTTGATGGGATTTCTTGCCAGTCGTCTAGGATGGGAAGGATTGAGGTTGAGGGGTGGGGATGTTGTACTGCGGTGGTGGTGGTAGTCATTGTTGTTGGAGGGTCTGCTGGGGCACGAATGAGTTCTTCGATTGTGGTGGGAGCTGGAGGCTGGCTTGAGCTTGCGAGTGCTGATGGTTGATGGGTATTTGATGATGTGCTTCGATTGGAGCGAAAGGGTGTCCTTTCTGCTGGCGGCACATGCTGCTGTCCTGAAGTACTCGTCCTTGCACGATGTGTCGAAGCTGAAGCTAATGTAGATGTAGACGACGTGGGTTGCCTCGTATTGCTTCCGGGACCGGCTTGAGCTTCAGTAGACTGATGGTCCTCCCGTCTTTCCCTATGTCTCTGTCTCGCTGCTTGGCTAGCTCGCTCCGCAGGTGTGTGTTCTGAGGTTCCAGACTGAGAAGCGTCGCCTACTGTACGCCCGGTCGCGCTTGTGCTTACGCCCGCAAGCTGTTCCTGTGTACTCCGCCGGCTAGGGTGCGCGCTTCTGTCAGGTGTTCTTCGAGACGACGTGGAAGTCAAACGCAGAGACTCCTCCACAGCTTGTGTGGACTGTGGCATGGACGATACCTCAGTCGCTCTGCTTAACCTTGACTGCGGTTGAGATGAGACCGCGCTGGAAGTAGGAGACAACACCGACGCTGGCTCAATCGGAGTCTGCGCATAAGGCACGGGATCATTGTACAAATTGTACCCCAGCTCCAACTGATGGACATACCTGATCATCTCCCGAATGTATACAATTTCCTCCAAAATGGCAGAACGTGGTTGACGCAGCCCTGTACTAATCAGGCCTGCTGCGACAGCACATCTCTCACCTCTTCGAACCATAGCGTGTCCATAACAGCCCGGACAGAGCATCCTCCGGCCTCCAATTCCTTCCAACGCCAGTTGGAGAGTGTTTGGCAAGATTCCATTTCGAAGTGCGGGAAACCTATCGTAGATTTGCACGTGGCGGACACATACTCCATTCTGGCATATTCGGTTCGGACACTGGTCATTCAGAAGGTACTTTCGTACGGCGCCGCCAGTCGGCCGGACGAAGACACGATCATTGGGGTTGACATGTTCCGCGAGTGGCGCAATGGGTCCATTTCGCTGGGCCATGGATACCAACGCTCGGCGAACATGGTGGGACTTGAGAACATCGTCCGCATCTTGGATCTGCAGAAGATGAATAATGAGGTGCTCGGGAAGTTCTGAGGTCGGCACTATTGCCACTGATATGCCATGTAGAGGATCGAGACTGTGACTATCGACCTCCACAGCCAGAAGGAGAGTTGATGACTGCTGGAAGGAGCTGACACGTCTAATCAGGATCAAGTGGCCTGGTCGAATGTTGCGTTGCGCGAGATGTGCAGGCGAGTAGAAATGCGACTGGGTAAGCATGGCTTGTTCATCGTATTCGGTGGCCATCTTGTCGTGTCGTGCAGTATGCGATGACCGCGGTGGCTCCGTTCTCAGGTAGGTACTTGCTATGTCTCGGCTTGCTCTGATCGCCCAGCGTATTCAAGAACGCTGCGTTTGCCATGGACATGAATCACGATATATATACCGAGATTGTAGATACTCGCAGCCTTCGTGAAGGCGGCAGCTAAGAGGCAAACATGACATTCTGCTGGCACTACAGTACACTGTATCCTAGGTACCTATCTACCAGCTCAATAGTCGGAATTTCTCGAACTTCTCAGTGATCTGTATGACTTCTGCGTTGGCACAGGGACAGATCAGGCACCCAAGTTCTGCATCACCTCCTGCAGTCAACTGCCGGCGATCGGCTGACCATTGTGGAGCGTATGAGCCTTGCCTCAGGTACCTCCGGAGGTACAGCTCAGCTCAATCGCGTTTCGGCATTATGAACCAAGCTTAGGTGCTTTGCCCCAAGCCTCACCTCAAGGAGTCGTCTCAGTGTCGCGAGCAGCTCATTCCCAGGTTGTCATTGATTGTCTTGCTTTCCATGAGTTGCGAACTCGCTCTCCAGGACCAGAAACTAGACCAGCATGCAGAATATCTACACAATCATGCGCAGTGAAACTCGCTTGTCCTACTGCCGTGTATGCCCTCCTGCCCACGGGATCACAAGACTGTGACCCCACCCAGTGCACCGACAAGGCAGGCAAAGAAGACCTGCTGGTGACGTTGATGCAAGAAAGAGGCTGGCCTCGGGGCGAATCGATGTTTGTCGCATAATGATTTCTTCTGGCGCATGGTGCATGGACGAGGAGAGGCGACAACCCTCACCGCGTATGCCGGCGATATGGCAGAGGTCAGGTTGATTGAAGCTGGCCGAGATCGATCTCTCGTTCATCAGCACGAGCTGCTGCATGCGCTCTGAGTTGGTGTTGGGCTAATACACAAGGTAAGCAGACGTTGTTCACCAATGGCACTTTCCACAGTTGATGCGTCGTCTTGTAGACATAATCTAACTGCGACGGACGCAGAATGTTAGTTCGGCTCGAGTTGGACTCTGTTGGAGGAGATGGGTGCTCATGGATGTCGAAGTGGACAGTTGTCATGCCAGGTTGGGTTGTCTTGAGTTTTCAGCGATCTCCCCCTACGATATAGGTAGCGCACAGGGCGACCCATCGTACTAGAATCTCACATACTGCAACAGACTAGGAGGTAGGAGGTACATCTACTCTACCCAAGCAGGTCTGATAATACCTGTGTTCGGCGCGTGTGGTAGACGGATTGCGAAGATACCGTCCGTCCGTCATGCCGCCGCATGCGTCCCCTTCGTTCCCCCTGACAAACGAGTACGATGGTGTGACCTTGACCATTGCAGTGTCTGCACAGCCACAATTGTCGGCGCGCGCGACACTACTTGGTACCGCCGTTTGAGTGCATATTATTCTGGTCGGCTACTTTGAACGTGGAATGATGAATCCCATCTCGGGCCTTAGTCCTTTCCCATGACGCCATGAATATGGAGCTCGCGTAGAACTACATGTACATAGCGGAGACAGCTGCAAGCGGGAAGAGGGGTGGATGGATGGATGGATGGATGAATGGATGAATGGATGAATGGATGAATGGATTGGAGGAATGAGTGGTGGGGCTGAGAAGGTGCCACAAGCTCCACGAAACAGGTGTTCACACAGTGTGTGACGATCAGGTAGCCTCTATAGTGGTGAGGCGCTTGCAAAGTTGCAATCTGTAATCTGTTTGCGCGGGCGTGCAAGGATGTCGGCTTGCGGATCTTGGTCTTCACAGGGGCGGACGTACGTGGCCGAGGCTGAGGCACTACAGATAATGATGAGAAGTCAGGTATCGTGAGCCGCAGGTTGTTCTAAGGTCGGAATGGCATTGCAGTAAGATAGGAGGTAGTAGTATTCCATGTTGTTGAATACGACGGGTGCGAGCTGTCCAAGACTTGAATAGAAGTATCCATGACTCGGGGCAGGGCCCGAGAAGACCCTGCATATCGATGGTTCCTGCCAAGAGTGTCTGAGAGTTGATGGTCGGTGCGATGCAACTGCCGCAGTCCGTGGTGTTTATTACACTTCGCATAGCATACGGGGTTCAACTCCGGGCCTTTTGCGCATCACATCAAACGGTACAGTCGGGAGGAGTGTGAGAGCAGGGCTCGACCATGGAGGCCTCGGCTTAGGGCTACTGGACTCACCACTCGATATGGCTGGCGATGGTCCCCTCTCCAGGTTACTGGAGACAAGCGCCTTGGTTGGTGCGTTGCAAGGCCCTCTAGATGACTCCCCTAGGCTTAAGCCTTAGATGACCCTACTGAGACGACCCTAGAGGACCCTAGAGGACCCTGAATGAGCCTAGATGAGGCTAGATCTAGATGGCGCTAGATTGCGCTGGCTGGCCATGTCTCCTCGACGCTGTCGCCCGTCGGCGCGGCAGTAGCTTAGGCTGTATGCTGTAGCCAGTCAGTGCAGTGTCGAGTGTGTCGTGTGCGTGGGTCAGGATTCAGGATTCAGGAGACAGGCCAATCCTCTCTCGTACTGCGAGTGCGTGTGCGTGTGCACTGGGCTGCGCTGGGCTGGGTCGAGCCGGCGCATGCGAAGTTCGCGAAGGACCGCGTGCGGGCAGGAGCAGGAGCAGGAGCAGGAGCAGGAGCAGGCACTGGCAGGGCAGGTACGCACCTTCCAAGTCCCAGACTCCCAGGGAGGCAGGAGGCAGGCGCAGTCGCCCGAGTCGGCCTGTCTCGCGCTGCTCTCTCTCCCTCCCAGTCCGTCCCTCCCCTTACGTCTCCAAGGGGACTGGAGCAGCAAACGCTATGACTTGTTGTTGCTTGTCGGCCGCACTCATCGGACTTCCCATCACTGCCCTCGCCGCCACTTGCCCACTGTGCTCTGCTTCAAATTGTTGGTCTCGCAACATGCTGATATACCTTCGTTGTTCTCACTCACCATCCACTCGTTAAAACAACATCGCCGCCGCCGCCATGATCACCACCGAACCACGCCCAACTCGTGTCTTCACCCGCCGGCAGATTGAGGGCCTCATCGCCGCCGGCGACACACTGGTCATCGCCGACAGCCATGTGCTCCGTCTCAATGCCTGGCAGGACCTGCACCCGGGAGGACGTCTGGTTATACAACACATGGTGGGGAGAGATGCGACGGATGAGCTGGCTATGTACGTTGTCCATTGGCGCGCTGCTTTATAATCAACCCTCACGCCATTCGCGCCCGCCCTGCGTCTGCTCCGCGGAGACCCTGCGGTATGCAGGACTTATGCAACGCTTGTGCCGTCTTATGTTTATGCCGTCGCGCTTCCGCTTGCTGACCTGACCGTCAACAGCTCGCACTCGCTCGAAACCCTCCAGTCGATGAAAAGATACCGCATCGGTCGAATCGAAGGCGAATGGATCAACTTTGTGCCGCCCATCCAGGGAGGCGTCTTCCAGGCATGTGCCCTCAACGAGAAGGAGGAAGGAGAGCGGCGACTCCGCTACAAGGGTCGCTTGGCCCTGACTGAGATCTCGAAGCTCGACGTCTCACAATGCCCCTACACCGCGAGAGAAGTCCAGGACGCGGTGGACGCCGACGTGGCGAAATATCCATCTCTCGATGCCGCCACGCAGCGCGAAATCACCAACAAGTTCCGCATTCTGCACCAGCGAGTCCACGATGAAGGCTTCTACGACTGTCGCTTCGTGGAGTACGCCAAAGAGATGGTTCGATATGCATCATTATTTGCCCTCTTCGTCGTCTTCCTGCGCAAGGAGTGGTACTTCGTATCCGCATGCTTTCTCGGCCTGTTCTGGCACCAGATCATGTTCACTGCTCATGACGCGGGACATCGAGGAATCACGTAAGATAGCCCTTTCAGAATATCTGCCCTTGGCACCACCCTGCACAACGGCGCTGACTCGCACACTGCAGGCACAACTTCGTGATTGACTCTCTCATTGGAATCTTCATTGGCAATTTCTGCTCTGGTCTCTCCATAGGATGGTGGAAGAGCAGTCACAATGTGCATCACTTCGTGACCAACGATCCCGTACACGACCCGGACATCCAAAACGTACCACTCTTCGTCACCTCGCCAGCCTTCTTCACTGGTATTCGATCGTCTTATTACAATGGCTTCCGCTTTATCTGGAATGCCGCCGCCGACTGGGCAGTGAAGTACCAATGCTACACGTACTATCCCATCATGACCGTCGCCCGCTTCAACCTCTACTTCCTTTCCTGGGCCCACCTGCTCTCCAGGCGTTCCATCACGCGTGGCAGTGCCTCCTGGACACGATCCGTCGAGATCATTAGCATAGCCTGCTACCTCTACCTCTACTTCTACGTCCTGCTCTGGTGCAACGTGCCCACCTGGTCGAGCCGCGCCATCTTCCTCTTTGCCAGCCATCTTATCACCATGCCACTCCACGTCCAAATCACCCTTTCGCATTGGGGAACCAGCACCTCCGATTTGGGTCCTGGGGAGGCTTTTGCGCAGCGCCAGCTCCGGACCACCATGGACGTTGCTTGTCCTGCGTGGCTGGATTTCATCCACGGAGGCTTGCAGTTTCAAGCGGTTCATCATCTCTTCCCGCGAGTGCCAAGGCATAACTTGCGTAAGCTACAAGAGCTCGTCAGAGAGTTTTGCGAGGAAACGAAGATCGACTATCTGATTTTGGGCTTCATGGACGGTAACAAGGACGTTTTGAGCAAGTTGCAGCAGGTTGCCGATCAGGCAAAGTTGATGGCTGCCTGTCAAGCGCATATGGCTTCTACAGGCGAGAGCGGCTTGCATTGATTTGATTTTCTTTTTTTTTCCAATTCTCGATTGGACGTCTGAAGCATAGCGAAAAAGTTTGAGATTGCATTCAGCGGAGGAGTTAGCATATGTACTTGTAAGTGTGTACAGTACTGGGAAGACGTGTTTTACATAGCAATCGTGACGAACAACGATTACTCTAGACATCAAGAATATTGGTCAGACCAAAACTTGCCTACCCCCTCGTCGCTGACTCGCCTTATTCCTTGACTCCTCTATAGAGACCTATTACTATAAACCTATCTGACTATCAGGTAGCGTAGCTACTAACAAGTTTCTAAAAGTATACTAGATCTAATTTCAAAAGACTCTAAAATATATACTACAAGTATAAGTCTACCTTATCTCTGAAAAGTTATACTATAAGTATAAGTCTATCTAACTATTAAGTAGCGTAGTTACTAATAGGTTTCTAGAAGTATACTTACTCTTATATTAATATACTCTAAAAGTTGTATTATAAGTATAAGTCTATCTAACTATTAAGTAGCGTAGTTACTAGTAACTTTATAGAAGTATACTTACTCCTATCTCGATTATCTCTAAGAGTTATATTATAAATATAAGTCTATCTAGATATTAAGTAGCGTAGTTACTAACAAGTTTCTAGAAATATACTTCCTAAGTTCTTTTATCTTAATTATCTCTAAAAAGTTATATTATAAATATAAGTCTATCTAACTATTAGATAGCGTAGTTACTAACAGATTATTAGAAGTATACTTACTTAACTTACTCTTATCTCGATTATCTCTAAAAGTTATATTATAAGTAAAAGTATATCTAACTATTAGGTAGCGTAGTTACTAACAGGTTTCTAGAAGTATACCTACTCGGTACTCCTATCTCGATTATCTCTAAAAAGTTATACTATAAATATAAGTCTATATAACTATTAAGTAGCGTAGTTACTAACAGGTTTCTAGAAGTATACTTACTCTTATCTTAATTATCTCTAAAAGTTGTATTATAAATATAAGTCTATCTAGCTATTAGGTAGCGTAGTTACTAACAAGTTTGTAGAAGTATAGTTACTCTTATCTTACTTCTCTCTAAAAAGTTATATTATAAACATAAGTCTATTTAAATATTAAGTAGCGTAGTTACTAGTAGATTGTTAGAAGTATACGGTATACCTACTCTTATATTAGTATACTCTAAAGTCTAAGGCAAGTACTATATATCTGTCTATATATTAGGTAGTATCTAGACTTACTAATATCTAGAAAAACATTATTAATTTATTATAATTACTACTTAATTAAAGCACTCTTAGTATCTCTAGTATCCCTTAAATAAGTAAAATTTATCTATCTAAACATTCGAGAGCGCGGTTTCTACTAAGTTTTTCGAAACATTCCTAGACTCCTAGTATTAGAAGAGTTACTACTAATTTTTTTTAAAGTACTCTTAGTATCTCTAGTATCTCTTAAATAAGTTAAATTTATCTATCTAAACATTCGAGAGCGCGGTTCCTACTAAGTTTTTAGAAATATTCTTAGTATTAGAAATATTCTTAGTATTAGAAGAGTTCTTTTTTAAAGTACTCTTAGTATCTCTAGCATTCCTTAATTTATTAAATAAGTAAAATTTACCTATCTAAACATTCGATAGCGCGGTTACTACTAAGTTTTTAGAAACATTCTTAGTATTAGAAGAGTTCCTACTTTTTTTTTAAAGTACTCTTAGTATCTCTAGTATCCCTTAAATAAGTAAAATTTATCTATCTAAACATTCGAGAGCGCGGTTACTTCTATGTTTTTCGAAACATTTACCGTTTATAGTATTAGAAGAGTTACTACTAATTTATTTGAAACATTCTTAGTATCTCTTAGTATACCTTAAAACAAGTAAAATTTATTATTTAACTAGTCGAAAATTCGATAGTATAGTTACTACTTAGTTCTTCGAAGCATTCTTAATATTAGAAGATTTACTAGTAATCTTTTTAAAACATTCTCGGTATCTTTCTATATACCTTAAAATAAGTAAAATAAGTGAAATTTACCTAGTTAAGAATCCGATAGCGCGATTACTACTATGTTTTTCGAAACATTTACCGTTTATAGTATTAGAAGAGTTACTACTAATTTATTTAAAACATTATTAGTATCTCTTAGTATACCTTAAAAAAAGTAAAATTTACCTAGTCGAAAATTCGACAGCGCGGTTACTACTCAGTTCTTCGAAGTATTCTCGGTATTAGAAGAGTTACTAGTAATTTTTTTAAAACATTCTCGGTATCTCTCCGTATACCTCGAAACAAGTAAAACAAGTGAAATTTACGTATTTGAAAATTCGATAGCGCGGTTACTACTAAGTTCTTCGAAGTATTCTCGATATTAGAAGAGTTACTAGTAATTTTTTTAAAACATTCTCGGTATCTCTCTATATACCTCGAAACAAGTGAAATAAGTGAAATTTACCTAGTCGAAAATTCGATAGCGCGGTTACTACTGAGTTCTTCGAAGCATTCTCGGTATTAGAAGACTTACTAGTACTTTTTTCAAAATATTCTCGGTATCTCTCCGTATGCCTCGAAACAAGTGAAATAAGTGAAATTTACGTATTTGAAAATTCGACAGCGCGGTTACTACTAAGTTCTTCGAAGTACCTATACTTAAGAGAAGTGAAGTTGAGAATGTCGAGTCTCTATAATATATACAAAACTTTTTGCCTAATTCAGCTACGTAAGAGCGGCTCAGTGCTCACTGAGAGCGGAGATAGTTCCCTCATCGTCCTCGATAATCGGCTTCACATCCGAAAGGAAAAGCGGATTCGTCGAGGTGCCATCTGTAACTAGCGAGGCATAGTGGTTAGTAGGAAACTGGAGCGATGCTCTGGGAAGGCTCAGTAGACTTACCACCCATGTTGAACCCAAGGTCTGCGTCACCGATAACACTATCGACTTGGTCCGGAAAAGTCTCATGAAGGTTGTCGAACATCCCCCATTCCAGGTTTGCGCCCGCAGAAGCTGGGAAGATCGAGCTGCTATTGTATGGCATTGTCGCAGCGCCAGTCCCGAAGTTCTGGCCATAGGTCCCAAATGCGTGGTTGGTACCCTGGTTGGCAGCGGGAAACATCGAATTGAAAGTGGGATATGTTTGCTGGTGTCCGCCATGAGAAGAGGGCCGGAACGGAGCGTTCTGGCTCCAGGAGGGCTGACCTGCAGGCAGACGTTGTGGAAGAGAGGATTCGAACATCGGGATAGGGTTCTGAACGTTACCACGGGCCGAGTTGTAGCCAGAGGTAAGGTAGGTCATCGATGCCGGCTGAGAGAATGTGATCTCGGGCCCGGTATTGTCCCGATGGATGCTGAGGCCGGTACGACGCTTGTTCGGGCGTGCTTGGTAGGTAAGATTGTCGTCCTCATCTTCGGGACCCTCGTAGTAGAGACCTCTGTTCGTACGGGTATACAAAGGAGCGGTAATCTGGCTGCTACGAGTGACCCGGCCTGTATTAGGCTCCTTCTTGACAAGAGGCTGGCGAGCCTTACGGCGTGGACGTTTCTTGTCTTGCTGTTCTGGCTCTGGCTCTGACTCGCCCTCGATCAAACTATCGTCTGAAGGTGGAAGACCGTCGATAATGCGCGTCTTGCGAAGGGCGCCAGCAGAGTCGTAGATGCACTCGGTGGGATAGACATTCTGACTGGTGTCCTTCAGTGCTTGTAAGACCCATGCCTCCTTCTTCTGATTACGTCGACGCTTCATGTCTGGCGTTGCAGAGTCGAAAAGGCCCATGCCTTTCCAGAAGATGCCCTTCAGCTTGGCGTTATCATTTTCAAGCTCGACATCTTCGCCGCCATATTCGGACGCCTCGTCGAAAACCGGTAGAATAGTAACACTATTATCAACGCGTCGGCGTAGTGCTCGCTTCGGGGCTGATAGAAAAGAGTCGTCGTCGTCGTCGTCCTCGAAGCTGCTTACGCTTTCTTGCTTAACCGTACTGGGTGAGTTGCTGAGGTATGATCCGTGACCCCAACTCGCCTGCGTCGGTGCCAAGGCGCGATGGAAGTTGGCGGGATCGAAATAAGACAGCGGTGTGGCTGAGTAGGATGTCGACGCAGGACCTCTACGGTTGAGCTGTGGGTCAAGCAGGCTTCGTCCTGATGGTCGACGGACATTTCGGGAGCTTCTTGGGACAGGAGTGTTCCGTGTGGAGTTTGTATTCGCTGCGGTACGATGGTCAGCAAGAAATGCGGCAAAGGCAAAGAATGTGCCGCACTCACGAGTTGATCGACGAGATGTGCTTCCAACTCTGGCCTTCTTCTTATCCTTCTGGCTCATACGCTCTCTCATTAAGTCTTCCAAGCCATAATCGGCGTACCACTGCTCGTAGGTGTCCACAGTGTCCTGCGCTTCGGCATCTGTGCCAGCCTGGACTTGGAGCTTGTAGTACGCAGCGAGGTGGCCTTTGCTCTGGATGTGGGTAAGGAGATGGCTGATATCGGAGAAGTCCGGCCGTCGTGGGCAAACATTGCAACTGAGGGGAATATCTTGGGGAATAAGTTGTGCAGGATCCCCTTGTAGCAAGTTCATGCGAGGCAGCAATCGGCAGCCGATCTGCGAATTTCGGTGACCTGAGTGGGTCTACCGAGTGGGCGTATCGAGTGTAGTGGGCGAGCGGGCGGGCTCTGGAGCTCTTGCTACTATCGCTGGCGAAGGAGTGACGGCGGCGGTGGCGGCGGCGGCGGCGACGAAGTGTCGTGGTCGATTATTGCGTGCTGGAAGCAGCTAATGAGTATGCTCTGAACGCTCAAGACGGCAAATCCAAAAGGAGGGACGAACGAGTAGAGATCGAAAAGAAGGAGTTGGTAGTGAAGTGGACGTCGAGGAGGGGAGAGACGAGTTGTAAGGACAGGAGGACGGTAGCAGCCCGTGCAGGCGACGACTGCTATTGTTGATTGCGCTCGTTGGGAAGGAGTATTTGTGTTGTCCGATGTGTTGCTGCACCTGACAGTTTTGCTGTGCTTGCCGTGTGTGTGTTCGTAGATTTTGAAAGTGGAAGTTGTGAACACCGAACTCGCAGCGGAAACACCATTTCGTTCGCATTGGAGCACGCTAGCGCCTCGCCTAACATTCACGCTAACAAAGTTACGTCTCTTCACTTGGTGAGGTGTGCTCCCTCCTCAATACCTCAGGTACTGTAGCACTTGCGTATGCTATCGAAACCCGTCAGCCACAGTAGCAAATAGAAAGGCGTCAAAAGAGCACGTGCAGCATACTAGGCAGCTTCAACTCAAGTGAGATAGCGCCGACTTTGCACATGCGTGTGAACATAACAATAGCTCTGCTTACCGGTCTTCAGCGGAGATAGCCGTAATGTATAGGAGAGCCACGTGCCAACAAGAGAAGAGGTTGAACTGAGGTGAAGCAGCAACGACAATACACGTGCGTGTGGATAATAGCGCTGCCTACTTGTAAGGTAGGTACCGCCGTACCGGTTTTGCAATCAACTGGGAGAACCGAGGAAACAGGGAGACTTACGTACTACAGAGAGGTTGAGCTCAAATAGATCAACCCCGACTGTGCATTCGGGTCAAGACAATACTTTATCGCTACTTCTTTAGAGGTTTTTGAAGACATCCGCAGTGCTAGAGTAAGCTCAACTTATATCAGCTATGTATATGCGTATAGATATCGCTTCGCGTACCTTTACGAATTATTACGGTAGCCGTAGCTTTAAGAGATCAGAATCGTCCACGTGCTGTAACAATACCAGAAAGCAGAAAGATCGATCGCAGTTCAAGTCGTGCTGGTTATGCATTTGCCGTCTAGATATCGGATTAGTTCAGCTTCGGACGTTACCCTAGAAATAGCTATAGCGTCAGTGGATATCAGAACGTCTGTGTACGAGAGCTACTACCGGCAGTCGGCAGACATCTTTATGTTATAAGCTATTGTAGCATTTACGCAGCTCTGGAAACGCAAAGGCCAATTGTCTGAAGCTTAACGTCTATCTCCTCTCACATTGTAGCCCGGCCTCATGAAAGCTCAGCACGGGTTATTAGATTGCAAGAGGTGTTTCAAGAGTTTGCCAGGTCTTAGTGGAGAACTTCAGTGCCTTAACAAGGACTAGACAATGAAATCTTGATAGCAGCATCCTTCCTTGTATAGAATTGGACGCCTTTGTTCTGATCTGAAGTCTACGCTGTGCACAAATTCAGGCAAATTCCATAGAGCCACAAGCTCAAGAACCGCGTTTCTTTGTGCAAGGTGCGAAGTCCGCAAGCTAGCAATGCGGATCACGAAGAGAGCCGGAGTATTATGACTCGAGGTGGGTGAGTCAAGTAGCAGCGGAAAGTACACGATATGGACCTCTTTCGTTCCTGTACCAGTTCCTTGAACCAAGATGAGAAGTTGACATAAGCTTTATGGCGTACGTCCAAGAACTCTGTTGGTAATGTGTTTCGGCATACAGCTGCCGCGTAAGATCAGTTAGACTCTCTGTTCCAGAAACGCAGACAAGAGTAAGAATAGCCAGAGTGATATCACTTACTAAGCGGGATCAACCTCCAATAGACCGGGATGCCCGAGCAAGCTGAGACCCGCTGTTCCGAAACAAGTGTGGAAGACATCAACCATATCCCCGGGCCTGTCAGCAAAGCCGCCTTGGTCGGGGTCCTGACATTGCAGGATGAACTTTATGAGCTTGTCTTTGTCGATCCAGTGCAGACGGTCAATCATGGCCAAACTCGTTAGTACCCACCAACTGTAGCACACATCTACGAGCTTCTCTGGTCTGCCATTCAGACCGCCACTTGGCAACTGGCGCTCGGAAAGCCATGCGCCCAGACGATCTTTACCCTCTTCACCAAGATAGGCGTCGACCTCGCCAGCGATAGCCAAAGCCCCCAGGCATGTGAACACTTGCCCCGAGTGCGATTCCGCGCCTGGGGCGACTCCAAAGCCACCATCGAAGTTCTGACACGCCTTGACATACTCTGTGGCGGCATTCAAGTCGATCAAGGGGGGCTCTTCCGGTCGTTGATGTGGAAGCATACCGAGCAGCGAGAGCGCATTGAGAGCTGCGTAGAGGAAACGTGAATCAGTCTCGCCCCATCTGTCTCCGGCAAAGGTGCCATTTGCCTGCTGCAGCTGTGCCATGTACTTTGCTATCTTCATCTTGCCATTCGGTATCTTCTGTTCAAGCTCTTTGAAGCCATCAATCATAGCCAGTATTTGCACAGCAGAGACGGTGTAGAGCATGTGAGGATCATGCCCTGGTGCTGCGCCAAAGCCTCCGTTGTCGTGTAGACAGCTTAAGACATATTCCAGCAAGCCCTCTCGAGGTAGTGCGTCGGGATGGCCAAGTAGGTGCAATGATGCCAGCCCCCAGTAGATGCCGCTGATGCGTAAGTGTTCGGTGAGGTGGTATTCGAGCTCATCTCTGCGCTACTGTTTCGTCAGTGTCAGCCGGCGTCGTGCGAGCGTGTGTAAAGAGTCGTACACTGTCGAGGCTTTGAATGTACGATACGTGCTTGTCCACAACGAGCTGGAGCTCATCCGGGAGCTGCGCTGCTGCGCCGCCGCCTCGACCCGGGCCTGCCGCCAAAGACATGTCGTGGTGTTGATGATGCTGCTGGTGATGATAAGAGTGATGTTGGAAACAGGTACAGCAGAACTAGCTTTCCTTGGTTGGTGCGGTTGGGCTGGACTGGGCAGCGCGTGCTAAAATGACGCCTACTAGACAGGATCGATGGCAGGGAGGAGGCAGCGGTAATCCACGCATCCGGCTGTACCGCTCCAGCATAGAAGAAGGCCGGCACGCACTTTCGGGGTCTCGCAGGAGCGCAGACTGCCTTAGTGCGCGAGCACGTCTTTACGGAGGGAAGTGTCCTGTCAAGCGCGCGATCAAAGGAGGAGGTAATGTAGTCGAGCGTAGCGGGCAGCTGGTGTAGGTGGTAGTGTTATTTTAGGTCGGCGTCCGGGTCCATGCTGCTCGGCAAAGGCGCGAGTAAAAGTACCGCCTAGTTTCTGCTAGACGCCAGGAACACGAAAGTGGAGATGGCGAGATGATGACAGGGGCATGCTGCATTTCGACTCTCCTCGTCCCGCTCGGCGGCCAAAGCCAAAGCCAAACTGTCCGGTCCGCGTTGTGTTTCGAACGGCACAGGACCAACAGCAGCAGCGGTGCACTGATCTGAGGGCGGTGTTCACAGCGGTGAGCCATCGTCGTTGGACAGTGAGTGAGGAGGCATACGCACGACTGGTCCGAGACACCTTGCGACGGCACAGCCAGACAGCAACGCAACGCAGCAATACCCCCCAAAGGTACCCACCGCCATTCCCACCACCGCCCCTTACTGCACAACACCATTGGAGCCCCCCGGCGCACGTGAGGTTCCTGTCGGACGACGACACCCTCCACTGCTACCGTACCTCAGTCAGCGCTGTCGCGGTGCGCACTCGCCAGCTCCACTGCCACCAGCTCAAGCTGGCTAGGAGTCGTCTCCGTGCTCACCCACAAAGAAAACGCCCACCCTCAACGCAACGCTGCCAGTGACACCGACCTCTCACTCACCTGCGCGCCTGAGCCCGAGTCGCACAGCAGGCCCAGCCGGCGCCAGCGATACCACCGCGGGCGCATACGCGCAGAATAGCGGCCTTTGTTCTGTGACAGCCGTCAGTCATTGTCTCGCGCCTAGCTGCAATCTCCCGTCCATTGAGGCACTGTGGTCTGGCAATAGCAACGGCGGAAGTGCCACTGCATGTAGCCTGCTTCACCTCCTGCACGCCTGGTCTATCTGCAGCCTGCACACATACCCCCCCTGGTGCCCTGCCGCCGACAGCTGTCCAGGGCAATTTTGGGACGACATAGGCCTCGATGATTGAGATGCCACGGCACCCCAAACCACAAGAGCTGAAGCTCAGCGAGAGAGGAATACGAGAGAACCGAGTGCAGCCTGGGCCGAATAGCAGCCCCATAAACCTGCAGGGGGTCGATTTGGGTTCTTTTGGAGGCGGCTTTGAACACGACGTGGCGGCAGGACTGACACCTTTGCCCAAAGACCAGCCCAAATATCCGCAATCGCCGCCGGCGTCTCCACGAGCACACAATCGGGAGTCGTCGAAGAATTTGCTCAGCAGCTTCAGGAACAAGTTAACAAACGAGCAGGAGGAAAGGAAGCACTCGCGACAAGTGAGAACCGAGAAGGACGAATACCGACCGGCGACGAGTTCGATGTCGAAGATATACCATCTGAGGAACAACCCGGGCAGCACGCCTGAGTTGAGCTTGGTGGGAAGTCAAGAGGCAATATCAAAGCGATCTTCCGAAAGTAAGTTGTGTGAATGAGGCCCTGTGTGAATGAGCCCCAATGTGCACGCCTTCGCGCGAATGTGTGAGATTTTGTGCCCACGTGCGCGTGAGATTCAGAATGCTTATATATGGAGCTTGCTGCCGCCTTGCAGATATTGACGCTACCTACAATATCGACGAAAGTGCCATCGTCGATGTTTTGCGCGCTCTGAGAGCACCAGCTGACCATCTAATCTGTAGGCGAAGCCCCAGCATTACCTGCTAGACCGCAGCCGACACCGAAGCACAGTCAAGACAGTACGAGTTCAAGGACCAGGCCCGATAGCAAGAAAGAGAACAAGAGTCTTCTTGGTCGTATGGGAAGGCGAGCGTCCGTAAGGAGGGGCTCAAACGTCACAGGGTCGAGACCAGCGACACTTAACGAAAACGGCGACGACAGTCAAAGTGGTGACGGCAATCTGCATGGTAAGAACTCGTTCGAGCAGCAACCGCAGACCGCACCCGTGGATAACGACTGGCCCGGGTCTGACGCAAGGATGAAGAGCAAGCACAGAGACGACAAGCGGGGGAAATCAGAAGAGCGACTGGAGCGAGCAATGGCTGCGCCCAGCCAAGAGAATCTGTCGTCTTCTTTCCCCAAATCCAAGGATAAGAAAGAGGGGCACGGTTTCATGAGCGGACTGAAGAAGGCGACAGGTGGCTTTCTCGGACGCACCAAGAGTGATTCCAAAGCTCACGTACCGGACAGTGAGTACGTGATCAAGGTCATCAACCTTCCACTGGTTGAGCAGACTCGTGCCACGCGGATCAGCAAAGATTTGGCGTCGTGTCGCGATAAGACGGAGTATTGGATGCCAGCCCTGCCTTGGCGATGCATTGAGTATGTTGCAGTCCACGTGAATATAACAGGAAATAGTGGCTAACTTGTGTAGCTATTTGAACACCAACTGCGAAATGGAAGGATTGTATCGAGTTCCTGGTAGTGGACCGCAAGTGAAGCATTGGCAGCGCCGCTTCGATCAAGAGCTTGACATTGATCTTCTGGACGCCGACATCAAAGACACCAATGAGATCGCAAGTATGCTCAAGGCCTGGTTCCGCGAACTGCCCACGGAGGTCATGCCTGCATCGCGACAGAAGGCATTGGGTGCACAACTGGAGAAGCAGAACCCGAACTACAGAAACCAAGGCCAAGAAGCGCCACAGTTGCTACGCGATGCGCTTTCGGAGCTTCCACCCTTCAACTACTACCTGCTGTTCGCTATCACATGCCACTTGTCTCTCTTACTGACGAACAAGGACAAAAACAAGATGGACCTCAACAATCTGGCGGTGTGCGTTGGGCCTTGCTTGAACCTTGAGCGATGGCTGTTCAATTATCTGGTGGGAGACTGGCGACATTGCTGGCAAGGATGCTTCACCGAGAAGGAGTTTCTCAATGTAGAGAGGCTTGTCGAAGACGGTCATGATCCCGAAAAGCTCCAGGGACAGGAGAAGAAGCTCTTCAGCGATCAGCAGTCGCTCTCTAACAGCTTATGGTCTAACACACTTGATGATGATGCCTCGGTCGACGATCGTGCCATCAGCAGCGGCAGCAGTAACCAGCAAAGTAGCAACTACGACCGCGCAACTTCACACGCTGATCTGCCCTCTCGCAACAACGGAAACCCAACGACTTATCTTCCTGCTGGTGCCAACGCATATGGCAATGCCAGTCACGGTCTTGGCATTGAGCAAGAGATACAGAGACCTTCCACGTCCCAAGGAAACCCGAACATGGCCAACACGACTGGCAAGCAGCCACCACCGCCTCTCGTCAGCAAATCGAGGTCCAACAGCACAACGCCACGAATGGGCCACCAGCGTAGCCGAAGCGACTTGCCCCCCACCACTCCTATTAAGACGAATGCCGACTTTGGCTTTCCTGTCCGTCCTTCGTCGCGATCATCCGTTCGCCGAGCATGATGAGCCACAATGCAAGTCACTGCAGTACCTACAACGAACTGGCTGATGCTTGTCATTGATCACCGCGGGAGATTGGAACTTTGTTTCATAGCTCCAAGCGTGATGGCAGCGATGCCAACTTCGATACCTTCCAGGCACAGCATCGACCACGATGACGGCGGTCCATAGTTACACCCTTTTTTTCTCTGATACTCAATTTGTTGCGCTCGTGGTGGCGAGCGATAAGAGCGATGGCGTCGACGATACCCCTTTGGCCGCGGTTGTATCAGCGGGAGGTTTTTTTTCACTACTGAACGGGAGCATAGGCGCTGGGCGCTAGGCGCAGATGATGGGGACACGAAAGATTTTGATGCGTCTTTTGAGGATGAGTTGCGATGCTAGCATCAATGCCTACTTACTCCTAAGGTCTTCTCGCATGTCTCGCTTGTCTCGCTTGAAGATGTTAGGCTGGGGAGCGCGAACCTACCTCTTTCGTATGGTGTGTTTTAAGCACGGACTGTGAGGCCACAAGGCCTGTGTACGATTACAGCGAGAGCGAGATGAATTGAGACGTGTCATGTAAGGCTCTTTTGAGCTTATCCTTTTCTTGTCACATGATCGAACCACTGCACACACTCCGTCAACGCAATGTGAAGCTTGAGTACCTTAATGCTGCGGTCCTCGATTGAAACCTCAGATACAATTAACGGACGGTCAGCTACAGTGGCGTATTCGCATTCACTCGGACCAGACAATCACCGGGGCTCACGTCGAAATCTCACCTGGGAACAATAGCAAGCACGGATTCCTCAATGGCGTTAACCGCGAAAGCAGCAGACGCTCATGGTAGCAGCAATTCTGAATACATCCAAAGCCTAGAAAAGTATCTTCCGACCGATCCCGCTACCAGCCATCAGCCTGCCTTTCGACATGGAGAAGACCATTCGCAACCGCATCGGGCGGCATGACTCCGTCACTGAATACCATGACGACGAGGATCAGAGAGCTGCCGATTCTGAGCTTTGCAATGAGGCAGATGGGTTCGAGGATGGCCAGGAGGCAGCGGTTCGCATCTGCAAAAATAATGAAATTGTCGCTCTTGTCAGCTAACGCTCTCACAGTTACCACCACCACCATCATCATCATCATCATCATCATCATCATCATCATCACCACCATCAAACCGAGTCTGCCACGATCCAACTCTGCTCGAGCGCATTCTCCACCACAACTCTCCTCTCGACACCCGTAGCGTCGCCCAAGACCTCTTCCGTGCCAGCCGCGTGAACAAAACCTGGCGAGCCACCATCAAGAACTCCGACATCCTCCAGCGCCTGATGTGGTTCACACCCAGCCTCAAACAACCCCCCGCTCAATTCGACCATACGAAAACCACCTTCGTCCACTTCAACCCCATCCTCTGGCCCGTCCAGCCTCGCAAATGTACCGTAGATGTGTCCAATCACATGCTCAGCACAGGGAGTCGCGGACCGGGCAGTTGGCGGAGGATGTTAGTCGCTTCGGCGAGTCAATGTCGATTTGGGGTGATGGTCAAGGTCGAAGGATGTCGTGTCGCATTTGTGCAATGTGATGCGAGCGTCACAGTGGGGAAACTTTTGGATTTGGCGAGACATATGCTGGGTACGAGGGATGGCTTGGGACTCTACTACTATGATGATGATGGTAAGACTGCGGAGGAGCAGGGTGGACGTTGCTTTTGTCCGTTGCCGGAGGAGCTTCCTCCTATGGGGCAGAGGTGCGAGGTTTGTTTTGGATATATGGTCTGATGGATATCAGTATGGGCGACTGAGGATGGACCGGGCGGTGTTCCCTGTGCTCGCAGGTGAGCGTGAGCGAGAAATAGGGAGAAACATGGTGAGTGCATTCGGCTGGATATACCATTCGCTCACGACCACTTCGCGCCAATTGCGTCGTTGCATTTCTCTTGTGCTAGCAAATTCTCGCTTATTGGAGAGAAAAGGCGAGTCGCAAGACAGACCCAAAAGGATGAGCGAAACAAATCACTCCCTTTGCGCGGTCTTTGGTTATATCTATGACTTTACAGGAAATCTTCTCACTAACCACTCCTTAAGAATGCTCGCAATCTCCTCTGGCTTCTCGTACAACACCCAATGCCCGGCTTCAACCACTTTTTCCTCGACATCTTGCACCAAACCCGCCTTTTTCGGATCATCCATCAAATCCGTCCTACAGACCCAATCACCAGTCTGCGCAATATACAACAGCGGCACTTCAATCTTCGATCCATCCTTCTTCTCCACCAGCGCCTTTTCATCCTCAACCATTGTATTATTCTTCAACGAATGATAATACTGCACAGGAGCTTCCAACCCATCCCGACACATCCTCTCCTTGAATCTTTGCAACAGAACAGGATCCTTCGCATAGGGTTTCAAATCCACCCTCTTCCCACCAGCCCACTTCCCTTTCCCCACCACATAATCTTCCATGGCGCCAGGAACACAAAACATCTCTCGCATCCAAATGTCCCGTCCTTCTTCACCCGGTCGATCAGAAAGATACAGTCCATGGTTAACGTCGTAGAATCTTTCAATATTCTTCCTCATAAGATTCGCCGCATCGGGTTTCGTGAAGAAGTTCCAGTATTCCCATTGCGGATATCCAAAACGTTTCTCCGTCAGCACATTCGCAGTGTCGAGATCGAATTTCTCTGAGCTGGGGATCTGATATGCTAAACTCAGTAAACTCAATCCGATACATCGCTGTTTGTGGTAGAGGTAGAAGCGCTGCGACGTGGCCGAACCCCAATCGTGACCAATGGGGATAACGTTATTGGGGACTTTTTCATGGTCGAGAATCTGAGCGATGCTGTGGGCTTGAGCGCGGTAGTTGTAGTATTGCGTGTCCGAAGGTTTGGAGGAGTGGCCAAAACCGAGCAAGTCGAGGACGATGAAGGGATACGGGAGGTTGAGGAAAGTTGGGATTGCGCCTGCCCACATGTATGCATCGTCCGGGTAGCCGTGGACGAACATGAGCGTCGGGACATCTTGATCCAGCTTCTGGTTGAAGTTCGGGGATAGGTAATAGCTATATGTGAGATTGTTGGGTTCTGTGATGATGGACTTGTGCTGGAGCTTGTCCATGTTGGAGATTTGTTGGGCTGCCATGGCCGTGAAAAGGGCTCAATTGACTGATTTCTCGCGCAAAGGGGAAAGGGGTAGAGTACACGTAGGTAGGTTGTGTTTTCATGGTCAACAACATCAATGCTGTATATATAGGTAGGTATGTATATATATTTATGACGTCCGCTTGCCAAGTGGTTACCCCTCCCCTAGTTGTGCGGTACATGTATAACTCAAAAACAGACCAACCACCTACCTACCTGGTAGGTAGGCATAAGTTGCCCACTAGGTAGTACAGTAAATGGCCAAGATATCCCCTGAGACTGGAATCTCACATCTTGTACGACGGGCATCTTCGCAACCGCACTATAAGAACAACTACTCTGTACAAGACATCTTGCTTACAATATATCCTACTGTGGAGAATAATAACCACACCAGCCAGTGCCGAGCAGCAGCTGCATAACTTTATTTATGCCTAGGTGCTAGGTGGTTCTACTCACAGAAACTCGACGTCAATGGCTTCCCTTCTATACGGGCATGTAAGCTTCGAGTTTCCAACTGAGAGCTTTAGGCAGGTCTAGCAATATAACCCTTTTCTGCCTCCTTTTGCCCGAAAGGAAGATACAGCATGCTTTCATGTTCCTCGTGATCTAAGGGAACTGTGATATGGCATCTGATCTGGCAAGCCGTCGTCACTCTTTTGATAATGCGACGGTAATAGCAGAAGAGCTGTTTTCTTAGGTGGTGTTTATGACCAAGTCTTATGCGGTCGAGGAGCATACAAGGTGGAGTTGAGAGGTTGGGCAGACTTTATACCTACCTAGGCTAGGTAGGTATCATCAACAATAAATACCTTACCTACCTTGTGAAACGCAGACTACCTGCATTAGTGGAAGCAGAGAACGTCGTTCCAATGCATAGGTACTGCTGTACTGCAGATCATCATCTGTTTCCAAGCAAGAGTTGCTCGTGAAGAAGGATAAGGTGTCGAGGATGGCCATTTCTGGACAGTTCATCACGTATGCAGGAGAGGTCGTGCCCTGAAAATGTCTTCGTAGATTTGACGTTTTGCTGCTCATTTTTATCGTTAAACCGTAGCCACCAAGCGCCTTTTCCAAACCTGCATAAATATTTAAAGGGTATCCGTTTAACAGACATAAACAGTCTGCCGAAGCTTGCGCTTGTCCTGTCATATGTCAATACTTTCGTGAATGTCATATCCCATGCTCATGAAACGAACGCTTTTCACTTGCTCTCCGCAGATCCGTCTCTTCCACTCATACGAACATCTTGGCCACTGACATCAGACTCCCGGCCTGACTCATCAATCCACCAGCGTCCGACCAGTTGCTGCTGTCCTCACCATAGCCTCGACTGCCATAGTACACATTACCTCCACTCCTCGAAGAACTGCCTCCGATACCCATGGGCAGTGTGACACCAAACTGCTTCAACAATCCCCCAATGGCACCCCCAGCACTCAACAATGGCACCACCACCGCAAAGAACGCCTTTACAGGATGCTTCTTCGCATATATCCAAAGCTCTTTGATCATCCTCTGCAACTTATGCACCAGATAACTGATATACCCATCCCGTGGTCTTCTCTTATAGTAGGAAGAGCCTCCACTCCCACTTCCAAAGATGCTCCTCGAACTTGGTCCACGACTGCTCCCTCCAAAGTTCCCAAAGATCGATCCACTCGCGCTCCGAGCGTACTGCGGTCGAGAGTGAGGATTGGATGCGCTGGGACGAACTTGATAGCCTCCGGAACTGCCGTTCGTTTTCACACTGCGTGTGGAGCGCGCTGGAGAGACGCCGCGACGTGAAGAGGAGCCATGGCCTGCGTTCGGGTTGAGGAATGCTTCGGAGGTGCTGGTGTAGTAGGATTTACCACCATTGACGTCGAAAATGCCCATTTTCTAGCAGCAGTGTTACTAGCTTCGTGGTGGTCGAATCGGTGTCCAATGGCGAGGTTACACGTGGTTGCCAATGGGAGCGGTTATTCTTTAAGAGGGCTGGTTGTCGATCGGGCTCTACCTCCGTTCCATGTAACATTCATCGATATATGAGTACCTGTAGGCTACGACACAAGGCAGGTAGGATATTCGACCAAGCTGGAGTGTACAGGTCGTCGTCGTAGAGTCCTCTCCTCTCGGAGTCTTGGGCGGTGAAGCTGCACTGCAGATCAACCGTATGCAGGTGCAGGCAGGCCAAAAAGAGAGCGGTTGAGAGAGCCAAGAGTGCTGCAGGGCTGAAACTTTGTGCTCGGATGCATCTCTCCGCCTGTCCGTGGGCCGTCGCTCGTGCCTGTGAGAAACTTGAAAGCGCTCACAATGGAATGGCGTGGAATCAGTGCGGAGAGGTCCGACTTCGCCGCGCCATGTTCTTCGGCACCAGTCACGGCTAAGATATTACCCAACCACAACCGGTGTATAGGTAGGGTAGGGAGGGAGATGGGCTTCGTTCGGCTCTTCGATGCTTCGATACACGACACGACGGACTGTGGCATCTCTCACTTTGCGCCAGTTCAGCACGAAGTCTACCGCCAGAATGAAGCACCATCTCATGATTGGGACGTGGTATGTGGATCCTGCGACGAACATTCAGAAGGACCATCTACTGAAGTGAGCACACAGGACTCCACCTGGAGCAATCTTCACGGTAGCATTCGATGATGAATCTCTCTCTTTGGAGCTTGTCAAACGAACAGAGATCCCGGAAGACCAACCCATATCCTGGATGACCTTCGATGTACGACCGCAAAATTCTGTCGTACGCAGCAGGCACGCACACATCTGACAATGTGTCTATAGCATGCTCGAAAAAACATCTATGGAGCCGGCATGAAGAAATGGGGCTCCTACGCAGTCACTTCGCCCTCCGAAATCTCCCACAGCAAATCACTCTCCATGGGCGGACACCCAAGAGCCAATGATACTGATACCAAAACCCGCGCAATATTCGTTCTAGCAGCACAGCAGCCCCCCTACGCTGTTTATGGAAACCCATTTTACGACCACGCAGGTTTCCTGAACGTACATTCCGTCGACTCCAATGGAGCTCTGTCAGAAAACATTCAAGACGCCCCGTTAGATGAGCGGTCTGCGATCCACGGAATGGTCTTCAATTCCACAGAGACATATCTCTATTCAGCTGACATGTGGTCCAACAAAATATGGACACACAAGAAACTGGCCGATGGAACACTAGAGCTCGTCGGAAGTGTCATCGCGCCTGCTGCCAATGATCATCCACGCTGGGTCGAAATTTCGAAGAACGATGCGTATCTGTATGTTCTCATGGAAGCTGGGAATCGTCTCTGTATATATGTGATCGATCCGGAAACCCACCTCCCCACCTGGACACGTACCTCGTATCCTCTCATTCCACCGGGTATGGATGCTTCATTCCCGAAAATGTATCGAAGTGACGTGGTGTTCACTTCGCAGTCTGGAGAGTACCTGTTCGCGACGAGTCGATCAAATTCCCCAAAATTGACGGGATATATTGCTGCTTTCAAGCTGGGGAAGGAAGGGCAAATTGAAAGGCAGATCTGCTTGAACCCTACACCGACGAGTGGAGGACATTCGAACGCGGTGAGTCCTTGTCCATGGACGGATGAATGGTTGGCGCTGTGTGATGATGAGCAGGGCTGGGTGGAGATTTACAGGTGGAAAGACGAGTTCCTAGGCAGGGTCGCGCACTTGGACATCAAAGAACCAGGATTTGGCATGAACGCTATCTGGTATGATTGAGATACAGGTATACATGAAGAATTCAGATATAGATGATCGGCGTGACGTAGATCCGATGGAGACAGTTTGCACTGAGCAGCGTCTTCTGATACAAGAGGCTTTCTCTACCACAGCAATCACCAAATGTGCATCAGATACTGCCTGGTAGGCATCCATACAGTATCGTGCAAGAGAAATGTCTCGGCCGCATTACCTCCTACCACTCTTCCTCCAAGCTGGAAAGGACTTTCTACCTCCTAGTGCGCGAAGCCTGCGAGGCTGTGCCACGTCCCGCCCGCCACGTCCGAGCATGTGGCGCAGGACGTTTAGTGCAGGGATTGCTGCGACTTGCTAGGCTTCCAAGCTACATAGTACCCACCAAGTCCATACCGCGATTCGCCTTCTGAGAGTTCCATCATTACGTCTTGGTGCGCTGTTTGCGTTGCCCACATGCTGCCTGGAATCTGTCGCCTGCACTGCGGTGCCGATCACCAGGCCTTTCATCCTCCGGCATTGTTATAATCACGACTCTCCCAGTCCGCCATAAGATGTGACCTTCGATGGCTTCCAACACCACCACCCATGACCACTTTATGTCGTCTACGATACGATTACGACCTCGACCACGACCAAGCAGACCCAAGCGGCCCAAGTATCGTGCTGCGAGAGCCTTCTACATCTTCCTCTTCCTCGGAACGTGCTTTGCGACATACTCGCTCCTCACGCATGCCTATCACGAATACTACTCACCTCCTCGCACTCTGCACACCCGCGCTCTCGAGCAGCCGATACACAAATTGGGTGGAGGCGACGAAGAATGCAGGCTGGTACACAAAGCGCGAGACCAATGCGCCTACATACGTGCGCATTGTCCAGCAGATGAAGGTGGATTCACTGCCTATCTGGAACTATACTTTTGCAGACTGAAAGATGCGAAACCAGTCGCCTTCCTCATCCTGATATCATGGCTAGGCCTACTCTTTTCCACGATTGGAATCGCAGCCAGCGATTTCTTCTGCATAGATCTCAGCACGATTGCTGGCATCTTGGGCATGAGCGAGAGCGTGGCAGGAGTCACGTTTCTAGCGTTTGGAAATGGCAGTCCAGATGTGTTTTCCACATTTGCCGCCATGAGCACTGATAGTGGTAGTCTCGCCGTGGGCGAGTTGTTCGGCGCCGCAGGCTTCATTACGGCTGTGGTTGCAGGATCCATGGCGCTTATCAGACCCTTTCATGTTGCTCGTAAGAGCTTCGTGCGAGACGTGGGCTTCTTTATCGTCGCTGCAGCGTTCAGCATGCTCTTTCTTTGGGATGGAAGGTTGCACTTCTGGGAGTGTGCTGCGATGGTGCTCTACTACATCATTTATGTCGCATTTGTCGTTGGTTGGCACTGGTGGCTTGGACGGCGGAAGCGAAGAAGAGCAAAGGAAGTTGCAGCACGAGGTCACTTTGTGCCGGATGATGACGAGCTTGACCCGGAGCAAGAAGAATATCACGACGATCCAGATGAAGCTCCCGAGAGACCATCTTTCTCGCGTGGCACATCCCGCGAGGACTGGGCTGCGCTGGAAGGCGGCTCACCGTACGACGAAGGCAATGAGGATGATGAAGAGGAAGCGAGAGACAGGTGGATGAGCGAACTTGCTAGCAATATGAGATTGACGAGGAACACCCGCGCAAGGAGCAATACAGTGACACCAGTCAGGCCTTCTCTGGTGGGAGCTCTTGAGTTTCAAGCAGTACTCAAGTCACTTCAGAAGTCACGCAACATCAAGACGATACCCATGAATTCGCGGAGATTTTCGGACGATCCAGCATACACAACAGCACAGCAGCAAGACCTGTTGTCATCACCATCAGATCCCGCAAGCCGCCCACCATATGAGATATTGATAACGGACGAGGAAGTCACGTCACCCATAGTACAGACTCACATCCAGCAACCGAACCTTGCAGCTCCACAATCTGCACCACCATCGCGGACGCGGGCTGTGTCAGCAAACGATGCCGCAGCGTTGCGCATCAACACCAATTTGCAGAAGCTGAGCCCGGTAACGTCCGAGGACAATTTGGTCGACTTGAGCACTTCCAAGCACAAAAAGTCTGACAGTCTTGCGGTTCCATCTGTGGAAAGTCTCCAAGTCCCGAGATCTCCGCTACTGACTGTGGAGCCTGCGACGCCTCGCCGTGAAGTACCAACACAGCGTCGTCGTGCAAAAACGGATGCTCGTCCAGGTTCGATGCTCTTGACACCCGATGATGCTAGAGGCAGACCAGGCACAGGAGACTATTTCTACCCTCATGCTCCTTCTCGACGTGGCACCGACTCGCCAGTGGACGATCCTTCACAACCTGCACGTGTGCCAAGCGCTCGAAATTTGCCCAAGATCATGATTCCAGGCAAGGCTAGGTCACCAGGTTCCTCACGCAGCACTTCGCCCTTTCCTGCATACCGAGATTTTCCCTCGCCATCAGTGACTGGTAGTGACCGGTCTCCGATTAGCACGCGGCCTCCCAGCATATACCTACCTGGGCCACAGCTCTCCAGTTTGGCATCTCCTGAATCAATAGCGGCAGATGACAGCGCAGAGCAAGAGAGACCGCGCCGACCAGATTGGCTCGCCAGGATATGGCCATACAGAATCTTACCACCACCTGGTGTCATGATTTCCACATTGTTTCCTACTATCTACCATTGGCACGAGAAGACATGGTGGGAGAAATGCCTCGGTATCGTCGCTGCGCCCAGTGTCTTCTGCTTGACCATCACCTTACCTGTAGTGGAGAGTGAAAAGGAATTGAATGATTCTGTTTCTGAGCATCCACATAAAGATTTCAGCTGGGATTCTGCTCGCTCAAAAAGTATCCCTGCGCTACTCACACCAGCCACTCCAGGATCTGGAGGGATCAAAGGCGTCACTCCTGAATGGATGGATGATCCTGATACGCCACATCCTCACAGCATGGAGACTGCAGGCGTCACTGGCATGGGCAACTCGGCCAGTATTGCAGTAGGCGCAGAAGAGCATTACCGCACCAACGATGGCATGCATGTGCCCCGTCTCACCAGTGAGCCGCAGGCCATGGATCAGTCGCTCCTTGACGAGGTGCAAGAAGCTCCACCTGAGCCATGGAATCGCTGGCTGACACTCATCCAGCTCTTCACAGCGCCAATCTTCATTGTGCTCTCGATATACCTTCAGGCTCCGGACGGGCTCCCCATGTCTTGGCTGGTCCGGGCTATCTTCATCTGTCTACCGATATCAATCGGTTTACTCGTCCTGATGCTGCTCACAACTACACCGACGCGCCGACCAGAACCTTACCGTATCATTCTTTCTCTCGCGGGCTTCGTTGTCGCCATTGCTTGGATCTCGGCGATAGCGTCCCAGGTGGTCGGCGCTCTGAAAGCACTGGCAGTCATTCTCAATATGTCACACGCGATCATGGGCCTGACCATCTTTGCAGTCGGCAATTCTCTGGGTGATCTCGTTGCTGATGTGACTGTCGCTAAGCTCGGTTACCCGGTCATGGCACTTTCAGCTTGCTTCGGAGGCCCAATGCTGAACATCTTACTGGGAGTGGGCTTGAGCGGTTCTTACATTCTGATCAAAGGAGCGGAGAGACGACATGAAAAACACCCTACCAAAGGAATCAAGTTTCATTCTTACCACATGGATGTCAGCAAGACGCTGATTGTGAGTGGGATCACACTCCTGATCACTCTACTTGGACTGCTGATTGCTGTGCCCATGAACAATTGGGTTCTTAGCAGGAAGATTGGCTGGGCGTTAATCGCATTGTGGACTCTGAGTACTATCTTTAACGTGGTCATTGAGGTAACCGGCATCTTGGGTGACGCAGAGAGTTTGTTTCATATTGGGCAGAAGTGCATGGGGATCGCGTGTTGATTTTGCGATCATGATACCACTTGAGCGGGCATTCGTGTTCTTCGTGCGAACATGTACATAAATCGCGTCGCGTACATACAATCGGGTATTATAGTGATGATTGATGATCCCATGGAAGACTTGAGCATCCTCGGCAGCGGCAACCGAGCTACCTTAGCGTCAATCTATTCTGGGGGTGTCACACGCCTTGTCCGCGCGTCTGGTCCTTCCCTTCCTTGCCCCTTCCCTCTGTAACACTCTCCAAGACACCATTGTCTGCAGTTCTGCACGTGCTTTCTTTTCTACCTATACTGCATCGCTACGCAGTCCACATTCGTTCATTTGCGTACATTTCACCAGCACTCGGACACTCGGAGATAGGAGGGTTGCCATACCAATAGCACCTTACGGTTGTGACGACGGCGGGTGACGAAAAACAGGTTGCAACCTTGAACAGCAGGTTGGCGGAAAGAGGCTGAGAGAGATCTCACATCCCTGCCATCAATCGGATCCTCCGATTACCACGGCGACAGCCACACAGGGGAGCACATTGTATACAGACCACGAACCGCCAGTTGAGACTGCAGGACTCCACACACTCGCGCTGTACCACCGTGATTAGTATCAGCCAGGCGCAACGACAGCATGGCCAAGACAAGCACACGACTGATGCGCCTCATCGCATTGTTGCTCTTTCTGTCCATTACTGCTGTCTATGCGCAGGCAGATTTGCCGGACCTTGCAACTGTTACCAATACGAACGAGGCTACTTCCGCTGCCTCGACAGGGGAGCCGACTACAGCAGCAAGCACAGCCGAGTCGAGCGCAGAAACAACAGGAGATGCGGCGACAACTGACAGTACTGCCAGCGGCGGCACTGCTGCGCAAACGACAGCCACCTTCCCAGATGCCACATCGACCTCGTCAGGCACTACGTTCCGTCTGACCGATCTGCCGACCATCGCTGGCGCTGGAGTCCCTACAATCGTCGTTCCTTATACAGCCAATGCGCCGTTCATGCAGAAGTCTTCGATGCCGGAGGGAACAGTCTTCATTGCAGTCGGTGCAGTGCTCGCGTTCCTCGGCGCCTGCGTTCTGCTATGGCGTGGCCTCGTCGCTTGGAGTGTCAACAGATCGGTGAAGCGCGCTGCCCTGGCCTCCATTCGCGGCACGGAAAAGCCAGGCGCGTGGGGTGGTGGTCACTACAATAGCAAGTCTGCATACTATAAGGAATTCGAGGGTGGGAGCAGCATGTCGTTGGACCACCTGACAAGTTCTGGCAAAGCACAGAAGCCTGGGAAGAACGAGGAGGGCCACAGACATTCCTCAGCAGCGCCGCCAGCGGGGTTGTTCTTCTCGCCTACAGCGCAAGCTTCTAATAGGGCAAGCACCTACAGCGTGGACAATCGCGGCTCTACATATTTGCCCGCAGGCTATTATGCTTTGCCCTCTGGAGATGCACCAGCTGGCGGTCGCAACAGTGCAGTGCTGGGTAGTTCTCACCTGGCTCCTTATGCACGTAATAGTTACATGGGTGGTCATTCTCCTTCGCCTCCTGGCTCCCCGAATCCAACAGTTCCTGGATCTCGACCCGCGTCTAACTTCTATGGTGGTCCTGGTGATTCGCGAGCGGGCTTGCGAAGCGGATCTCGTGATGGTCCACGCTCGGCATCCCGTGGCCCTCCCAGCAGGGATGGATACGGCGGCAGAGGTAGCCACTTATACACACAGCCCAGCAGCAGCAGTCTTGCGGTTGGCCAAAGCACAAGCGATCTGCCTGGCCAACGAGCTCCATCTGCGATCTTCGACGACATGCTTGATGTACACGGCAACGGGCCGCGCGAACGCTTCTAGTCAGAGCGCGACGCGAGTCGGGCCACATTGCTGCCGTCGGCTAGCAGGAGCAGATTCATGGAGCGACTATCCGACAGCGACATTGCCACGCAAAGCCTTGGCGAATATCAGTATTAGTGAAATACCTACTTACTCGCGCAGACCGAGCCGGGCGTTCAATCTATGGAAGAGCGAAGGAGCTGCATCTCCACGGACTTGTCAGAATCATTTGTCGAGCGATCTTGTGGTCGCTTAGCTATACCGGTCACTTTCAGACGAGTGCAGCGTTCTGATGCCCGCCCAAGACGAGGCCTCCGTGCCGAGCAGCAATACTTTTAAGTCAGCTCGACTCACATGCCAACGACTTGGACAGCGTATGGCACGGCTCGAAGCTGCTTTACGTTGGTAGAGGAACATTTCTCGCGAAGGATTGCAAAGGAGACTTTTACGTTTTGACGAAAAAGGTGGGAGACTCTCGATTACACACACGAGAGCAAATGGATGGTATGTGAGACTTATTGATAATGTATTGATGACCAGACCCAGAGAGTCGCCTGCGCAATACAGCAGCACCCAACTGATAACAGCTTGGTCTATCCAGTTCCATAGTAACGAGACCAAATATTGTACCTGCAGAACAGGCAGTTTTAGTCGCCTCGCCGCATGTGCAGGGTTACTTACACAAGTCATTTATGCTCCGATACAATACCTTTCCTGATCTCCAGATCTTGTGGCATGAAACATGTCCAAGTAGTCACGATAGAATACCGAGTTCAAGATGACACACGGCGCCTAGTCGCCTGAGCAGTAGTGCTGCCAGTCTTGCATTCAGGTCAGTATCAAGAAGTTTGCCTGGTCTAATGTCCTCGCAGAAAATTGCCAAGCTATTTTCATAGTCCGATCCGGCGCTTAGGCGACCTCTTTCGCTCTAGTTCAAGTCTCCATAAAGTAGCTGGTCGACACTTAACTTGCATAACGTGACTTCTTATGCCCACGCTTCTTTATACCACTCAGCTAGCAGGGATGATGTTGTCATCATTTTCAAGCAAAGAACCCGAACTCCCGCTCCATCGTGCACACGGCACATCCAAGCGATAACAACTTGAAAATTGAAGTCATGCCGCGTGTGCCAACCTGTAGTAAGGAGACATCTGGAGCACCCGTTCCGTGCTTGTCGAAGGTGATAAAGAAGAGGTTTTCGCTCCCTGCGTCGAAGAAGCGGTAGGTCTGTACAAACCAAGCCATACGCGCAAGAGAATCATGGCGCTTCCACCCTTTGGATCGTCGCCCTTTGGCCTTCTGGCCATCGGTGTTCTGCTGTTGTCCTTCTCCCTATATCGATATCTCTTACCAAAACCAATTCCGGGAATTCCTTACAACAAAAATGCGGCAAGAAGACTACTGGGAGATATGCCAGAATTTGGCAAATCCGTCAATGAGACAAAAGAGGTCAACAAGTGGCTGGTGGACCAATGCCGTGCCCACAACTCGGCCATATGCCAGGTGTTTGTCCGGCCCTTTGCAAAGCCGGTGAGTAATTGATGGAGTCGATTTCGCATTTTTCCGGCATATGTGCGCTCGCTCGCTCACCCTCGAGATCTAGTGGGTGGTCATTTGTGACTACCGAGAAGCACAAGACATCATGTCACGTCGTGTCCGCGAGTTTGATCGAAGCAAGATCAGTCAGGATTCCCTCAAAACGGTATCGCCTCATTTCCAGCTGTGTCTTGCCACCAATGATGAATGGAGGTCGAATCGAAAACTCATGAACGATACCATGTCCACTCCATTTCTGAGCAATGTGGTGGGGCCCATTATGCACTCCATCTCGCTGGATCTCATGGACTTGTGGAGGCATAAGATCAGGTTGTCGAAAGGACATCCTTTTTCTGCCTTTGATGATGTCTTCAAAGGAGCTTTGGATATCATCTGTCAGGCAACTTTCGGCGTCAAGGTGGGCGCGATCAGAAGACAGATCGATCTGCTCAGCGAAACGATTCAAGTACCTCTTGACAGTGATCCACAAGTTGCAGCCGTCTTGCCAGCTGCTGAAGACCCGGAATTCTTCAATGCGATTTTGAAGATCTCTGCTACAGTCGAATGGGTATGCTCAACCCCTCTTTTTTTTCGTCTTTCCCAGAAGGTATACAGACTGACACGTTTTCCAGGCTCTCAAACTTCCCTTTTCACATCTTGTGCACCGATTCATCCTCAACTTCGTGCCCTCTGCGGCCAAAGCCATTCGAGTCAAAGACCAAACCATCAGTGACGAGCTCCAAGCCGCCTTCGACAAATTCTCGCAAACCAACACGAAAAAGCAGGACGTCACCAGCGCCTTGGAGCTCATTGTCATGAAAGAATTCCAAGCAGCAGCCAAAGAAGGCCGTCAAGCTCGACCTGACACACCACAACTCCGCGATGAGCTCTACGGCTTTATTCTAGGAGGTACGTCAAAAACAGCCCTCCTTCATTTCTCCAACTCTTCCAAACCCCCTTCCCTATGTTTTCTTTTTCGACCTCCCACTAACATCAAATCTCACCCTCAAAAAAGGCCACGAAACATCTTCCACAGCAATCGTATGGACTCTCAAACTCCTTGCGCGCCATCAAAACATTCAAGACAAATTCCGTGCTGCCCTGCACGAATACCATTCACGAGCGAAACGCGACGGCGATCAGCCCACCGTTGAGGAAATCATCAATCCGGATCAACCGTATACGGATGCTTTGATTGAAGAATGTCTGCGTGTCGCGGGAGTCTTGCCCGTTATGGCGAGAGATGCCATGGTGGATACGGAAGTGTTGGGATATGTGATACCGAAAGGAACGCAAATTTTCATGGTACGTACATGATTTCTTTTGTTGTTGTTGTTGTTGTTGCCGAATTTCACACGATCAAGAAAGGCAGGCGGGGAGAAGTGTCGTGCATTCAATTATTCTTTTCTACTAACCAAGGACAATTTTTGTCTTCCACAAAAATTTAATTAGGCAGCACTCGGCCCCGATTTCATCGAAACACCCATTCCCGTACCCGAAACCTCTCGTTCTCCATCCAGTCAAGCGTCCAAAGAGAAAAATGGCACATGGGATCCTCAAACAATTAGCGAATTTCAACCAGATCGCTGGCTCACATTTTCTCCGGATGATGGGGGGAAAATGGTGTTTAACCCTCGCGCGGGACAGAGTTTCCCCTTTGGAGGGGGGATTCGATCGTGTTTTGGACGCAAAATGGCCTATCTCGAATTGCGTGTGCTGTTGACGTTGATTGTGTGGAATTTTAAGTTGGAGCCGGTTCCGCTGAAGTATGATACTTGGGCTGCGAGGGATTCGGTTACACATGCACCGCAGGAGACGTATGTGAAGCTTGTGGAGATTGTTCGATAAAAATAAGGGGCGAGATGATATTTTCCACGGGAAGGGAGGAGGGTATCTGGCAGTGGTCTATAGTTTACTCTTGATATCGGCTTCCAGATATGTCTGCTGAGCTTTCAAGACTTCCACACACTCTGTCACCATCTCTTCCAAAATCTCCTTTGCCGGTTGGATCTTCTCAATAGCACCAGCGACCTGGCCCATCTGACGATTTGTGTTAGCATGATGGGACGTCCTGAATTGAACAGTAAAAGTCTTACCAAATGTGGAATGTCGATAGTATCCTGTTTGTCGTCGGGCAAGTTCTCCATGTCATGAGCCAAAGGCACTATCCCCTGGTCACACAACCTCTTCACCTCCTCAGGTCTGTCCACCTCCCAAGACTTGATATAATCATTCATCTTTACCCGCAGCGGTCTTCCGGAAACTACAAGCGTTCTTAGTGTATCCTCGAATTGCGCAGTGACAACAGCTTCTTTGTGTTGCTGCGAACAACCCGCTTCAGTCGAAGCCACGAAACGTGTCCCCACCCAGGCCCCCACAGCTCCATACGATAGACTCGCAGCCAAAGACCTCCCGTTATAGATCCCACCAGCAGCAATAACCATCGCCGTCTTCCCCGTCAAAGGGGACTTGTACTGTCTCGCCACATCCACCACGCTCGGGATCAAGATACTCGTTGCGATGTCACCAGTGTGTCCACCTCCTTCCCCTCCTTGCGCGCAAACAATATCCACGCCCGCTTTCAGCGCTTTGTGCGCATGTTTAGGATGTCCCACCATGTTCATAATCAAAATGCCCGCTTCATGCAAACGTTTGATGACATGAGCGGGCGGAACACCCACAGCAGACACGAACAGTTTGGCCTTCTCCTCAATCACCACATCAATTAATTCGTCCAATTGACCGTGTGTGTAATCATGATTGGTCTTTCGAGCGCTACCACCGACTTGTGGCAAAGCGAGGTCAACGCCAAAGGGGAGATTTGGATCTTGCAGATTCGCCTTTATCTCGTGGATAATGTCTCGCATGGCTTGGGGTGTGTAGCCGAGGCCGCCGATGACTCCGAGACCACCTGCGTTACTGACTGCCGCGGCGAGGGGGCCAGAGGAAGTGCGTGCCATGCCGGCGAGGATCACGGGGTATTCTATGCCGAGAAGGTCGCAGATGGGAGTGCGCAGGATAGGGCGAGGCTGGGTGCCATCGGTGGAGGCGGAGATGTTCATGGTGGGTGAGTTGTTTGCAGGAGAGATGAAGATGGCGTATCAAGGTGGTTTGCAAGAGAGAGTGCAGGAGTGGAGGAGGCGAGGATGTATAGATACAGACATGGGCGACATATTTACGACGAGTCGAGTGGCTTGTCTCCTCCTCGTCCCTCTTGTTGATCGGCCGCGGTTCACAGAGGTTGTCAGATCTCTCGGGCCGACAAGAGCTTATCCCCGCTGCCGCTGCCGCTGCCAAGCGAAATCTTGGCTATCATGGGCAAATCTTTCTATCGATTGCAGACAACGCCATACTGTAACTTGCCACCAATACACGCCAGCGCTTCTACCGCATACCTCTTACCGCTGAGACCACCACCGCGCTATCGGCCGGCGCTTCTATCGATCGCATACGCCTTCTAATTACGAAGCCGCAGAACAGCGCTTCTGCCGCATACCCTACACACCTAGAATCAGGATGGGTGTCCAGAAGAAAGTGCGCAAGTTTGCTGCTGTAAAGCGAGTAATCGGGCAGAGGGACGCGAGGCTCAAGAAGAACATTGTGGCAGAGGAGAAGAAGCAGGAAGAGAAGAAAAAGGGCAGCGGCAATGAGTTGATTCGAGAAATTCCACAGGTCCCCAGCTCCATGTTGTAAGTCAAGCTCCTGTCCAATTCTCCACTGACAAGTGGTGGCCTCGTAATCAGGCATGTCCAGATCTGGAGGGATATTTGCTGACGATGGAGTGATACTCCAGTTTCCATCACAATACAGCTCTTACACCCCCATACTCGGTGCTGGTTGACACGAACTTCTTATCACACTGTGTTCATCACAAATTGCCTCTCCTACCGACCCTCATGGATACGCTCTATGCTTCGTGTACGCCCATGATCACCTCCTGCGTTATGGCCGAACTCGAGAAATTAGGACCGAAATACAGGTAATACCTACACTATGAGACACGAGAAGGTGGCTGTGGCTTCTATACTTACACATCTCCAGAATCGCACTCCAAATCGCCCGCGACGAGAGATGGGAGCGGTTACCCTGTGATCACAAGTAAGTCTCCTTTCTCGAATGCCACACCTAAAAAGGCTGAGCTGACATGATGTGATTCTCCAGAGGCACGTATGCAGACGACTGCATCGTCACCCGGGTCATGCAACAGAGAGTCTACCTCGTAGCGACGAACGATCGAGATCTTCGGAGGCGCCTTAGGAAAATACCAGGTGTACCAATCATTTCTTGCAAGAGAGGGGGCTTCTCCATAGAGAGACTTCCAGACGCGCCAGATGCGGGTAGCAGAGGAATGGGCAAGGGCATTTAAGAGGGACGCAAATTGGCTGGATTGCTACTCTGCTAGCTGTCGTGCGTTCGTGGGACATGAAATTAGCGAGGCGTTTGGAGCGAAGGTGATAAGATTATGAACAGCGTTGCCATGGCCATACCACAGAAGAACTTGCGCTGGGAAACACAATAAAGACCATACCAACGATCGCGTAAGGCGCTGAGCGCGTTACTCTAGGGCCTGCAAAGAACAGACTGCGTAGGAAGTCTGAACGATTGGACCAACCCAAGTCTAAACGAGCTGCCGGCGAACATCTTTGGAGATCACATGGGAGTCGTACCATTCCGATGTGTCCAACAACGTCTCGTGAAGACATCGAGGAAAGGAGTCACACTACTCGCCCACCTCAACGCATGGCCTCTCGATTTCTGGTCCATCTTGTCATTTCAATGCTTTTTCAAGCTGCGAGGCCACTAAGCGAGAATCGCTCCACTCAGCAGTCTACTACACACGACATGATTTCCAAGCGTGTATCCAGCATGCTGTGTTCGTCAACCGCGGGTGGACACTGATAACACCATGCGGCCTTCCTTCTCCGCCTGCTCCGGCTCGTTAGACAGCGACCGGAGATGCGGTCGTCGACAAGCTGAGGATTGCTCTGGTTGGCACAGAAATGCCTGATCGACACAACGTGGGGAGGGGACGGGACGGGTTGTTGAGTATCTGTACCTACGGAAGGCAACCTATCTGTCGGGCTGTAGCTTACGTATTACAGGCGTAGTCTGTATGGAGCGGAATGGAATGGATCGTCCGAGACCTTTCACTTCAGGCTAGAAATACTATGCGACGGCTTTTCGTGCACCCGACTGCCAAAGAGTAGGAGTGGGTTGTACTCTTGAGGCCCACGGTTCTTTGGAACTGCCAGGATTCTCGGGCTGATTTCGCAGTCCGATGCATTGTTGTCAGGTACTAGATAACAATGCAGATCAAATTGCGCCTGAGGTTCAGGGTCTGCGTCTATGCAAGTCCCACTGCTGCAACTCGATGAATTTGATACTGGGATCGTCAGTGTTATCCCGCCGATGTCAACACCTGTCCGACTAACGCCATGATCAAGGGGCTGTGGAGTTGCTGGAGTGGGAACAATCAATAGTCCGAGAACGTGGGGTAGAACCCGCCGTCGATTGATTCGGTCTATAGCTCCCGTCAATTGTGCATTACGTTGTTACCTTACTCCACCTGCTGAGTTACATATACATGTCCACGGTACATACATATCTCCAAGAGCAAAGAGTACGAATCACTCCACAGTCCGCCCAATTGGAACACCTCTGGTGGACGCAAGACTTAGAAAGGTCTCATCATCTCGAAACGCGTATGCAAAGACGTCAGACAGACTCCGGGCCAAGACTCCGATGAAACGTGTCATCATAGCACAGAAGGCTGATGAGATGATTTCTGATGAATAAGGTACTGCATTTTGAAGCGGCGGCACGGTGTCTGTGAGAATGACATGATTGGCTTTCCGCCATGACCGTGATGAGTATGATGACCTGGCAAAGACAACGAAGGTCCGTCATATCAAGCAGCACGGCCGGGGCATGATCTATAATTGCCGCCTTGGCTCAGACTCTTGAATATCGCAGCCCTGCTTAGGATGGAGTATGAGTGGTGCCCATAAGAGATGCCGCGCCGTGAGAATGCTGGGCATGCGCGGCATAGGCTTGAATGCCTAGGATTCCCCGGGCTGACTAGCAACGCTATGGGCTGCCCCTAGCATTCCTCGCTGCTAATCGCAGCTTGGCTGGCTGCTGCATAAATCACCTGTCCGGGTATGCCCCATGACGAGCGAGCAGTGGACTAGCTTGCCCACTCTACTTAGTATTGCGATGCACCGATGCAGTAGTCGTGCGCTGTGCAGCGACGATGCTTTTTGCTCGGCGTGATTAAAACATGCGCTTGGCGTGCTTCGCCTGTGCATCCCACTTCCAGGCTTCAGCCCCATTGTGCTACGTGAATGACTGTGAGACGCACACCTGGTTCGAGGTAGCTCCATGGGGCATGGGCTTTGTTTGCTATAAAGAGAGCTCTTCCCCCGTCCATGGTCAATCGGCACCTGACCTCAAAGCACTCCCACTTCACCTCTGAGTAACTCGCCTCCACTTCCTACATACACCTCATTCCACAAGATCCACTCGACCAACAACAACAACAACAACAACAATGTCTGGACTCTGGACCAAGCCTCAAGCATCCGAAGCCGCCACCATTGACACAATGCGAAAGGGTCTTGCAACAGGCACCTGGCTCCAGCTTTCACCACAAACCGAGCAACCTCAAGCCAAGTGGTTGTCTCTGTCGCCCAAGAGCAACGCAGGGCCAGCTGTCGCAGCTGAGGAAGCCAGCCAAGTTACAGAGGAGCTGTCACTGGACAACGACCGCTTTCTCAGCAACCACGACTCTGGCTCCCGCTCATCATCGGTCAGCAGCGTCAAGTCAATCAGCACTAAGGCACAAGTCTTCCGACCAGTCCCTTCCACCTGCGAGCGCGAGGTCATCGGCCTGGCTCGCTTCCGCGCAGAGTGAACATTTTTCTTACGGAAACGACACTATGTTCTTTCTTCCACCACGAGCCATTGATGACTCTCATACTGCAACTGCCTTGACCTCTGCCTGCAACCACGATCGGCGCATCACGAAAAGACACCCTGTCTGCGGACAGCGCTAGTACTGCGACAAGCCAAAACAACCGCTTCAAACATCACTCCGCCCAGCAATTTCCACACATGACCAAGAGCACGGGCAACTCTTGTGATGACCATTTCCTTCTTTCTCTATCAAGCCAGACATCGACTTGTGGGCCACGACGGAGAGTTGAAATAATTCTCTAGCAAGCTCGAAAGCATGACTGACTGGACTGGACAACTTTGTACTTTCATTAGATACGTACGACATGAAAAAAGAAACATCGTCTTTTACGTCTCACTACCTATACATGTGCATGGATGTACTGTCTCAATCATCGCATCAGCAGCAACAACAGCATCTTCCTAGTCCGTACAACTTTCCGTGCACGCTTCGAATTTACCGAGCGTCATTTCCCCTCCCCCCGCAGTCCGGTCACACATATCAAACTAAGACGGGAGGTATGAGGTTAAAGCTCAAGATGTGAACTATACCATTTCAAGCTCAATCTTTGTGGGCAAAATAACCTTCTACTAGTGTCTCGGTCCCCGAGCTCTGGTTAAGTAGTTACCTCCCTCCTGCCCTAGGAAGTACATGTACATGTACATGTACCTACTACCTCCTACCTCCTACCTCCTGGTTCATCATTTGATCTTTTTTTTTCTTCTTTTTTTACATGGATAGGTCAGGTAGATATCACTTTGGGTGCTGTTGTTGACACGCGAAGGTTAGAAATTTTCACCCATGGCCTGCGACGTACTTTACTGCGTTTGGGCGTGTTCTTGCTTGCATGCTTGACGCAAGGTCAGGCGATAGGTAGAGGTCTTCGTGCACTCGCGACGCCCACTGATAGGTACCTCACTGTATGCAATGTCAGAAGAACCTCTAGCTCGGGCTTATGTGATAAGACAGCTCACATTGGTCTAGGCACACACCGAGGCCTTGGAAGAACGTAGGAAGAGCATCCGTAAGGAGGAGGCATATCCTTCTTCCATACGTTCTATGACTGACACCATTTCGCTAGCATTATTGCAACAATTAGACCCTAACGCCTTTTAGTGAAAATAAAATCATCCTACTACAAGTATTCTACGGTCGTGACAAGAATGAAGGGCAAGGCTACAGGTACATGACAAAGATGACAATGGGTCTGTCTCCTTTACGAATAGGTAGAACTACCTGTATTCATCCGACGACTCTTCGTCCCGACTAGCAAGCTACTGCACCAAGCGCGATTGTTCCTTCAATCCTGAGAACGCTGAAGCTCGTACTTGCCTTCCGTACAACACACCATCAAGCACCTTCCCAATAGCATAGAATGCTACGGCTGCGAAAGGCAATACAAGCGCTACTGCGGCATGCTGCTCCAGCTTGGAGGATGTGAGCAACCCGGCGGCATCAATCTCACACGGATCGGATTCGAAGTGATGCGATGTGTTTTCAACAGAGGTCTGGTCTCGACCAAGAATTCCATGATGAGCTTCTCGCCGAAGATGGAGGCACGCCATTCACTTGTCCAGAAGGTGGGAGATGGTTTCTGCAACTCCGTGTTTCAGCACGGATGGAGTACTGATTGTGATGGAATTGGATTCGGTCTTTGGGCAGTTGAAGAAGTAGTTGCGGACAAGGGGTGCGTGATCTGGCTGCCATGTTCTAGTTCAGACGACGCTGACTTGGAAGTTCGCAATGGTGTCATAGCGATTGATGATCGGCGATACATGTTTCTAGTTCTTTCAAGCTCGAGGGTGGACACCAGGAACTTCGCGATGCCCCACGAAAGTGAAGTGAAGTCAAGTGAAGTGGAGCAGAATTGGTCCTCCCGTCAACCTATAAAGTTCTCGTGCACCACCTCCCTTTTCCTCTTCTCGCACAGACTTCTCCAGAGGCCACCACGAAAAACGACATTCCATCAAATCAGCGACGGTGGATCCGGCTTAAGACAGGCAAGATCGCAACAGAACCCCGCTGCCGACCACGATGGAGACCTTTGCAGAAACCGCGCCGGCATACCTGCGCGATGCGCAATTCTCGGACTTCACCATTGTCTGCGGGGCCAAAGAGTACAAGGTCCATCGCGTGATCATCTCCTCGCATTCCAAATACCTCGCGCGTTGCTGTTCGGGTGACTTCCAAGAGGCAATGACCCACCGTGTTGAGTTGCAGGAAGACGACCCTGCCGCGATTGCGAGGATGTATGCTTCAATTCGCCGTAAAATTCTGATGAGCATGAACTAATTGAAGACTCTAGGATCGAGTACTTCTACAAGTTCGACTATGAGGACCGTGAGGACACAGCGAATGCGACGGAGAACACTATCCAGATCAATGCTATTGTATTGGTCGCCGCCGAGAAATACGACGTGCAGGGCTTGAAGCTGCTTGCGCGCGAGAAGTACAAGACAGCGTGCTCCTCCAAGCGTCATGATTCCATGGCTCTTGCAAAGGCAGCACAAACCATTTATCAACAGATCAAGCTTCCTGTTGATGATTTGGAGAACATGAAGGCTATTCTCCTGTGGAACTGGCAGGAACCCAAGGGCCGGCGCAGGCGCTTCTCCGATCTTGTAGCTCAAGACGCACATGGGCCAGAGTTGAGAGAAATGTGGAAGACGAATTTGGACTTTCTCATCGACATTCAGAAGGCCATGTTCAGCGAGCCTAAGCATCGGCACGGGCTTCAGAAGGCCATGCTTAGAAATGCTAAGTCTTGGGACGAGCCTGCAGAATTACTTCTGGAATACTAAACAAGATGGGTTTGATGCAGCCCTTCAGCATTCCGGTATGAGAGTGCTCGATGCTTGCTCGGCACTCCTCGCTGCATAACCACGGTTGGGGAGCCGCGTCCCTTCAAAGCTTGCACGCTGGGTGTCAAGATACCTGGCGCTGGGAGCATACCAGAGCGGGCCCATTCAGACGTACCGGCGCGAGGGTACTTCGTAATAGACAGAGGCAGAGGCACGTCTATTAAATGTGCAGAGACCAAATGTGCTTTTCTTTCTATCTTCACCCTGCCATCATCGTCCTTCATCGTAGCCTTCATGGGCAAAAAACTTGGCCTTGTACGCCAGACACCATCGCTGAAATTCAGACCCTCGTAAAAGCACAACCCTCTCACCCCTTAGGACTTCGTGCTGAGCTATGCCGACCATGCAAGTGACGACAACACCAGTTCGACCAAGCGTGAAGAAGTCCCTAGAACCTCTCTTTCATCCTTGCACTCACAGTCCTTAGGTTCCCATAAACCTTGCCGGGGGGACTTCCCAAAATCAGACTCACAATCGCCTCCCTCGCGACATGTAGATTCTTGAACCCTCCTAGGATATGCACCTTGCTCCCCGCCAGCACAACTCTCGTTCTGCTCGCATTCTCAATCGCAAACTTGGTCTTTCCATCCTTGCCTGCAATTCTCCCAATAGCGCGACTCAAGTGCTCTCCTTCCAAGCTCTTCACATCCTTGATCTCAAAGCTCTGCATGTACAAATCATCCAACCTCAGCAGCGCAATCGCATCATCTAGATCAAAGCCGAGGCAGAACGCTTCGATGAAATCTGCTCCCTTTTGAATCGCGCCAGTATCGGTGGTATATTTGGATGTTCGCAATTCGACAGATTTCTTGGACACGTTCATGCGCACTTGGAGCTTGAGGTGTTCGACAAGGGCTGGGTAGATTTTCGGCCAGGAGACTTTGAGAGGTGACATGCGGTGGGGTGGGACGCGGACGTTGCGCTCTTCTCGCTTGTGGCGACTTTCTGAAGGCTTCTCCGGGGAGAAGAGGGCTGCGGAGCCACCGTCAATTTCCATGGCAATGTCGTGGTCGGCGGTCGACTGCTCGGTGGGCACGATGGTCGAGGATATGATCTCTGAGTCGACTGCGGTTTCCGGTGCGTCGTGCACAATTTCGTCTTCGACTTTTTCGGGCGCTCTTTGCAGAGCCGTTGGTGCAGGCATTTTTGCTCTAATGGTGCTTGCTCTAGTCGGCGTCGTACTCTGATTGTGTTCGATTATTCGCCTGAGAGTGGGTGCTGTGCTGTATGGCAAGCCGTGCAATGAGTGAGTGAACGGTCCGATGTTGAAAAAGAATATCAACTTTTGGCAGGCACGGCACGCTAGATTAAAATAGGGTTTGCAGGGATACGATCGGCGCCTTCCTCTCCGCGTCACGCTCTCAGCCTGGAGCTCTGTGCACTGCTCTCTGTCGTGTCTGAATCAAATCAACTTCAACATCTTCCCCGACACTACTACGATCACACCGCACACAATCCACGGCCACTCATCTCGTACCATCTGAGCTCGTCTATAGCCCGGAAGAATATGGCGGCAATGGGATACGCTCCGATGCTCAACGAACAGCCTGGCTACTCATTCGCACAAGCTCCCACATCGAACTCACAACCCAAACAGCACGGCTTCTACCCGTATGCTCTGCCCAGCATCGCTATTTGACTCCTCGCTGACGAAGAATTCCTAGATACACTGACAACGGCGGCTCGACTCTTGGGATCAGCGGCTCAGACTTCACCATCCTCGCAGGCGACACTCGTTCCACCTCCGGATACAACATCAACACGCGCTACGAACCGAAGCTCTTCAAAATTGGCGGCAACGGTCCCGAAAATGAAGGCTCGAAAATCGTCCTCTCCGTAGTTGGCTTCGCAGCAGATGGCCACGCGCTGAAGGAGCGACTAGACACCGTGGTCAAAATGTACAAGTACCAACATGGCAAGGACATCTCCATTGGCGCATGTGCGCAGCGTCTTTCCCACATCTTGTACGGCAAGCGATTTTTCCCGTACTACGTGACTGCTATTCTGGGCGGTATCGATGAGGATGGCAAGGGAGCACTCTACAGCTACGATCCAGTGGGCAGTTATGAGAGGGAGCAGTGTCGTGCTGCGGGCGCGGCGAGCAGTTTGATCATGCCTTTCTTGGACAACCAGGTGAATCTGAAGAACCAGTACGACCCTACACAGCCGCAAGGTTTCTCGAAGGAGCCTTTAGTAGCGAAGCCGCTGGACAGGCAGCACGTGGAGAGTCTGGTCAAGGATGCTTTCACGAGTGCTGTGGAGAGACATATCGAGGTTGGTGATGGTTTGCAGACAATGATCATCACGAAAGATGGTATTCTGGAGACGTATGCCGATCTGAAGAAGGATTAAGGGATGTCATGGCCATGGTGATAGATGAGGAAGTGTACGATATTTGGCGGTCGAAATGACCGCAGATCATATGTGCATAGCAAGGTGCTAGGAGTTATGCTCTGTGCTCGCCGTATGCATCGCGGACAGCAGTGTTCCTTGACACTCCATCTGCGCCAATCCTATGCTGCAGTTGCAGTAAGAAATTGATGCACGACCGAGAGTGAGTAGAAATTGGCTTCATGGACATTTCACAGGGCAATATGCCTGGTTTACTCATCACTTACTTCGATTTCCCGAGCATTTTGACGAGGTGGCTTCATTATGGCCATGGGACCTACCTATTCAAACGACTCGATAGCATCTTTGCATTGAGTGCTACACCTACCTCTCTTTATACAGCTCGGCGGTATCATGACCCACTAGTCGACAGAACCTCCAGTACAGTTTTGAAATCTGGCGCCCAGTAAAACATGGCCTTCTCACCTGCCACATCTTTCAGTGTACTCAGCCGAGGCGGCACGTACTCTAGTGGCGAGAACACTTTCTTGCTCGCCCCTTCGTATGCCTCCTCGGGCACGTCAAATAACCAAATTCCAATATCTGCTTCGCAAAGACAGTCAAAGTCTGTTGACGAATCACCAATATAGACAGTGAATTGACCACCGTTGTTACCACAGGCCTTCATACGTCGAAGCTTATCGTCACTCGTACGAATGTCTGTGCCATCGGATCTAATGACTTGCCCCGAACTGCCCTCCAGGCTATCGAGGCCCTCTATCTCGTTGGCATGAATAGGCATTGCGTTCAAAACATTTGATTCCAGGCGACGGGAAGCGCCGACTTGGAGTGAGCGACGGATCGCTGTCTCGCTCCAGTTTACGCTGAGGATTTCTACGGTACTGCCAGACTGATGATAACATGCTTCGAGAAGGTCTGTCCAGCCTGCTCGGGGCTCCAGCTCGCCAGTCTCAAAGGCTCGATCTACTGCGTCCTCGACATCTTTTCGCCTGACGCCTTGAAAGAACCCAGCATCCTGCACGCGCTTGGCGCTTTGATGTTCGATCTGCTTTCGAGATGCTAGCCAGGAGCTGTACTCTGTTCTATCGTAGTTGTGCCAGGGAAAGTGTTGCTTTTGGTATGACTCGTAGTCTTTCATGTATGCATTGACGATATCCTCCCAGGTCAATTTGGGGGAGTGGTTGTTCTTTGGTAGCGTGCCATATATCGCCATTGTGTCTTTGACAGTGAGCGTGCCATCGTAGTCGAGGACTAATCTGATGGGTCGTTTGAGCCTGTTGGTAGGCGTCATCACTTCTGGTAGACTGTGAAACAGTCGGGGTGTAAGGTCTCGTGATATCGGTGGACATATAGCTCGATATGCCGATGGTAGATGCGGCTTGAGGATCGATATTGTCATAGACTACTGCTGCGCCGCTGCGGGAGCTTCACAAGTGCCTACTACGACAGCAACTGCAGAGCCGCGGATTGAACTTTACAAGACTGTCTCGAGGCAATAACCGGGGCGATAATAGTGGCAATAACAGTGGCAATACCATTCTACCTCCTATATCGTGAACTGTCGGGAGGACAAAGGCATGTGAAGAAGAGTGCCAACAACTCATCCGAGGTCGCTGCCGCAGCTAATTGCCGGCACAGATACACGTTATTGCCGACCGGGAATTGTGGACGAGCTGTGTAAATCGATTTTCGCCACTCTGGGGTCAGTAGTCCACTGTGCTCCATGCAATTCTAAGTCGTCGGAATTGTGGTCGCTCTTGCCATCCCGACAGCCAATCAGCCTTGAGATGATCGTCTGACCCTCTGACCTTTAACATTACAGCATCGACTTTGCCTCTATCCTCCTTCTCCCCTCAGACACGAACATCTCCACTCTCACCACCACACATTCACAATGGCCCTACGACTAGCAACACGGCGCTTTGCGCCACAGCTCATTGCCCGCCGCGGCATGGCCAGCGTCGTCGACACGGCCAAGCAAGCAACCAGCGCGCCTGGACTCGTCTCAGAGGCCACCTCCGCTTCCACAGCACCAAAGCCAGCCAGCCAGTCAAACACGATCCGAGACCCCACGGCCGACCCTAATGCGAAGATCAAGACCTTCCAGATCTACAGATGGAATCCTGATGAGCCTCAGACCAAGCCGAAGATGCAGTCTTACACATTGGACTTGAACAAGACGGGACCTATGATGTTGGATGCTCTGATCAGGATCAAGAACGAGGTGGACCCTACTCTCACATTCCGAAGATCATGCAGAGAGGGTATCTGCGGCAGTTGTGCCATGAACATTGATGGCGTAAACACATTGGCATGCCTTTGTGAGTTCCTCTGTGGCAAACCATACGACTGGCATCTGCTGACATGAGGACTACAGGCCGAATTCCTACAGACACTGCAAAGGAGTCGAGGATATATCCATTGCCACACACATATGTTGTCAAGGACCTTGTTCCGGATTTGACGCAATTCTACAAGCAGTACAAATCCATCAAGCCATACTTGCAGCGTGATTCTCTTCCCGAAGACGTAAGTTACATGAACAATACGATTGTGCGACCAGCACTGACATTCGGCACAGGGCAAGGAAGTCCGACAATCTAAGGAAGACCGCCGCAAGCTCGATGGAATGTACGAATGTATCCTGTGCGCGTGCTGCAGCACATCCTGCCCATCATACTGGTGGAACAGTGAAGAGTACCTTGGACCAGCCGTGCTCATGCAGTCGTACCGATGGATTGCAGACTCTCGTGATCAGAAGGCTGCAGAGCGCAAGGACGCCTTGAACAACAGCATGAGTTTGTACAGATGCCACACAATTTTGAACTGCAGCAGGACATGCCCCAAGGGCCTGAACCCGGCATTGGCCATTGCCCAGATCAAGAAGGAGATGGCTTTTGCGTAGAGGTATCGGTTGCATGGTCCGCGAGAAGAGTAGTGAGTTACCAGCAGCAAAAACGCTAGATTGGGCATAGGTAAATACACCAGAAACTGTTTGTAAATAAGCTATTTTGAAATGGTCAGATGATGGGATTCCTTCGCGGTGCTCTAGCACAATCGTCTGGCTGTCGTCTGCCATTGTGTCGTTCCGGCTCCCCAGGATTGCACGCGCTGTGTTTGTCTGGACCCAAATTGGAAGAATGTCCTGCTCCCCTGCCTCCTCACAATGAGTCAACTGTGGGGCAGTATGTTACCGTAGAGGATACATACCTTATAAGGCTTATATTGTTAGAGCACGTCTCTCGGGGCCAGGCCCTGCTTTCCGCACCTGCCACCACTCACGCAAAGGCGTGGCGCTTTACCATTTATTGGTTGATGACTCCTCTATGGGTACCTTATATTGTACATGTACTTTGCACCTGAAGCTCATGTTAGTACCACATCACCTACAAGCTCTACTTCTCGAGACATTGACTCTCCAATGTCTGACCAATCCACCATACAGCTGGACTCAAAACCAAAAATATGGACTCGAGATCAATACTCCATCTCCACGGACAAATCCCTCCTGCAGCTTGATGCGATCAACTTGGCCTTTGCAACAGATTACATGTACTGGACCAATCCCCTTCCCCAAGAAGTCCTGCAGCAAGTAATCGATGGTTCATTCTGCTTCGGAATCTACCAAAACCTCGACGACACTACTACACGCCAGCAGCTCGGTTTCGCACGTCTGATTACAGATCATACCACTTTTGCCTATCTCACCGATGTGTACGTTCTCCCAGAGTATCGAGGACTGGGCATTGGAGGTTGGTTGTTAGATTGCATTGATGAGCATTTGGAAGCGAAACCGTAACTTCGTTGGACAATGTTGCGGACTGGCAGACTGCGAAGTCGTGAGTTGTATCAGAATCGGCAAGGGTATCAGGTGTTGGAGTCGGGTACTGGGGAGTTTGGTCCTTGGATGATGGGGAAGAAGGGCAGAGGTAATATGGCATGATGAAGATGGTGTTGACGAGTATGGAATAATGGTATTGTTCCGACTTAAGGTGATGTGGTAGTTCTATATTGGTAGATGATTCTGGTTTTAGAGAGCCAGTCTCGATACCGCACGAACGGCAAAGAGCACTTGTCTGTGCGAAGTACACTTTGAATCGATGGAATATCTTACTGACTCCAACATGTGTCTGTTCAATAGAGTCAAGCATTACCTCTTTATCTTCATCCGATGTCGCTGCTTCGCTAATGTAGCAGGCATCGACAGTAAGACTTGGCGATCTCCCTCTTCAATATAGCGCGCTTTGGTATCTGATAACTCCTGACAACGACACAAAAAGGCCAAGTCACCGCATTACTCCAGTCTGCTGGAGCTTTCAAGAGGAAAATCACAGTCCCAGAGTACTCTATTCCAAGCTCATTTCTCTTTGCTAGTCCACTATGTCCAATACCTAGAGAACCAAGAAAACCCCCTCCCCCCAGTTTCTCCTCCGTCGAAAGTTCCAGGATACCTACTAGAGATCAGCCATGGCAAAAGAAATCCCCTCTTCAACCTTCACAAAATCTCTCCCCAAAGTCGAACTGCACGCCCACCTCACAGGAAGCATAAGTCCCTCCTGTCTCCACCAAATCTGGAAGCAAAAAACAAGCTCGACCTCAACCTCATCCACAACATTGCAAGACCCAACCATAGCCCTCGCGCCTCCAAAAAATAAAACCCATCATGACATTTCCACCTTTTTCAAAATCTTCGACACCTACATTTACGCACTCGTCAATTCTCCCGAGACGGTCACATGGGCTACACAAAGTGTATTAAAAGCCTTCGAAACCGATGGAGTGAAATATTTAGAAGTGCGAACTACGCCTCGAGAATGCGTGGAGACGGGGATGACGAAGGAGAAGTATTTGGAAGCTGTGGTGAAGGGGATAGAAGAGTTTGATTCATTATCTGCTTCTTCGACTTCTGCTTCTGCTTCTTTCTCGTCTTCGTCAAACAGCTTATCAACGCGTCTAATTCTAAGCATCGATCGCAGAAACTCGCTCGAGCAAGCAATGCAAGTGATAGACCTAGCAATTCACTACCGAGAAAAAGGCATCGTGGGAATCGATCTCTGCGGGAATCCCATGGTGGGACCAGTGAGACATCTCGCTCCAGCATTCTCGAGGGCGAAAGCAGAAGGGTTCAAATTGACGTTACATTTTGCTGAAGTGCCGGCTTCGAGTAGTGAGGAAGAGATGAGAATGTTATTGTTGGAGTGGAGGCCAGAGAGAATTGGACATGTGATTTATACTTCGCCGGAGATTGAAGGCGAAATCGAGAAGTTGGGTACGGGGTTGGAGTTGTGTTTGAGTTGTAATGTATTGGCGAAGATGCTTCCTGGGAAGGCAGGGTTTGATGCTCATCATTTTGCAAAGTGGAGGAAGAAGAGGAATCCCATCGCGCTGTCGGTGAGTGGTTTAAGCTGTGTTTTGTTCCGGTTGAGAAGCGGGTTACTGATGATGAATATACAGACTGACGATGTGGGCGTCTTTGGTAGCCCTGTGTCGAATGAGTATCTGCTCGCTGCCCAACACTTTGACCTAGACGGAGATGATCTGATCGAGCTCAGTCGTAGCGCAGTAGCTTCTATCTTTGGTGGTGACAGCGAGAAGGCTAGGCTATACTCACTTCTTGACCTCTTTGCAAAGGAGTCCTCACTTGACAAATAGTCTACTGGGTGCTCATATCTGGACATCCGAGAACGACGTGAAAGAGACCAAGGAACAGGAATGAGCTATTTGATGTGGCGCTCAGGATGTGTGATGGAGACATCTCAAGATGAAGACTACAGGTGCTGCCTGTTGGCCATTCTCGAGGGCAAGGTGTCTACGCTGCACAGCTCAACGAGCCAGTGTAGCCCATGGTCAGGAAGAAGGTGAAGAAGCTGCGAAGAACGTGGGTCTCGCAAGTGGTTTCGCAGGCCTCATGGCAAGGCTTGCAGAGGGCGATGCCTATGTTCTACACTTCTTGAATACATGCTTTTCAGGTGGTCTCGTTTCCCACAAGTCTCCTGCCGATATTGCCAAAACAGACAGCACTCACGAACAGCACGCTAGCAATCCACGTCGCAACACCTACGCTTTCCAAACTAAAGATGCCCAACACATAATTCTCGTCCCTCAAAGCATGTAGACTCCCATTCATGATTCCGCTTCCAGCATGTCTTCCAACCTGCTCCTGAAAAGCCTGCTTCGGTCCAGGCGCAGGCACTAAAGCGGGGTCCGCAACCAGAAGCAATGCTGTACCGATGATGGCCACAAAGGTGCTGAGAATGAAACCAGTTGAGGACCGGTCAAGGAGATACCAAATCGCCGGGTTCACCAACGCCAGAGTCAGGTTCAATTGCAGGGCACTCTGCCATGGTAGCTTGCGAATAGCAAAAGCGATTCCTACAAATGCCCCAATACTTCTGACGACATTCAACCAGTCTTGTCCATTCTTATTGTGCGTTCGGTTATTTTCATTCTCCTCTTCTTCCAGTGTTTCGTCTTCGTCCTCTTCTGACCTCCAGAGTCTGTCAACGTAGGGCAGTGCTTCACCCAGTACGGCACCAATACCGCCCCAAATTGTCAAATAGGACCAATTCTCCGTGTCGAGATTGAGCTCGATAGCAGCGAAGTTCTGATGGTCATGCAGGTGGCTGATCAGCAGTCCATACAGGACACCGACACTGGCCATTGCGGTTGTCCTTCCCAAGACAGGCAGATAACTGGCGACACCTGTTGCAGGTTTCGTGTAATGTTTCTGTATATGGGGATTGAAGCTCTTTCTCCGTATGGTCTGTGAATTTGGCGTTTTGCGTTCAAAGGCATTCGAAGGTAGATTCAGGCGTGCCCAATCGAACGAAGGGTGTGTACTGCTGATGGTGTCCGCCGGGGTTTGCGCGCCATTGCCCAAAGGAGTGGGTTGTGATGAGCCAGCTTCATCGCCGGTGTCTTGGTAGATGCCGAAGAGGGTGCTCGTTGTAAGATTGAGGAAGGAGCGTGTTCGTGACACGTCGCTGGCGGTCTCCTTCTCCTTTCGCGGTGTCTCGCTCATTTTCCACTTCAGGTTCGCTTCCAACGTTGGCGAAGTTTCTGTCGGTGTTGCTGGTTCCGAGTCAAGCTCGAAAGTCCTACGACTGCGGGGCGTAGGAAGTGGTTTCATAGCCGGAGCATTGCTACTGTTGGTGTCCACGTGAGCCACAGGATGCGACATTCTGCTCTTCTGCCGCTTCTGCTGTAGACAACAATGGATGGGTCGATCGTGAGAGGCCGGGGACGAGGAAAACCCGAACAGGCCCGCGGCTTTCAGCCTGGCACAACCGTCTGAGCTTGAGACACGACTATGTATGACTATGGCGAGAGAGATTCATTCAATGGAAAACAAGAGCGGTATGATGCCAACACGACTGACTCTACTGAGCAGTAGGAGGTAGAGGTAGTGTGGTGAGGACGAGGAGGAGCAGAGACGACCAACAGCAACAGCAGCAGCAGCGCGCGTGCGAGTCGATCCACTGAGCACAGCAGACGTCAGCCTATAATGTTGGTTGAGACCGAATGGAACAAAGCATGTGAAAGAGTGCCTCAGATCCGTTCTGCCCGGGACAGGGATTATATGGCGCTAAGGGCGGCCCGTTTTCGCTAGACCTGCATGAGGCGGGTTCTCCACATTCAGAGGCTACCGAGAGAAATATTCGTCTCGAAAACCAAACAACGACGACAGCATATCTATTTGTACACGCTGCGTCGCTTTCCGCATAGTTATTCCTCACAATGGCCACCTCCACGGAAGCGCAGAAGCAAGTCAAGATCCGGTTGTCAGCCAAGGACGAGTCGATTGCGCTACCCCAAGAAGTCGGCGAGCTGGTGATCAGCACTGGTCAGTGGTATTGTCACATGCTGGCGAGGCTAATCAGCTAACTGATCGCTACATAGAGGTGAAGCGTTACCAGCTATCACTGCTGGTCAATAACCTGCTCGGAACTGCACAACCAACGCCTTTCGAGTTCCTGATCAATGGACAATACCTGAGGACCAGCCTGGACGAGTTTCTGACCGAGAATGGAATCAGTGCAGAAACGACGCTCAGTATCGAGTATGTGAAGGCATTGAGTCCTCCGCAGTATGTTGCCAGTTACGAGCACGACGACTGGGTCTCATCAGTAGACATACTCTCGGAATCTTCCGCTGCGGCAAATTGGGCGAATGTGACTGGAAGTCTACCGACAAGCGTAGCATCTGGCTCCTTCGACGGAGCGCTTCGAGTGTGGAATGAATCACAAGAAATACTCGCCACCGGCACAGGCTGGCATCGTGGCTCAATTCATGCAACCAAGTGGCTTTCACCAACACAGATTGCCACTGCTGGCACTGATCGCTCAGTCCGTCTGTGGGACTATGCGCTATCCGGGACAGCAGCGGGAAGCGCAAAACTGTCGCCCAAGCTGGAGCTACTCGGTCACAAGGGAGCAATCGACTCGATAGCTGTGCACGCGCCGTCGTCGAGAATTCTCACCGCATCCTCAGACAACAGAATCGGGGTTTGGAGTTCGAAGAAATCCGAAGGTCCAGCTTATGAAGCTCCAGCCCCTTCTTCAACAGCGAACAAGCGCCGCAAGATCTCCGGGCCTGCCATCTCCACTCCCCAACGAGGCGCTCTTTCCTACCTCGAAGGACACACTCAGCATGTCAAAGACGTCGTATTTGACACCCGCGATCCGACAGTCGGATATTCCGCTTCGATAGACCACAGCGTAAAAACCTGGGACTTGGCAACTGCAACCTGTGTTTCTACCCGCTCAACCAACCAGTCTCTCCTCTCCATCTGTCACCTGCCAGAACACACGGGCATTTTAGCCGGAGGCGCACTGAACAGGATAGATCTCATCGACTTGCGGGCCAGCGCGAGTAAAGTCGCAGTACTCTCCTGTCGAGGCCACAAGAACTGGATCAGAAGTATCTCTCGTGATCCGGAGAGTTCATATCGCTTCGTGTCAGGAAGTGATGATAGCACGTGTCGCATTTGGGATATACGATCGACGAGCCAAGAAGCTGCGGGTGGTACGGTCGCGAAACCCGTCTATACGATTGATCGAGAATCGCAAACGGGCAAGAAGGTGGAGCAAGGCAGTGAGAGCAGCGTATATGCGGTGGAGTGGAGTAAGGAAATCGGAATTGTGGCTGGAGGTATGGATAAGATGTTGCAGATCAACAGAGCTCCTTCGTAGGGGGCTTCAATCACGACAAAGGAGTCTTGCGAATTGGCGACGTGACCAGCAGTATTATGTTGGGCTTCTTTTAGGCATAACTTACAGACGCGCGTGGTTGCGTACCTAGGCTTGCTGACAACGGGAGGTTAAGATTCTCAAGACTGCTTCGCCAGTGGAGGCCATACTGTTGTGAAATAAAATTTATTCATGTGCTCTGATCCATCACCTAGCTAACACCAACAAAGCACATATACATCAGGCTCTCATGTTTGGTATTTTCGTAACTTCGTGCTCATCCGTGGCTAACTGGATGCCACTGACACCAACGTTCAATTATCCAGGTTCGTAGACGCTGTCCGAATTTTGACCCTATGCCTTTGCAATCTTGCAAATCAGATCTTGCGAATCGACAGAATCGCCCTCCTTGACACTGAGTGCTTCGACCTTGCCGGAGTGAGGCGAACTGATCACCATTTCCTGCGCCACAAGTTAGCAACGTATTGATGGGTAAGAGAAGGCATGTTGTTTGTTCATGACTTACCATCTTCATGGCGGACAAGATGGCGACGGGGTCGCCCTTCTTAATGTCTGAGCCGTCCTTTACGCGAATCTCCACGACCATGCCACTCATTGGCGCACCAACCTGGCTGCTGTCGCCAGAGTCTGCCTTGACTCGGCTGGTGTTCTCCACAGCGGCATGCTTGTCTTGAACAGTCACCTGTCTCATCTCACCATTGACCTCGAAGAAGACTTCACGCTGGCCGGTCTGATCACTCAGTGGACCAACAGCCAGCAGCTTGAGAATCAGCACCTTGCCCTTCTCAAGCTCGACGTGGAATTCCTCGCCAATCTCGGGCTTGTTGAGGAAATACTTCGTAGGCAAGACCGAGAGGTCACCGAAAGAAGAAACCCACTTTCTGTAGTCCTCGAAGACTTTGGAGTACATGACATAGCTGGCCACGTCAGTCTCTGAGCACCCTCCGTACTTCTCCTTGAGAGTCTCGCGGACTTTGTCAAAGTTGATTGGGTCGAGGTAGAGGCCAGGTCGCTTGTCCATCTTTCTGCGACCACGCAACGCCTTGGTTCGAAGGGGCTCCGGGAACCCGCCGTAAGGTTGGCCCATCAGTCCCTCGAAGAACTCAAGGACAGAAGATGGGAAGTCCAGATCATCGGCCTTTTCGTGGACATCGTCATAGCTCAAGCTGTTGGCGACCATGAACTGTGCGAGATCGCCAACGACCTTTGAGGTAGGCGTGACCTTGACGATGTCGCCCAGGATGTCGTTCGCCTGCTCGTAAGCCTTCTTGGTCTGTGCCCACTTCGTGCCAAGACCTTGCTGCGCAGCCTGGAAGATGAGATTGGTGAGCTGCCCGCCAGGGATCTCGTGCTCGTAGACTTCTGGATCAGGTCCAGTGAGCCCAGCTTCGAAAGGCGAGTACAGCATGCGGACCTGTGCCCAGTATGAGTCGATCGCCCGCAGGTGTGTCGGGTTGAGACCAGACTCGAAGTCGCTTCCCTCGAGAGATGCGACTAGAGCACCGATGCTTGGCTGTGAGGTGGTGCCGGACATGCTGTCAGTGGCAGCATCCACTGCATCAGCTCCAGCTTGCGCGCATGCCACCATTGATGCTACACCAGTACCGGCGGAATCGTGAGTGTGGACGTGGATCGGGAGATCCGGGTACTTTTTGCGAATGCTGCTAATCAGCAGAGTAGCCGCCTTTGGCTTCAGCACACCAGCCATATCCTTGATGCCTACGAGGAAGTCAGTAGCGGTTGAGGAATAGTCTGTATTGGACTGTCCACTCACCAAGAATGTGGGCACCCATCCCAACTATGCGCTCAACACAGCCCATGTAGTACTCGAGGTTGTACTTCTTGCTTGGATTCTGAGAGAAATACGTTAGTCAACTGCTCGACTCGCCAATTGCTTTGAGGCCTCTAAGTCGTCGGAACGTGCTAGCCGTGAGAGGGTTGGTGTCATGGCGGCACAGTCGATGCAGGTCCTTAGACGACTGTGGTGATGGCGAGAGCAGCAGTGATGTAGGCTAAAGCCATTCATGCCAAGGACACGTTGGGCCGATATTGAGGATGAAGCCGCGAGTGCAGAGTCCAGAGCCCAGAGGAATGAGCGCGGGAGGTGCTTCGTGCAAAGGCAGGAACCGAAGCAGCTACGTTAAAGCGCACACACTCACGAGACCTAGAAGCAAATAGAAAAGAAAATGTTAACTCACCAGGAAGTCTCCTGAGTAGCAAACGGTTCCCTCGGCAACACCGCCGGCCTTGAGAACGGCTTTGATGCCGACTTCGAGCTGGTCCATGTCGTTGAGGGCGTCGAAGACTCGGAAAATGTCCATACCATTCTTCTTCGCCTGCTCACAGAAGTGGTAGATGGCGTTGTCTGGCAAAGACGAGTACGCCACACCATTGGCGCCACGCAGCAGCATTTGGAAAGGAATGTTTGGCACAGCTTTTCGCATCTTCCTTAGACGATCCCATGGGTCCTCGTAGAGGAAACGCATCGATACATCGAAGGTAGCACCTCCCCAACACTCCAAAGCCCAAGCGTTGCTGAGTGCATAGCTGGTCTCTTTGGCAATGTTGAGCAGATCAATTGTTCGCATTCTCGTTGCGAGAAGAGACTGGTGAGCATCACGCCAGGTGGTATCCATGATCAAGCAGCCCTTGTTTGCTCGTACAGCCTTTGCGAATGCCTCTGGACCCTGCTCTGTGATGATGCTCCTCCAGCCCTTCTGACATGGCTCAGACAAGTCAAGTGGCTTTCCGTCCTCGCCCGCAAGTGTTGGGATAATCGCATCTCCCTTGAATTTTGACTCGCCGATTTGTCCGATGACCTGAGGACCATTGACAATGAGCTCTCCGAGGTAGCTCAGCAGCTTCTGAGCACGGTTTTGACTGCCGATGAGGTTGAACAATTCGGGCGTGTCGTCGATGAAGGTCGTCCAGCATTGGCTTTCGATGAAGGTGGGGTGGGTGAGGAGTGAGGCGAGGAAGGGAATGTTGGTCTTCAGGCCGCGAATACGGAACTCGACCAGAGCACGAAGGACTTTTCGGCGGGCGATCTCGTAAGTTGAACCAAGGCAAGTGCACTTTACCAGCATAGAGTCGTAGTAACTTTCAGATGTCAGCTATGATCCTAAAGATGTAGATATGAGGTTAAACTCGGCTTACGGGGTGATGACAGCTCCGGAGAATCCATTTCCTGTAGACGGGTCAGAAAAGCTGGTCGAGGGTCCCAAGTCTCCAGCTCGCAAGCATACGTACCACCATCGAGACGCACGCCGTTACCACCAGCTGACCGACTATGTGGTTGTTAGCACAAGCTTCAAGGCGCGAGTCACAATGGCACTCACTAGACTTCGATCTTGCCAGTGTCTGGACTGAAACCCTGTGAGGGATCTTCGGTTGTGATACGACACTGGATGGCAAATCCACGCGTAGAGATTCTGTCCTGTGTAAGGCCGAGTTGCTCAAGCGAAGCACCCGCTGCGATCTGGATCTGCGCAGCCACGATGTCGATACCAGTAATCTCTTCCGTGATTGTGTGCTCGACCTGGATACGAGGGTTGATTTCAATAAAGTAGTGGCGGTTCTGCTGATCTACCAAGAACTCAGCGGTTCCAGCATTGCGGTAGTTGGCCGATTTGGCGAGTCTGACGGCATCGCTCAAGATAGCATCGCGAGTCTCCTGTGGCAGATCCTTGGCTGGTGCCAATTCCACGACCTTTTGATGACGACGCTGGACCGAACAGTCACGCTCGTAAAGGTGAACCACATTGCCGTAGTTATCGCCCAGAAGCTGGACCTCGATATGCTTTGGTCGGTACAAGAAGCGCTCAATGAACACTGTGCCATTGCCGAATGCGGACTTTGCCTCGGAGGTAGCTCTTTCGAAAGAGTCCTTTAGTTCCTCTTGCTTCCAGACGACACGCATACCACGACCTCCACCTCCAAAGGCAGCTTTGATGATGATTGGGAAGCCGTACTCGTCAGTGAAGCTCTTTGCATCCTCGAACTTCTCGACAGGCCCCGGCGTGCCGGGTACAGTTGGAACTTCAGCCTTTAGAGCAAGCGTTCGTGCGGAAACCTTGTCTCCGAGGTCGTTGATGGTCTTGGGTTTGGGACCGATCCAGATGATTCCTGCCGCCTCGACTGCCTTTGCGAATTCGTAATTCTCACTGAGAAAGCCATAACCAGGATGGATCTATAGCGATTTGTTTAGCAAATGCACGTCCGTCTCTCATGGTCTAGTATGATGCAGTGTTGGCTTACCATGTTGACTCCATGCTCCTTTGCAATCTTGATGATGGCGTCTCCAGCCAGGTATGCTCCCACCGGTGTGTACTCTCCTCGTTTACCAATGACATATGCCTCGTCGGCCTTTTGTCTGTGCATGGAAAGACGATCCTCATGACTGTATACTGCTACTGTCTGCAAGGACAGCTCGTGTGCGGTACGGAAAATGCGGATCGGGATTTCTCCTCGGTTGGCAACCAGAATCTTGTTCTGCTGCATGATGGACGAGTTCGCTCGTAGTCTCTGGTGGACAGTGTTCTTGTCCTGGTGAGTCTCGCCATGAGGATCCTGGGTGCCATAGTCTCCATCGTCAATGGCAGACTCGTTCTGGATGGAGTCAGACATGTTGGGCGATTGGCAAACCCAAACACGATTTCGACCGCTCGTGCTCCTTCGACAGATGGCGCGTCGGCGGAAGAAAAGGGCGTCGTATGTGTACCGAGAGCTTCGGCAGCTCGTGTATCGTTTCGAGGGAAGGTTGTAGGGGAGCTCCCAGGTCGGCGTATTAATATACTGGAGTGGCCTCGGTCTTGAAGCTTGTCGATGGTGTGAGCCAAGGTATGGTGGGGAATAAGGGAAGGTCCCAACTCGCAATCGGCGATAAGGCTAGCTAATCGGACTCCAGGCACCTTGTCGGTTTGATGGGACCTAGGTGTCGTCTTATATTCCGTCTCAGCTGATCGACAGTTACAATAGGTACCTAAGGTAATACTCCTAAATTATTACTACTGCGACGACTAAGGACCAAGGTACTGTATGTATTGCTTATGTTGTGGGATGTCGATGTCGCTTTTCTCGTTGAGAAAAGTGAGGCGCCGCGGGCGTGTCACTTGGTACGACTTCCAAGAGTATTGATTCGCGTGGACACTGGACTGGTACTGGTCACCGTGGGCAACGACAGCTTGCTTTTGCCGTGACTTTCCTTGGCCCGAGACACGCCGCAGAGTGAGGGGAAGTGTTGCCAAGTGTCGCTGTATACCGTCAGACCTTGTAGGTGTATTCCATCTCCCGCTGCTTCACTTGCAGTCTGCACGATGCTTGCGACGTCTGCCCACGCCCGCCCGCAGCAGAAAAGTAGGTTGTTAGGACGCCGGTGACTTTTGCGGTACCTTAGTCTCAAAGACCGCCGACAATGCAGGTACAAGCAATCTGGGCATCCTTGTCTGTAACACATGCATCGTCCGACGACCTGCACATGCTGCTCGAGACATGCTCTTTTTCGCCGTCACTCCTCGGTGCAGCTGTTGCAGTGGATCGTGTCGTGCGGTGTGATGGAGGGCGCATATGGGGGTCACCGTAGTGCGTCCGAACGCGAAGCTGTTTTCGCCGAATGACCTTGCCTCTTTTGTCACCCACGTATGGTATCAACGACGTCAGTTCGTGATAACTGGCCAAGTGGACTCCGGGTTAGCCTAGAAAAGCAATGATTGAAGCACAGGGCCGACGTGGCAGCCAAGAGATGAAGCTGACAAGGAGCATTGGCATTGACGCCAAGTTGCGAAGCCTATCGTGCAGAGAAACAAAATCCTCCGCGAGCTGCCCTCATTGGCAAAGACGGGGTGAGGTACTCCAGATGGGCATGGATAGTCAATCACAGTCTATTAGGTATTCTTGTGTCTGTCTACTGAAATCTATCATCTGTCGTAAATACGTGAGTCGAGTGCTGATGCCGTCTACACACTGCTGTGGTTTCGCTATGCCAACCAGGGTATCCTTTGTTCAATAATATAAGTACAGTAGCCGCACATGCAAGCATCTTAACCAGACCTCAGGCGGCAGCCATCTCCAGTTTCTTGCCTTTGACGCTCTTCCATTCGAAGAACATCGATCCGAGTATGGAGAGCCCGGCACAAGCAACGGCGACATAGAAGCAGCTCATGATAGCGCCATTGTACGCCAGCTTCACACCGTCTTGAAACTCGGCGGGAATGATGCTAGCTAGTTCCGTTGCACCTGTATTCTGGACGATGGCAGGATCCAATCCAGGCACCAGAGTCCGCAAATTCGTGAGCAGTTTATTCTGGAAGACGTTCTGGGCGACAGAGATGAAGAGAGCGCCTCCGAGTGTTTGGGAGAACATGACTGTGGCCGTTCCGATGGGAATGTCTGGCGCCGGAAGCACCGCCTGGACGGCAATCAATGTCTGCTGCATACCCATACCGACTCCTGCGCCGAAAAGAACTTGATATCCAATCCATTCGGGACTTCCAGAGCTTGGTGTCAGTGTCGACAGCATGCCGGCACCAATGGCCATCAATACACTACTGCCAATTACGAACGGAGTGTAGTAGCCTAGCACAGTGATGATGGCTCCCGCGATCACGGATACAATGACCAAGCCAAGGATCATGGGAATGTTGCGAATTCCCGACTGAGTCGCGGATACGCCCTTGATGGCCTGGAACCAGATCGGCAGATAATAAACGAAGATGAAAAAGGATGCGCCAAGCGTTGCACCAAACTGTCGAGGGCATCAGTAATGGTTCACATGCCCTACACTCAATCATACAGGGAAGGGACTTACCCATGCTGCGGACGCAACCGTGCGCTGTGTGATTAAGCGTGGCGGTACTGTAGCATTGTCCTGCTTCCAGTACTGGATACCGCCCCAGACCAAGGCTAGCACCCCGAAGACCACGAAAAGACCAATGATGCGACCATCAGACCATGAATACTTACTACCTCCCCACTGCAAAGCCAGAAGGAGGCAGACAATCATGGGCAAGAAGATTATAGTGCCATACATGTCAAACTGCTCAAGCTTGGCCTTCCAGCCGCCTGCAGCCAACGACTTTGCACGTGTTGTTGGATGATAGAAAAAGAAGATGAAAATCAGGGTCACGGCGCCGATAGGAAGGTTGATGTAGAAGCACCAGCGCCAGGACACATGGTCAGTGAAAGCACCGCCCATGAGCGGACCCGCAACACTTGAAGCAAAATCAGAACGATTAGCACAAATCTCTCGCTTAGTCTTTCGGGACTGCTTTTCTTACCTAGCAAGACCGTACATAGCTCCGATGAGCCCGGTGTACATGGGACGCTTCGAGAGCGGAACGGTATTTGCGACGATGAGGATGGCGCCCGAGAAAATGCCAGCAGATCCCACACCCGCTACAGCTCGACCAACAATCAAAGACATGGAGTCGGGAGCAGCTCCGCACACGGCAGATCCGATCTCAAAGATGATGAGTGCCACCATGTAGACCCACTTGATCGAGAAAAAAGTATAGAGCTTGCCGAAGAACAGTTGAAAGGCGCATGTCGTCAACAGGTAAGAGGAACCATACCAGCCTACATCGTCTATAGCCTTGAACTGATCGGTGATTTTGGGAATGGCGGTACTGATGATGGTGTTGTCCAAAGCCATGCAGAAGACACTGAGCATGAGTGCAGCGGTGATGGCAGCGAGCTTCATGCCTTTGGGGTACACTGTGCCGTCGGCAGCAGGCTCATCGACGTCGGCCTCGATGCCTTCAATCCTCTTCTCCAGGGTGGCCTCATTGGCAGGCACTTGGGGATGGCCGGAAGAGTCTGTACTGTCTGTAGAAAGCTGTCTTGTGGGCGATGGAGACGTGACGGCAAGGTGCGTCCCGGACTTGTCCAGAGTATCTGCTGCGCGTTTCTCGGAATCATCGTCCTTGTGTATGGAAGGCTGGGTGCTGTGCGAAGTCGAAGGCGGAACATCAGCCGAAGTGGCCTTTTGCCTCTTGAAGAACTGCATGTTGAGTGGGAGGCGAGGTTGGAGGGAGGCGGCCAAGATGTACCTCCTACGCCTAGCTGAGACAGCAGCTCGGTGATAAGTGCAGGTAGGTATTGCTGATCAAACGACGAGATCGTTCTCCTCGTAGGAGGTAGAGTCGGCGTTAGTTAATCACCGCACGGGAACAGGAGCAAAGCAGAGTCGGGTATCAGGACAGCAACAGCAACAGCGCAGCCAGGACAAGTGAAAGGGAAGCGCCACAAGTCAACGCTGCACCGATGATGGATGGTGATGGGCGAGAGGATTGGGGCCGTATGCCGTAGTAGAGTCGGATGCGCTTTTTCCTAACCACATTGGGCACTGTAAGGAGCTCGTTTCGCTTGCGAATGGACGGGAAGACATGACTGTCCGCTTACCGTACCTAGGTAAGTAGGATAGGGTAGGTTACATTCCAATCACACGTGCATCGCCAGTCTCAGCTCAGGTCGGTTAGTGGTGGCGCATCGCGTTCGATATTGCTGCACGAGTGCTGCAGCTTCCCTTCCTCCCTTCCTTCCCTCTCTTCCCTCTCCTCCCTCTCGCTCCTTCCTTCCTGCGGAAACAGCGACTTCCGTGCATTACGAGCCTGCCTTCACGATGGAATAGACTTGTCTGAGCGGTGTGAGATCAGGTATACATGGCCGCGTACCTGCTTCCATATTGCTCTTCATCTCCACACTACTTTGGCAGTCGGCACAGGAGAAGAGAAGAACAGGTGAAAAGTCGCCGGAGGCGGCAGACCAGAGACATCAAAGCTCAGAGCCAAGCGTCTGATTGGTGCGCTTCGACTGATCCCCTGCTGTACCGGTCAAAGGGCTCCGCTTGCAAGCGCCGTGCATTTGCAAGATTCGCGAGCTCTATTCCCACCCCACATCATCGTGCGAGAAAACACGGGCTGTCAAACGCCATGTACTTGTGCAGACCGGTCGCCGACTCGCCATGATGACCTCTCGTGGGCGGCGAGGCTACGGGCGAGAGAGACACCCAATATGAAAGACTGGCAACCGGCCGTTATTCCCGACAGACGATCCCGGCGGAGGATCATAATTCTATTTGCGACGCCCTCCTGTGAGCAACAGGCGACACGAGAACAAACGAGCACAGCAGAGGCAGGACCTGCACCTATCCACAGTATCCGCGTGCGTTGTTGTTGTTGTCGTGCTTTCCTTTGTCGTGCATACCTACCTAGGTACATACCTTATGCCTTAGGTACTCACGTTTCGTGCGAGTCAGCCACGACTGGCCGCTGGAAATACCCTCTGAGAAATCCTACGTGTACCTACGAAGGATCAACAGAATACAGGTAGTTGTCGCTCGCTCGGCGCACATCACTGGATCTGCCCGAACGCACGTAAGATAGACCACCTCCAGGTAGACCTTGCGCTTGCAATTTTGTGCCGATTTGGGTGGTCAGTCTTGGTTGCGTAGTACCTGCCAATAGAACAGCTATCAGAAAGGAAGTTGTGAAATTGACATGCATGTGGTGATGTACATGGCAGCAATTGCCGACGAATGCCGTGGATACCTCGGCGAAGGGAGACAGCATGTTGTAGAGAACGTGGGAGACGCCAAGCCCTTTATGCGTTGACTGAAAATCCATGTCTGATCATACCTCCTAGTGATTCTTCGTGGAGAGGTCTGCAGGACATGATACGCCACCTATCGGCTGTCTTGGGTGCTGACACAGGGATAGTATGACTCGCAAGCGCGCATACGTGGTGAATGGACGAGCTTTCTTGGCCTACAGTGCTCCCGGAGGAGAAATATGGGCTCGATAATGTCTGTCAGAGTGACTCACCTCGCTTGGCCTGCAATATCATCGGCGCGGTCCTGCGGTCATACACAAGCACTCAAAATGCCATCATACCGAGACAGCAACATGGAATCAGTGTATTTTCTCCTCCTCCTGCCTCCTCTCCTTACCCTGTGCCTCGTGAAATCATTCACATTTGCCTTGATCGTCGTATCAGCCCAGGTCTCAGAGATATGTCTTTTCTTCTCGTCGCCTTCCGAGTCAATGATTTAATATTTCTGATCTTGAGGTCGGACGCCAGTGCAACTACCACATCCCAATCTCTGGGGGGACTAATTCGCCCCTAGTAGTCCTACCATCCTCCATGATCTTGAAGTCTAGAGTTCCAATCTGGGATCTCAGTGACAAACGGAGGAGAATTGTTCGCCAAAACTTCCACTGTCCATGTCTTGAACTCATAAGCTTCTGTTATAGTATTGCCAGATCTCGGCCACGGTACGATGCATCTTGCTGTCCCGCATTTTTTGACTGGTGTCAAAGTAGAGACCAGGTTGTGAATTGGTGGGAACCGCCGTGAGTCGGCCTGGGTTCTATCAAAGGGCTGATGGCTTGAAGGTCAAGTTTTGGGCCGCCTTTGTTTCGCTGAGCTGAGACTGAGGCAACGAGGGACGTGTACATGAAGAAGTAGTGCTATTGTGCGGGCCAAATATTTCTCTCGGCACTTAAGAATGGCATGCAAGTACATATTTACAGGCTTCGTCTCAGAAAATTAAACCATGAGGTGTGTGACGAGTATGGACCGACGCGTCGATGAAGTACATGTACCTACCTTATATACGTGATGTTGTGAGTGGAGGTGATGAAGTTAGAACTCTTGGCATTTCGAGAAATCATTGGCCCCACTCACGCCGACAACATGTTCAGAACTTAGAGCAGAAGAGAAAAACGACCAATCTCCTCACAAACCTCTCACGATGCCGGGACTATCGCTAGTAGAAGGTTCTTTCGAGGAGCTCTCGCTCGAGATTGCGACATACCTGGACAACGCAAAGGGCGACGATGGCACGACGGTCGCAGACATCACACCTTTCCTGGCCGACGCAGAAAAGGAAGGCAGCAAAACAGACATCGACGCAGTGCTGAAAAAGTTGGTCACGGCGTCGTCCATTCTGAATGGTGCGCCTGAGAAGGAGGTGCAGGCGGCGTACAACCTGCTCATCCACCTCATCTCACACGCCGAGGACGAGGACCCATACATTGCGCGCATCTGCACCTACCTCGCGCAGCCTCTCACCGGATCTCCCTTCAACGGCGGCGGCATCGCGCTTGGTATCCTCAGCACGCTCTTCAACCAGATCAAGCCTGACGACGAGACACGATTCCACGTACTGTTGGCTGTCATTTCCGTGATCAAGAGCACCGGCAACTTTGACACCCTCGCGCCACAACTGAAGAATGTCGACAGCTGGATCGAAGAGTGGGAATTGGAGCCAGCAGAGGCCCGGAAATTGTACACGGCCATCTCAGACGCCGCTTCCACTGCGAAAGAGACGGAGGAGGCCTACCACTACTTGCTCAAGGCACTCAACACCATTCAAGCAGACGCTGCCACGCCTGAAGCGCGTGAACTCTCCGTCCGCGCCCTCAAGCTCGCCCTGCAAAAGGACAAGCATTTCGACTTCCAAGACTTGACTGCTCTGGACAGCATCCAGGCCCTGCGCAAGTCCGACGAGACGCTTTTCGAACTCCTCGAGCTCTTCAGCACCGAGAACTTTGATGATTTCCAGGATTTCAAGGAAGGCAACGGCTCCTTCCTAGAAGAGCAAGACCTGGACGAAGACATTCTCGACAAGAAGATGCGCCTCCTTACACTCGCCTCGCTTTCAGCAGCCGCACACCAGTCGCGCACACTACCTTATGCACAAATTGCGAAAGCCCTGCAGATCCCATCCTCCGAAGTCGAAATGTGGGTCATTGATAGCATCCGCTCGGGACTTGTGGAGGGTAAGCTCTCGCAGCAGAAGCAGGAGTTTCTTATCCACCGCAGCACATACCGTGTCTTTGGTGATAGCCAATGGAGGGAAGTAGCATCTCGACTGGATGTGTGGAAAAACAGTCTGCAGAACGTCTTGGCTGTGATCAGGCAACAGAAGCTAGATTTGATCAAGGAGAAGGAACAGGAGGCGAACACCAATGCAAACGGAGAGAGGAGAGGCGGCTACAGACCATACAACAGGGCAGGAGGGAATCAGAACGATCGCCGAGAACAATCGGCCATCGAGGTTGATTAGATTGGTGGTGATGAGCTGTTCTACTCTACAAAGGTCTTTATCAGCATGGCGTCGGTGGGTTCTGGCAAGACGAAAAGGGCATGACACAAGAGCTGCTCTTGCATGAGTTGAAGGGGTCTCTAACAGAATCATGTTATGTGTTCTAGACATGGCTCACGACTGTGCATAGATCACGATATGGTGGTCTACGAAAGCGAAAGTTCTTAACGCCTTGCTTCATACTGCCTGCCTGCCTGCCTCCCTGCCTTCCCTCCCCGATCCAATCTTACTATGTACTTGTCGGCTCCCGCTATATTCTGACCGCACCTACCTAGTACATGTACTCAACCTTCAACTCTTCATCATAATTGAAAAAGACGCGCAGTGACCTTGGTAGGTCCATGTCATCTCAGCGATCTTGCTGCAGCCTGTGGTACCTTGAATTTCAATTCTCAACGTCTCCGTGACATCGCATCTTGACAGGGGAAGAGTCAGTCGTGTGGAGGGAAAATTTGCAAGCATGCATACATACATGATTGGTAACTTGAACGTTTTTCCTTTCCTCTTTGTTCTTTTGGAGGTCCCTCTCACATCTTTCTTTTGCGACAGTCGGCGAGAGAATTGGTTTGACGTGGGTCGAGCCGAGACCTGTTCGTGGGGGAAACTGAAGTGAGGGAAATCATTTCGAAAGCGCTGTGCCTGTGTTTGGAGACGCGATAGTGCTAGCATACCTAGAATCTGGCTCGAAGAGCCGAGACTATCAGATTTGTGCCATTACGCGAATGACGACGACTGTGAAAACGACATGAACATGACATGTAAAGGCAGAGCTATCTCATGACCATACTGGGATTCATTGGTAAAAGCAACTATTTGGGGTATCAGACAGCGCAGCACATACTTTCCATCTTCATCGGCCGAATGTTGCTGTTTGTGCCAATTCGCCGCTCCCAGATGCACTCTCCTGCATTTTGCTCTTATTCTGCCCCCCCTTTTTCCATTGAAAGAGCCATCTCAGAGCTCCATGCCAAAAGTCTATCGAGGTATCATCTGAAAGCAGTACGTAGTACATGTCAGCCGCCTCATGCAACCGAGAAGCCTACATCACTCATGACTCTCCCGTCCCTCTGTTAAGGACAGGTAAGTCGGCGAGTGTTTTTGCTTCTCCAGCCTATGGAGAAGCTGCCTGTACCATGTTTGAACGCCGGTATCGTGGAAAAGCACATGCCATGCCGCTTTTAGTGGGGTTCGCGCAATGCTTGAAGTCGTTGGTGAACTCCTCCGCCCATTCCTGGAACCCAAAGTGCAAAGCGCCATCTAATTCACTAACGCCGTCGGATGCCGATTTATCGAGAGCCACAGCCCGTTGAAGCCGTAACGTGATCGTGTGATGATGTCGTAAATGTACCGTGGCCCGTTGTGACACGTTGGAGCCTCGTCGCTCAAAGCCTGAGAGCGAGGAAGATCCGGGGGTATGTCTGTTACAGGCCACGATACTGAAGAGCGCCGTCTCCCTGCGCCATTGCAAATGCAAGCAACGCTCAGGAAGAAAACGCAGTCTATCATGCTGGAGTGGGTATCATGTCGGCACACTCGTCGAGATCCGCCGGTGACGTTGGCGAAAAGCAGTCGGAACGCAGCAAAAAACGTAAAGAAAAATCGATCGAACGTGTTGGTGGTGTGATGGCGCAAGGTGGAGTCGCCTACCACCAGCTGTTCGGACCAGAAGCGCCGCCTGGGTTGCCATAGCTGCCGCCTCCTCCACCACCGTAGCCGCCGCCGGAATAGCCGCCACCAGCGCCGCCACCGTAGCTGTTGCCTCCTCCAAAGCCACCGCCACCGCCGCCCATCATGCCGCCGCTGTAGGCTGGGCGTTGGCCACCACCGTAAGAACGAACATCCTTCATGGCAGAAGAGCCACGTCCACGGCCACCAGAACGGCCGCCACGTCCGCCTCCACCGCCAAAGCCTGAGCCTTCGCGGGCAATAGTCTCTAGGAAGGCTGGAACTTCCTGGTTGGCCTCCTTGAGCAGCTCGAGAAGGTCCCTAACCACGCCACGGTTGCCGCGGTTGAAGAAAGAAGTCGAAACACCAGTGTTTCCGGCACGACCTGTACGACCGATACGGTGAACATAGTCGTCAATGTCGGTCGGGAGATCGTAGTTGATAACGTGGACAACATTTGGAACATCCAATCCTAGCTTGTCGTCAGCATGAGTGTAAAAGAGCGCAGTATAAAAGCGAGTGAACTGCGAGTAAAAAGAAAACAAGATGAAAAGGGGGGGTAGTCGGGCTCACCTCGGGCAGCAACAGCTGTGGCAACCAGTATCGGGCAGCGTCCAGCACGGAACATTTCCAAAGCACGCTCACGCTCGCGTTGCGTACGATCGCCATGAATTGACGTAGCTGGAAAGCCTTGGTTGATGAGGTAGTCGGAGAGCGAGTCGGCCATGCGCTTGGTTTCGACGAAGATCAGGGTAAGACCTGCACCGTGAGTGTGCAGAATGTCAAGGAGCACACTACGCTTATCAATGTCCTCCACATACTCAACTTTCTGAGTGATGTTTTCGGAGGTAGAACCAACACGTCCAACCGAGAGGAAGATATACTCTCGGAGGAAGTCGCGGGCCAGAAGCTGAATGTCGCGAGGGAAGGTAGCCGAAAACATGAGTGTTTGGCGGCCCTCAGTGGATGGCATGTCCTCACCCTCGACAATGCGACGGATTTGCGGCTCGAAACCCATATCCAACATGCGATCAGCCTCATCGAGGACGAGGTACTTGATGTTAGCAAGTGAGATACGACCTCTCTCGATCAGGTCGACAAGACGACCAGGAGTAGCAACAAGCAGGTCACAGCCGCGCTCGATCTGGCGAAGCTGGGAGCCGATGTCGGCTCCTCCGTAGACGACGCAAGGCCGCACCCACGAGCGGTACGCGAACTTGCGGGATTCCTCGTAGATCTGCGAGACAAGCTCACGAGTTGGGGCGAGGATGAGAGATGTCGGCAGAGCCTTGCGCTGACGCTGGAAGCCGCCCTGTTGTGGCACGTTGCCCGCTGGGCCGTTCTGGAAAGCCTGGGACAGAATTGGGAAGAGGAAACCACCAGTCTTTCCGGAACCAGTCTGAGCACAAGCCATCAAGTCACGGCCGCCCATGACAATTGGAATGGAGTACTTCTGAACAGGGGTTGGCATCTTGTATCCGGACAGCTCAATGTTGGCGATGAGGTGATCGTCAAGAGGTGGGTTGGTGAAAGTGGTCACGGGCTCTGGCACACCTTGTCCTGAAGCCTCGACTGGAATGTCGTCGTACTTCTCGAAGTTGATACCCGTCTGTTGCTTCGATGGGTCGTTTAGAACACCGAACAGCTCGCGCTCGAGACGCTGGTTGGCAGGTCCTGGGACGTGCTTTCCATCTCTCCACTGTCCATCTCCTGCTCCACGGTGGCCACCGCCTCCGCTTGAGCCTCCTCCTCCACCGCCGTATGCATTTCTATTGAAGCCGCTTGGGATCTGAGGCGAGTTGTCCCAGTTACCGCGTCCCTGGGGAGTGAAGGTCTGTGCGGCACCCCAAGTCGTGCCGTTGCCAGCAGCTTGCGGTGGGCGCTGAGCACCGGGAGGTGGGTAGTTACTGTGACTCGTATTAGCATGGTGTGGCAGATGGATACCACGAGTGTATTGTGACTTACCCGCCAGGTGGTGGGTAGGCAGCGTTGCCGTTCATGGCGCCTGGTCCAGCCGCAGCTGGCGGTGGGCCACGACCAGAAGCTCGCATGTGTGGTGGGATGTAAGCGCTGCGCTCCTGACCGCCGAAACCGTTCTGTTGTTGCGGCGCAGCTCCCTGGGAAGCGTGCGACGAGTCCTTGAGGGACAAGCCATTCATGTTGAGCTGCTCAGCCATGTTGGGTGGATGATGTTTGTTGGGTTTTTTTCAGAAGAGAGTTTGAAGAGAGCGAATGTGGTCGGTGCGTATTCGCTCGATGTGGGTACTTGGGATCTCTAGGTGCCTCGTTCGCAGAAAACGACTGCAAAAGAAGACAAAAAGAAAGGGATTTGATGGAAAAGCACTCGTGATTGTTGTGATGAGCACACAGGTGAAGAGGGAAGAGGTTGATTTCGTGTGAACTTGGAGAAATCTTTGGGTAAAAGTGCGCCATGACCCCTTGTGGCGTATCCGCACCAATCAGAGACAGCAAGAGCAAACCAGCCACTCTCTTCCATTTCCTTCCACCACTGACCGCTCAGCTCTTGCCTTTTAGGCTTATCATCAATCATCATTCACTCTCCCTCTCCCGACTGACCTCATTCACTCCATTGCTGCCTGAGTTAAGGCCTTACTACATCCATCTACCTCACTCCAGTGTCCTCCATCCACACAACATCATGGCGACATCAGCTGAGCCCAGCCTGCACTAGAACACAACTGAAGCCAGCTGAGGCGACCTCATCACGTGTCACCACAAGAAATGCTCAAAACAACCTCCACCACCGACCTGTCTCTGAGTCGTATCGACGACGAACGGATGGCGCAGACGTACACGGCTGCACAATGGAGGTGTCGCGCCAGGAATGGAGGCCGTGGATCATGTGGGCTGGTGTCTTCGCGTATACAGCCTGTGATCAGGAAATCCTTCACTGCGTCATCAATCATACCCAAGCGTGAGTAACGGCAACGTGAAGATAACGTGAAGATTGCTGTCCAAGGTAGGCCAGTTCCTTCGCAGGTGTGCAAGTGACGAAGTGAACCAAGAGCTGCTACATGGCGTCTATTCTCTAGATGTGCTTTACAAGGGCTTCTGGCGCCCACGAGATGGTCACAGTTCGGAACTTCGATTCCGGAAGCACCAACCATAAAACGGCCTAAACAACAAGATCCAGGGTCAAATCTTGACAAAACACTAAAAGAAGTTATGGAGATTGCTGCGATTGCCTCTACCAGCAAGCCAAGCTTCCAATGCCTGTCCCCCTGGTCATATCAGAACTCAGTCTATAAAAGTAGCATCTCGTGCGGGATTGAAATGCATCAGCTCTCATGTCCGACGACCATGTCGTAGCTACTGCCACATGTATATACCGACATCCCTTGCTCGCTGTGCCGCTTCCAAGCAATTCCACCAGCAAGACCCGGACAACTTCACTGAAATAGTAAATCGACGATGCAAACACCAAGGTGAAAAGGCTCGAAGTGCCCACCTCCAACGCTGTTTCTCTGTCCCGCATAAGCTCACCAAACCTTTCTGCTAAACTCTCCTCCAATATCCCAAGTCCATCACAAAAGAGAAAGATGAAGCCTACCACATTCTTTGTATCGTTTCTCTTCACGTCAGTGTTGGCACTACCTACAGCTCCTCCTGATGATGGCAAGGGGAAGCCACAGAAGAACCAATGCGTCCAGATGCCAGATGCCCAGAGGTTCATCAGCCGTTGGACCGGTTTCCTTGACGGCGAAGGCTCTGACCTCGGCGATGCCAAAGCCACTGCCGAAGCATTGGTAGCCGATAACTTTGAACAATACTCCTTTTCTTCCACTTCACTCTCGGGCCAGTCGGTCAAGAAACCTGAGGACGGCGCTGGCCTGATCAGGAAAGGCAAGCAATCGTACATCGAGCATGTCGCAGGGTCCACGATGTAAGTGTAGCCCGCGACATCAACTTTCAAAGTATTCACATATATATAGGAAACCAGACGAGATTCAGACTCTTGCAGCGCTCACTGCTTGCGACGACGGCAGATCGAAGATCATTTGGCATTGGCAATTCGGCGCCATCGGCGACGACAAGGGCGATGTTCCTGTCAGAGGTTTCACTCTGCTCAGTCTCGTGCATGACGATGGACCAGCTGAGTGGAAGGTCGAGCGTATCGATGTCGAGTTTGACAGCATTGCCTGGGCCTCGAACGCAGATTCCAAGCACTGAAATTACCAGCATAGTAGAGACAAGGATGACGGTCCCGACGACAAGTGTGATCGTAACGAGGATGACAGTGACGAGGACGATGGGGCCCAGAAGGAGAAAGGGCTTACTGAAAGCGCAATGATCACTGGTAAAGCCCGCTGGCAATGTGTAGCTACAATCAAATAATGCAAGCCACAACCCATAATCATTCACCACCTTACGCACGACCGTAAGTACTCGTGTGGAGAGAGGGAGAGGTTTACATGTGCGAATTGCATTCATTGCACTCGCAGTCTTTGCCATATCTTCATCTGATCTCTCTTCTTTCTCTCTGTAAATAACACAAGTACAAACGCACTCATCAATGTACCTGGTACATCATGACTGCCGACACCACACAGTCAACCTCTTTCACTCATACAGTCGGTCCAATTAGCTACCCCTTATTTACTCCCCACGAAAGAAAGAAAAAAAAACCATTCAATCGTTTATCTATCTGTAGGTAGGTAACATGTCTGTCGATTGGGAGGGTGTTACATGTATTATTCCATTCAACTTCTATACCAGATCTCTCCTGTGATTGATTAAGCAAAACGTGCCTTATGATGATCCCTAGTGCTATTCATACACCAAGTTCAAAATATGGGGAATGAATTCGGGATATTTTTGAAAGGCCCGAGAGATAGCTAGCTAAAGATAGGATATCCGAGACCAGCAGGAGTTCGATTAAAAAATGGAAGGAAAAAGAACAAGCTGCCGACATCCATGTTGATTTTGAAATTTAATTGTCCGAGACAGATACATCATAGGTCATGCCTCCCCATTATTGAATGTCGGGAGTATACTCGGGTTTTCAACACTTGTCAAAAAAAAAGGAAAACAATTAAGGTGGATATGGCTTCAAGACTTAAGAGTCAGGGATGTAGATAATGAGAACTACATACTAACTACACGTGAATTATTTATCTTCCGGCCCTTCTAATTTCCTGTATAGCCTGTCGGCGATGGATGCTCTCGGCAAAGAGTGCTTCAATCAGACCGACGACCTCCTCAGCCTCGAATTCCTGACTCAGTTCGGACTCGTTCCACATGTACTTGATATCGGCCAAACTGCTGACCATGATTTCCCTCAGGTATTGCAGTTTGAACCAATTCGGAACATAGACGAAAGTCATGTCACGGTCGCCTTGCAAGAAGAGATCCTTGATCTGGCTTGTCTTGTCGATGAGAACCTTCAGCTGCTCGGAGTCGGCACTCCCGATATCTGGCAGATCTTCGACCTCGCGAATGATCTTTTGTGCTACGGAAAGCACTAGGTTGCCGATGCTTTGTAGTAGTGCAGAGGTGGATAGGACCGGTTGCCAGAGTCGATGGACGTCTCGTACTCGCAACATGGTCTGCTCAACTGCGTCTTCGCATTCCTGCTTGGCTGGCTGCTCTGAGCACGAGCTGAAGCCTTGTGCTCCATCGAGTAGATCGCGCAGTATTGTGCGCTGGGACTCCATCTCGTTGCTGTAGGCACTCTTCGCAAATTGCTCAAGAGCCTTGACGTCGTGGTCGAGCTTGAGTCGTGATCTCGTAGGTACCTCTGCTTCCCAGGCACGGAGCTGCTCTGCAAGACGAGTAGCGTCGTTGTAGACGAGCATGTTTCCCGTGTCCACCTTGGCGTATGCAGTCGGCGCTGTTGCACGGTATAATGCCAGGCCTTGTGTTGGCAGAGTGTAAAGTCCACCCGACGCTGGTGCAAGAGGCGATGATGCATATGCCGGCCCAGCAAGAGCTTGAGCATCGGCAATGGTTTGTCTGAGATGGGCTAGAATGGCATCTGGGATGCCAGTGACTGTAAATGTCTCCCGCAATGTTATTTCGCGTTCTGCTGGCTTCGAGGGTGTTTTCACATCACTTAGGGCTACAGGATTCGCCGCCTTAGGTGAATTTGGTACCTGAGGCTCGTCTTCGCCATCCCAGCCCCAAGCAGCATCTTCATCGTCACCGTCTTGCGATGGTTGAGATTCTGCTGTAGAGATAGGTGCTGCCGATTGTGATTCTGCCGGTGCTTGTGATGTCTCTTCGCCATCTTCATCCCAAGCGCTCATGTCCTCGTCGTCAACTGACTGAGCCGGGCGAACAATAGTCGGCGATGCGGCTGATTCATCTGGATCATCCCAAGCACTATCCCAATCATCACCGCCGTCGCTGCCTCCTAGTGCAGCGTGGTCTTCCTTGCTAACAGTCTGTGTCTCTACACGCTCGACGGTCTTACGTTCTCGCAGACCAGAAAATACCAGGTTGCGTACATCGCCAAGCACAGCTTCACGACGCTTGGTGAGCCACGTCTTCGGCGCTGCTTGTACCCAATCCCGAAGCAATTTGCTGCCATGCCATTGCAAAGAATCGAGTTGATCGGCAAGGGAAGATGCCGCGTGGAGTAGAGTTTGGAAGTCTGGCAATTCTTGGATATCGACAGGCACTGCTGGGTCCAGCCAGTCGTCCTCCAGGTGTATCAGGATTCTGGGCACAAGCAGCTCTGACAGTGGTAAGGCAATGTCTCGCTCAAGGTGCTCAGCAAAAAATCCAAAAGAACGATGGAGATCTTGGAGCAGAGTTTCTGTGCTTATGTCGTCACTAACTTCCTGGCAGGAGAGCTGTTTCTCGTTGATTGCGATCATAGCAACCTTGCCATTCTTGACATGCGCCAATCTTGGACGAAAGACAGCGCGCTCAATGTCCTTGCTGAGCTTCGCGACCAGGTTGTCGAACATTCCCAGACCGCGAGCAGCGTTGATCACCTGGTCTAGACCATCATTGATGACCACCTTGTGATCCTCAATGCTGATATGAACACCACGATTCCAACGCTCCTGCACATTCGTCTTGAGGTTTTCCTGCAATCTTTGGATGCGCCCCCGTAGCATAAGTCCAACGCCAGATTGCGCATCACCCAACTCCTTCGTCGACACCACCTCCTCTGCTTCCTGGAGTTGAGCCAGACCTGTGTCTACATCACCGCTCACCAATGAATCCTGCGCCAAGTCCAGCAAGCTCTTCAAGTCCTTGATAATCTGCAGTCGAGCGGCAATTGCACCGTACACGGTGACCTCGTGCTCCAGCTCCTGAACGTATCTTCCTGTCTCGCTGACTTTTGCAATGTGAGTCTTGGTATGCTCATGCTGGGCAACGATCTGGCGTGCTGTCTCCCTGCTTCGCAATATATCGGCCTGGAGCGTCTTTGCCTTTGCTATCCATGTGTCGACATCTCCTGCAGTCGACCTGCTCAGGCCACGTATCTCGTCTTTGACGACATCCTGCTCCTTTCTAAGTGCTGTGCTGATATGGGCGAGTCGGTCGGAATCTAGTGAGGCGGATATTATGCTGTCATCATCGGGGTATGCGCCATGGTCAATATAGCTCAGCACTGCGGGCGTGACGGCGTCTGTGGCCATGGCGGGCTCGATATGTTAATATCAACCATCAACTGGCATCCAATTCGCAGTCCAGTTCCATAATTGCTTCTATACCATACCGAAAGAGGACATCTCGGGGATCTACCCGACTAGCTCCGGCCTCTGCCGTCAGCCCGGTACATCTCTCGGACCGACAGACATCCCACCAACCACTTTGCCACTTTGAACGCGAAGTGCCAAGTCCTTCCAACCTCCGCCTCTTACCTCTCGTGGAACAATAATTGGTAGAGACACGTAGTACACCCAAGAGATTAGCGATTCCAAGCAGAGCGCAGAGCTCATGGCATTGCTGTGGCAAACGCACAGCCTCAGATCCGACATAAGCTGCCATAGATAACAAGCCAACCACGGCGACAGCGAAGACCCGCACTATCTGTAACCGTACAGAGCCATGCAAGAACTGCGCGTCTCCCAAGGGACAGTGAGCTTACAAGACTTTCGCAGACCAAATCCCCTCGCAAACACTCCCTTCAGCATCGGCAGCGACTACTGCCGGCATCCGTAGGACATCTGGATGACGACTCACCCAAAGCACTCCGCCTTGGGTTGAGCGCGGCAGCTATCGAGATATCGCAACGCAGGTCAACTTGCATTGGGATGCTAGAGGCTCGCCTCAAAATTCTGTCCTGGAAGCTGGGCTACCATTCTGGAATTGGAAAACTAAACTGCTTTGGACATAGCACTGTCTGCCGCAATCTCTACTGCTGATTTTGATGTAGAGATCATGGACTGCGCGAGCGGACAGACGCGTTACAAGTTCGCCCAGGGCACGAACTGACTGACAGGACAGTACAGATACTACTGATAAAGACAGCCGTAGTCCCACTCCGTATATTGGACCGATCCAGCCTGGCGGAACTTGCAATGGAACGATCTCTATCGCATCTGGCAAGCGTACGATCCTGCTACCAAGACATAATCCCCTTATCCGACAGCTCTATCTTCCCCTCGGCAGGGATGATGAGCACCCCCGAGAAGGCCGTTAAGGAAACGAGAGAGCGGAGATAGCAGCGTCCACGGAAATATTTGGAGATGCTGGCTGGAAGCCTTCAGAGCTTCTGAAAGCCATGCAGCTCTCCGATGATTTCTATTGCGGCCGGTTGAGTGACGTACAATTTGGTACCTGGTGTCATTGAGTGTCGTGCAATTTGGTATCTGGTGTCAAGGTCGCGTGGTGCTGCTAGATGATTCTGCATCCGCCTCAGAATGCTCGGGAATGGGAAAGCGTCGTGCAATGATCGCAGCGTATGTTTTGGCAGGCGAAATTAGTAAGAATTGTATGCCAGCTGCCTCCGACAGGCTCCGAGAAAAAGGAATTCGGCAACTGAATTATTTTAGAAGATCTCACAGTGGCGCTGAAGGCATATGACGATATTTTTCGGCCTGTCGTCAACGGAAAGTAGTGTTGTTTTACGCCATCGACTCGTTTTGCCAACGAGCCTTTCCACAGGGTCACTACGGCACTGGTGTCGTTGAAGATTGGTCTCCTGGTTGGCTCGTTCATAGTCGCGCTGAAGAAAAAGTGGCCATTCCAGGGTATGAATCGCCCGGACCGGCGGAGGCTGAAGTTCGGAATCCGAGAAACAGATAAGGGATCCATAGGGAAACCGGTCTGTATTGCTCAAGAGAAGAATGTGTATTGACATCATGATCAACCAGTCCTTGGTTTCGGTCTTTTCACCGAATGGGCGACCTTTGATTTTCTACTTATTGGCTGACGAGCTTGCCAAAGTTTACCCGAAGTGCACGCTTTTGACTACTACTGTACCTACTCGGCTCGGCACACGTGGACATCCAAGATCCATTAAGACCCACAGTGATGCTAAAGACTGGCTCTGGTATAGCCAACGAATATGGCCCGCTCTGATATGGCTAACCAATATAGCGTAGAAGGCCGTTCAAGACAACCTGGAATTGCTATGCACCGCGACCACTTTGGCCGGATGGAAACACTTTTTTTTTGCATTCGAGCTATGCTTGGAGGAAGTGATATATATATATATATAACTGACGACGTTGACTCCGGTGAACCAGATTGCTCTACTACACTCCCTGAACAATCTTGCACGACTCGACCATGCACACTCCTGCTGTTCTCGCTGCGACCCTGTTGCTCAGTAGTGCATCTGTCCTTGGTAAGTTGTACTTTACAGCAAGAAATGTGGTTTGGCCGGTACTGATTGCTGCAGCACATCCTGGAGGTCATGCTTATCCAGACTCTGGGCTTCTTGCCAAGCGCGCAGAGAAGACTGCCAGATGTGCCAACGCTGTCGGAGCGATGAAGCAGAAGCGTCACCAGATGCGCAAGCGAGAGCAAGCTGCGCAGGAACTCGCCAAACGTGGAAATGTGACCACCTTTGCCATTCATGCTGAGGCGCCGCATTATGACTTCATCAAGAACGACACGTGCATTCTGTATCCAGAGACTACACAAGGTCCATACTGGTATCCGCCCAGTCAGCTGCTCACGCAGGACATGGCTCAAGATCAAGCGGGAGTTCCCTTTGAGCTTGACATTGGAGTGATCGATATGGCCACCTGCGAGCCATTGGAGAATGCCTTGATCAGCCTTTGGGTGAGCTGAACTCGCTCCATGGGCGATCTATCGAACTGACAGCTGACTTCCATCATAGCATTGCAATGCCACCGGTTCATACTCATCTTACACGGGACGCGACCCAAACACACCATTCCTAACTCTCCTCGAACAGCTCGGCATTACCGATCCCTCGAACTACACTGATTTCCAGGTATACAACCCCAGTCTGATCGCACTATTTTGTCCCCTGATATTGACTGTTGATCAACAGTTCTTGGCCACCGATACTACAACCTGGCTTCGCGGCATGTGGCCAACAGATGCTTCAGGAGCAACGAGCTTCAAAACCATCGTCCCCGGCTTCTATATAGATCGATCCCTTCACATCCACGCCCAGGTTCACACCAATTGGAGTGTGACTGTGAACGGCACGATCGACCACAGCAGCGTTGTGGAAACGGGTCAGATTTTCATCGACGAGCCCCTCTCGGCACAGATCATGGCCATGGAACCTTATGCCAGCCATACGGAGATTGAACGACTGAAGAACAGTGGCGACGGTATCTATGCTCAACAGGCGCAATGTACGTGTTTGTCCAGAGGAGAAAGTTCCATCCGCTGTGCGGGCGACAAAAATGCTAACGAGACATCTTTTTTTTAGCTGGCGCCATGCCATTTGTAGATACCGAGCCTCTGGACGGCGTTGACTACGCGAATGGTGTCCTTGGATATATCACCTTGGTATGCCATTTCTCAAAGTCCCGGTGGCTATCTATTTTTCAAGAGAAAATCTTTGCTAATCTTGTGTGACTCCAGGCAATCGATACGACAACGATCAAGAACGGCACTTCGCAACCACCAAGTAAGTTACAGAATCGTAGATATGGTCTCGCAAGAAGAAAATAATCAAAGAAATACTGCTGACAAGAACGTTCCTTCTCTAGATGGCTTCCCAATCAACTCTACGACTGCAAACTAGACATATTTCGAACCATGTTCCAGTTATCAGATAGATTATAGACTTTGTCAATGTTTTGAATGACTCTTATGTATTCATGCTCAATATCACGCGTTCAATATATTTAACCGCTCGAGATCATCGTGTGCGTTCGTGATCAATTTTAGGATGTCGTCTCGATGTTAATTCTTGGCGCAGCCACTCCCGTGTTCAAGCTTTCGGTTTCGTGTTTCCCCCTGAACCCTTGTCCTTCATCACCCACCCATATTGCCAAGAATCTATCCTGCCCTACAGTACCTAGGTATCATGCAGCCCGATCACACCTAACTTCGAGTCGACTTCCCAGCCAAAATATCTGCTTGCGGGAGCATGAAACTTTGAGCCACGGAAGTCATTCAAGGAATTGTTTTCAGCTCGTCGTCGTCGAGGTAGGTATCTTGCAGCCACAAACCACTACTTCCTCAGTCAGGAGGGTCTGATATAGATTTGACTTGCTGGTATGCAAAATCTCAGAGCCATAAAGGAAAAAGGAGGAAAGGGTTGTCAGGATCGTTGTTGCCTCACTCGAGTGGGAACAAATGTTACGGCCAAGTTGGTCTACAGTGTTGATAGAAAGACAAAAGGTATCTGCTGAGTAACGTCCAAAATCTTATTTGCAGGTTTGAAATGAAATAGAAAGAGGAGATAGATAAGTAAGGTAGGTCTTTAGTTCTTCCCAGACCCCACTTTCAACATCCTCCCATCCAGCATTTTTCCATCAATTTTCCCTCTCAACTCCTCCGCCCGCTCCGCAGTCTCGAATTGCACATACACATCAGTCAACTCCTCCAAGCCTTCATCCTCCGTCTTGACCCTGACCTTGAAAAGATCATCATCAGTTACCACCTCCATCAGCAAGAACTCTCCTAATTGTTTCGTGAACTTCTCCACTCTCCAACCAGGAATCCTAGCGATTCCCACCGACTTCGAAGCCGTGTTGGTGGCAGTGCCGGTTGCTGTTGTGGAGGAAGGGAGATGTCCACCGGCTGGAACCCAGGATTCTGTCTGACTTTCTGTCACTGAATCCTCATCGTCTGAGTCGAGATACTTCTTGCTCGTGACAATCTTCTTCGCGATTGACGCTTTCCTCTGTATGACTGACGGTTTGCGCGATGGTGGCTTGACGACTTTGTACGCCGATGGCTTCGTAGCAACCTTTGACGCTGGCTCCACCTCTGACTTCGAGACAACTTTGTTCGCCGATGGCTTCGTACTAACCTTTGTCGGTAGCTCTACCACTGGCTTCGAGACAACCTCGTTCGCCGATGGCTTCGTACCAACCTTTGTCGGTAGCTCTACCACTGGCTTCGAGACAACCTCGTTCGCCGATGGCTTCGTACCAACCTTTGTTGCTACCTCTGGCTTCGAGACGACGTTGCGGGGGCGTGGTGAGGAGTTTGCGACTGGACGGGAATGCACAGCCGTCCGCCTTAGTTTCGCATTCTGCTCTTCGAGTCGACTGTATGCGCTGCCCTTGACAACGGCTAGAGCAGCTCGTAATTTGGCCTGATCTGCGCGAATCTTGTCGAGCACGGATTTCTGTTTGGGAGGCATGCTGATGATTGTTGTTCCTGATGTGGTGGTACTAAGGGTGAGTTGAGGAGAGGTATATTTATCTCCTTCTTGCACTATGGTGGGATGAGTCGCCGGATCCGGTTGTGTAAGACAAAGAAGTCTTGGTGTGGACGCAGATGAAGCTGTGATGTCTCTGGAATGTCTCGTCGCGAGACCTGGTCAGAGAGACCAGATAGCAGCATATTTAGGCATGCGATTGGACGGAAGTATCATGTCTTGTTAGCGTAATCGGTTCAGTTGACTTGCTTGAAGTGAGAAGCTTCGTAGTAAAAAGTGATAAAACCCATAAAATTCGTACTTGCGCATCACTTACAAAACGCGACCCAACACAAAGCCAACGCTATTGACTTGGCAAGAGCCTCGATTTGTGAGCCACGTCTGACGCATTTCCATCATCTTGGATGTATGAGCCACGTCTGACGCATTTCCATCATCTTGGATGTATATCCTGGCATCGCAGCTTTCTTGTGCTTTGTGGAGTGCCCTTCGGCCAGCATATAATGAATAGTGCTGGCTTCCCTTCGGATCTCTTTGTTACATTGGCGTCTGAGTCCACCTTCTCAAATCCAAGTCTCCGATACACTGGCACACCAACGTCGCTGGCTTCTGGCATGGCCAAAACGACCATTTCTGCTCATTATTTTCAGGCCCCTTTGCACCCGCATGGAGGCAGCTCCGAGCTCACGGAATGCTTGACCCGTCATCATGTAGATCATCGCAGTTTATTTGAGATGATGGTGTCTTTGCCAATGTTTGGGTCGGTATGGACGCACTTGAGAGTATTTCGTTGCTGGCGCCATGCGAGGTGTCGTCGGCCAGCGGGTCGATGTTCTCTGGCGTATCTCCAGTCATCTTCACATATCCGAAGCTCCCAAAGTCTGCCATATTGAGCCCCATGAGTCGATTGATATTGTCTTCTCAACACGGCTCGACGCGTAAGTTGTAGGCCATCGTTGTGGCTCGTGTATTATGTGCTTCCATGAGAGCAGGCTGCCGACCACTGATCACCTACCTCTTCGACCTAAGGTCAGCAACTGCCTGCGGGACTTACACCTGCCCATGTCCGGATGAAGTGTGCATTGAGCTGGACGATGCTGTGGAAGAAGCAGAAGCAGAAGCAGAAGCAGATTGCAGATGCAGAAGCCTTGGATGCCGATTTCGGCCACAGACATGTCTATAAATAGAATGCATCTCCAACAACACCAACAACCTACAACAACATTCGCCCTAACTCCTCGACGGCAGTATCATAGCTACCCTTGTACGCTTTTTGCCGTATCCAGCGACCACGTGAATGTTGTAAACTACTCATATAACCCACCTGCATCCCCTCTTGACTCGTCAGCTGAGAACTACGCAGTTTAGTTCCCCCTCCTGCACGTGTTGACGAGCGCCCAGCTACTTGATATATACATATACAGGTACTCTCCTTGCCCCGTCTGCCGAACATTACAGATAGCAACCTACCTTGTCTAGAAACAAACCAAGACATGGCTTCCACCACCCGCGGCAGCAACCCCTACATTCCCGGCCACAAACCCAAGCACATTGCAAATCACACATGGCGAACAGCAGAAAACTCCAGCGCATACGTCCTTCCCACCCTCAAGGAGAAGGTGCTCAAGAACCCCCAAATCCAAGCTCTTGACTGCGCCGCAGGTCCAGGCACCATCACCGCCTCCTTGGCCAAATATTTCCCTCAAGGCCACATTATCGCCACCGATCTCTCGCCCGAGATCGTCGCTCAAGCAGCAGAATATGCGCGAAGCATCGGAGTGACAAATGTGTCTGCTCAAGTTGCTTCTATTTACGACTTGCCCTTCGAGTCTGACAAGTTTGATTTCGTGCACGCGGGGCAGATTCTCTGTCACTTGGATCAGCCTCTGAAAGCTTTGAAGGAGATGATTCGAGTTTGTAAGCCGGGCGGTATCGTAGCGGTGAGGGAATCTGATGTGAGAATGTTCAATGTCTGGCCTGAAGTGAAAGGATTAATGGACACTCTGGAGCTTTGGAAACGTGTCATGGAGGCGAGTGGGGGTTCTTATAATATGGGGGTGCGGTTGTTGAGTTTGGCCTTGGAAGCGGGAATCGAGAGGAGTGCTATTCAGGCGTCGATGGGAACATGGTCCTATAGCACTCCCGAGGAAAGAGAGATCTGGGGCGGAACTATAGCCGTCAGGCTACGAGAGGGTAATATGCGGAATCTCATTGTAGAGCACAAACTCGGCTGGACTCTCGAGCAATTAGACGCAATGGCAGACGATTGGGATAAGTGGATCGAGACGGAGGACGGCTGGTTTGGTGCAATGAATGGCGAGATCATCATTACTAAGCCCTAGATCAACACATTGAAACGAGGCATCATCCATACATGTATCTATTACTTTCCGTTGTTGGATCTGAATCTGGACTTGTTGTTTCCCTTTCAGTACTAAGCTCCATTTCCCTCCTTGTAGGCACCACGACCGGGTTCTGATCCCGCAAGGTGGATATGGCGATTGCAGGAGTACGTACGTTCCGGGCGTCGTGGCACTCGCGTTTTCTAAATCTATGATTCTCGAGGTACTCGCGACCAGTGTCATAGAGGTCGCCAACTGCCACTACGGTCTTCGTGAGGAGAGGAATGGCCATTGGACCATGTGGAGTCTCAAGCTGCTGATGTCGGGATGGCGAACGAATCGGTGTATTTCCAAGGTTGTTATGGAAGGCTCATTGTTTCGCGGTAACGTGTACCGGGGACAAAATGCAGAAGGCTTCCAGGTTTATGGGGTGAAACGCGGCTCCAGTGCCGATAGAGACCAGTCTATGATATGGTGCTGAGGCTGGTCAGCAATTTAAGCTGGCACTGCGTGATTTCGCGAGGAGACAGCTTCGTGCGACTTGCCATACTGCTCGCCGGTCTGCAGTGAATGGAAAATAGCAATCATCCACCATAGGCAGGATCAAGTACCTGAGGTAATACTGTATCTGCCAGTGCGTTGGCAGGGTTGTTGCATCGGACAAAGTCGTGAAGTCGTAGATGTCACAGATGTGCATCCGCCAATCAGAGTCGCTCTTTCCGGCCTTACCCTGCGGGAGTAACCGTCGAGAAGTTCGGAAGGAGCAGCAGAAGAACACCAGTCGCGGCGACAGCGACATCTGCCTCCACTCGATCCCTTCAACCTCGACGTCCGCGATCCTGTAGACCGCCTCAAGTGCTGAGGCACCTACTCCTATACCATGCTTAGCCGGACCGCCGCACGCGCAACACGCGCATTAGCCACTGGCAAGACCGCCGCCAGCAAGACTGCCACCGTACGTTGAGCTCACCCCTACCATTGCTCCGCCACGCACAATCGATGGCTTGCAACCATATGCGGAGGTTACGTGTGATGCTATGGACATACTGCGTAGATGTGGAAGCGTATGCTGATAGACGTGCGATGACAGCGCAACGCCTCCTCGCAAAGCTCTTCCGAATCGGCCGGCTCGAAGTTTTGGACCAACAATGCCCTCCTCGCATCCTCGAGCGCTCTCGCGGCCACGTCCGTAGCATGGTACTTCTACCAATATGGGCGTCCAGCGTACGCCATGACGCCGGCTGAAGAAGGGTGAGTTGCCGATAGACAATGCGAACAGGACCGAGGCGTGGAAACAGGGCAGCGGACTGATAAAAAAGACAGACTGCACGCCACGAAGTACCCATGGGAGCACGAGTCCCTGATCAAGACCTTTGACCACGCCGCCCTCCGCCGTGGATTCCAGGTCTACCGTGAAGTGTGCGCTTCATGCCATTCCTTGAGCCGTATCCCGTACCGCACACTTGTCGGTAACATTATGACTGTCGACGAGGCCAAGGCATTGGCTGAGGAGAACGAGTATGATGGCGAGCCAAACGATGAGGGTGACATTGAGAAGCGCCCTGGAAAGTTGTCGGACTATATCCCCAACCCATATAAGAACGATGAAGCTGGTCGCGCAGCCAACAATGGTGCTCTGCCTCCCGATCTCAGCTTGATCGTCAAGGGCCGTCATGGAGGCTGCAACTACATCTTCTCACTTCTCACTGGATACCCCGAGGAACCACCAGCCGGTGCTGTCGTGCCGGCCGGCTTAAACTTCAACCCATACTTCCCAGGTACTGGTATCGCCATGGCCCGTGTTCTTTACGATGGTCTTGTCGAGTACGAAGATGGAACTCCAGCTACTACTTCCCAAATGGCCAAGGACGTGGTCGAGTTCTTGAACTGGGCCGCTGAGCCTGAGATGGACGAGCGCAAGCGTATGGGCTGGAAGGTCATGGCTATTGGATCCGTACTGTTCGCCATGAGTGTCTGGGTCAAGAGGTACAGCGACCGAGACCTGCGAAGGTTGAAGAATACAGCTGACATGAGTACTACAGATACAAGTGGTCAACGATCAAGACTCGCAAGATCTCCTACACCCCACCTCCGTCAAGCGAGCGTCCAGCACCAGGCTCCATCTTCCGAAGATAGATGTGATATGCTAGAGTGGAGTAGCAGAGGGCAAGAAGATGGACAGTGGCATGTACAGATGTTTTCTAGCGTGCTTCCTTCGTGTAACAAGAGCGTGATCACAATACACACCCAAAACTCGCAGTTTGCTGACAGATTGGATATATGCATCCTCACGTAACTGATCATTCGTCTCCCGAACATTTCGAAAGACATTGCGCCCTCTGAGAAGGAGTTCATCGGTCCAGCCATTGATTGCATGTACTTCCATGAGAGCTCCTTCCCCGATTGAACGTTCGCGCGGAAGTCGCCCAAGTCCACATGATGCAGTGAAGTTCTTCTCTCGGATTACATGTAGGTTCGTACGCCCGGGCCCAGCAAAGCATCCTTTCGTGGCCGCAAAATGCTTGCTTCTCTCCAAGCCTGCAGAGAAAATGCCCGAAATTGTTCTCTCGTCTCTTCCCTCACGTGGAAACCAACGAGCACGATGATGTAAGGCTTCAAGTCCAACTGAAGTCCGTTGAAAAGAAGCTGCTGGGAAAGTATGGCTATCAAATGGGGCGCTGCTGCATCTCAGTCTGCTCATATTCTCGTTTGACAGCGGGAGTGTACAATATCAGCTCACATGTCTATTATTTCCTATTTGATAACTTCTAGCCAAACTGTTCCAATTGATGTGAGATATTACGGTAGTCCACGCTCACAGATGGCATCATCCTCAAGACCTTTCGCGCTCAAGATATAAGCGCCCTATGCTCACTTCTTTTCCTCCTCCACACCAACGCACTTTGAAATCTCGACTCCATCAGGCTCACCCGTCGGCTCAAAAGAATCCACCAACCGACTCTCATACACCAGATTCGGATTCCCAAACGCAACACCCAAATCCTCCTTCTCAATCCTCTTCTTATACTGCTTCGCAGCCCGATCCGCAAACGCTTCAATATCATTCCCCCCTCCATTCGCCGCCTGCTTTGCCTTTTCCCTCTTCTGCTCCACCGAACTCCTCACATACTCCAAATACGGCGGATTACCCGGCTTAATGACATTATCCGCTGCCAGAACGGAGCCGGGAGAAATCAAACCCAAATCCTCGCAGAGTTTCAAATCAGTCGTGTAGGCGGGTTTGTAGTGGTCGAGGAACATGAGGTCGATTTTGCTGAGTTGTCCTGTGGCGTGGAGACGTTTGATGGAGCTGTCACTGCTTCCGATTTCGACTTTGACGATTTCTGAGAGCCCGGCCAGGTGTACCAGAGCCATGATGACTGCGGCGAATTCTGGAGACCGTTCGAGAGAGAAGTAGCGTTTTCCGCCGGATGCTTTGACGGCTGCGCCGAAGAGGATGCAGCTGTAGCCTACGTAGCCTCCGAGCTCGACCTGGGGATTAGAGGTGTTGGGTTAGCATTCATTGTAGCAGATAGTGATTCATGAGCGCATGATGTGAGGGAGTTTTGATGAGGTATTGTACCATCGTTTGAGGCTTGACTTCTGCAATCAGGTCGGTGACGATTTTGCCCTTGTCCTCGCCGACATTCATGAGGTACTTCTTCTCGCGACCGAATTTGTCAATGGCTTGCAGGACTTTGGCGGGGTTTCCGCGTATGGACTCGAGTTCTGGGAGGCCAAAGACATAGTGTAGCAGCTCGACTTCACGGCCGTCGTCGAAGAAGACTTCTTCTTGCTCGGCGTAGGCCTTCTTCTGGTCGAAAGAGGGCATCTTGGCAATTTTCTTGTTGGTCTTCTTGAGCTTGTGATGTTATTCTCGGCACGGGCGCTTCTGGTTGCTTGATGAGATTTGGATGACTGCGATTGATCTGTAGGTACTATACACAAGAGATTCTCAGAAAATCGTGCAGAGTATGGAGCTTTCGCATGCTATGCTGCACTTGTGCAGTCGGCGGTCGGCTTCCTGCTCCACTTCCAAGCTCAAATTGGGGATTCAAGGCGTCATGACCCAAACATACCTACCTTACCTACAGTACATGTATTTCGCGGACTCCTTGAAAACTCACTACGTATCTATCCTAACCATCCTTCGTACATCCGATCCTGCACCGCTACTTAAGCCATCCAGGAGGTAAGGTACATGTAGTACATGATGGTTATTCCGTATAAGCGAAGCGGAAAACTGTGGGTTCAAATAACCCCCTCCTCGTACTTGCCTACCGTAGCCCAGCTCCTGTGCAAACACTCGAAATCTTGAGCTCCCCAACATTCACTCTTGAATCTCAGCTCACATCGGCTGAGGAATGGTGTCTGCGACGGTGGATACTGCTGATATAGGCATTCTAATCAGACAATGTTGATGAGCAGCTCTTTGGCGGGGTCCTCACTACAGAGATGGCGAGCATGATGCTATTCTTGTCGTCCTGCTCCTGCATTTTCTTTCCAGGAGACCACAAAATACTATGATGAGGTCGCTGAGAATTTGGTAGTGACCGGTCCGCCGGAAGCCGGAGGGTGAGCGTCAGGTACAATTCCAGGGGACGAGTCCGGTGTTGGGATCAATATCGGTTCCTGGATCCGCTGCCGAACCATGGGCGGGCACTTTGTCCTGTTCCTGAACTTCCTGGACGATCCTGGCTTTGACACAACCACTGGGTTGGAGTGCGGCATTCTTGAACACACAGAAATGCTATTCACTGTGTCATCAATCTGTTGCTGGCGAAGCATGACGCTCGCCTGACCAGCACTGTACACCTAGGTACGACTGATTTGCCGTAGCATATGCAGGGCCGACAAATGGATTACCGAAGCTGCCGAGACAGCAGAAGGTAAAGTACCTCACCGTAGCGCATGAATCGTCCGTTATCTTGAAACGTTCGAGGTCTCGACTGGATTCTTGGAACAGATTGCAAGTTTCGAACTTCACTTCTGCTCTGCTGTCCTGTGAAACTGGTACTGTTGCGGACAGTGGCGAAGTAGCTCTACCTACTCTCGTTGTTCTGGTAGGTGGTAGCTTCAACAGTTGCTGCAGGGGACGATATCAATTTTGCCATTGGCCGTTGGTGGCTAGATGTTCTCGCCATCGTGCAGACGGCAACTGACTGACTCGTTGACAGATGTCGCCTGAGATCTCATATCGCATTATTGTCGTTGTTGGTGTTGGTGTGCGATAGAGTGGCGAAATATTGGCTTTTCGCGTATGGAAAGAGATCAGCCACAGCCATTCGCTTCCCCTATGACCCCGAATCCCCGTTGTCAAGCAGCACTCTCTCTACCTCCTAGTAGCACACACCGCGGGGCCGCCAATGTTTTAGCGGCAGAGGCCGTGATAGGTCGATTTTCGTCCATACCGTGCTTTGGCGGACGAGGAATTCATCGTCATTTTGTTATCTTGACTGCAGACTGCAGACTGCAGTGTAACAACATCCAGATTTTGAATGCAGGAACGAGGCTTGGCAGGCGTCCTTGTCCCCATGGCCCCTATGGCACCCATGCCGACGGCGCTAGCAAGGAGTAAAATGCAGTGATCAGCAGCATGATAGGCGCGTATCTAAAGGAGTGCTTGAGGGGAGGTAAGGTTGCAAAGGGGCAGCGACTGGGCTTTTCAAAAAAAAAAAATCGCTGGTAGAACTATCAATGAATGATACATAGGTAAGGTAGTACGGTCGTGCCTTGTCCTTGCATTCATGTAACCATAGAACTATCTATATAGGTATGAGGTTGTTGAGACTCCTTCTGTGATGTGTGATGTGATACAGTACATGTAGGAGGGTGTGCGAAGCTTTCGGGCATGTTTAGTCCCAGAGGTGGCTTCATCGCCTCGCTGCCTGTTACGCCCAAAAACCCTAAGCACGATCCAGGGCGCCCACGCTAGAACTAGGGACCATCACTAGTTCAGTGAGTTCACGACTGCGAGCTGCATAGGGATTAGGGAGGGTGGCTTGGCAATTGTTGAATGCGGGCATTCTCGACTAAATACCGACGACGACGGTGCTTGCGCGCCTGCCTTGGATCTGCTTTTCCCTCTCGTTCTGCGTGCGCTGAGTGCTTGCGCGTACTGCCCTGGCCTTCCAACTTCCTCTAACGAGTTTCACCGGCAATTCGTCTTCCTGCAATATAATAATAACACTCGCCAACGCGACAAGCCGACAACCACGGCAAACCGTCCGCAGACCCGGCATAGCCTGTCTTATACCCAGCGGGCAATCACGTCGGACAGGCATTGCCACGAGCTTGTCTCGCATTTTCATCGCTCCACGGCGCGCCATCCCTGCTGCTCAGTCACACAGTGCACGTCCAGCGGCAGAGCACAGCGCCGCGCCGGGGTCTCCAATAGTTCCCATTCTCGTTCTAGCGAGGGCTCCGAGCCATCGCAGTCCAGCAGGAGGAGTCTCAGAAGTGGGAGAAGCACGACACATACACATACACACACATACACACACACACGCACAGGTCACCCGCAGTCGACACCGGCCGTCTCGTTCACATGGCTGCCTGGCGCGGGTCTACATGATCAGGACAAAAGAACGACGACGATCTCCGCAACAGGCGTGCTCACTGCGTGCGAGCATCGCCGGTAGCGCCTGCGGTAACCTGCAGCAGAGCCTGAACGCCAGACGGGCACGAGCATGAGCTCCACGATGACTTCCACGCTCCCGCGCACTGCGCGACCACCGCCGTCAGGGCCACTGCCCGCGCTTCCTGTCTACAAGACGAGGTGCAAATCGACCGACGCGCTGAGCGAGCCTCCCGACTCCAGAAGGACGTCGACCGCCTCCCTGCCCCGCACCAATTCCACGCCCAAACGAACTGCCATCCCTTCTGTGCGCTCCGTCACCACCTCTGGACTGCCCACGCCGGGCAAGACGAAAGCGAATTCTGCTTCTTCTGTGCCGAAGCTGAGAAATACTCCCGAACCGCTGCTCCTCTCACCAGGAGCCTCCGGAAGTGCCCTGCCCAAGACGATACGCAAAACCGCCAGTATTGGCCAATTCCCTTTACCACCAACAGGCACACCACGAGTGACGAGCCTGCCACCAAGCCCGTTGTCTGCAACACAATCTTCAGGGTCGAATGAGCAAGATGGCGTGCCCGCAGTGCCGCTGAGTAGCAAGCAGCGCGATGGATCAAAACACAGAAGTGTCGAGAGTGGCCTGAAGAAGCCCAAGTCGCGGAGCTCAGGATACGGTGTTCGCCCTAAAGCCTCGACCGCTTCACTTGCCGGAGCAGGCTCCCCCAGCTTACTCAACGGCACTGGCGACAGTAAGCTGATATCTAGTGGCCGGAACTTGAGGCACACCGACAGTCTACTGAGTATACCATCGCCTCCAGAGAGTCGCTCGTCATCCGCCAATGGCTCCTATCGAACCGACGCTACCATTATGGAGGACGCTTCTGACGAACTTGGTGATAGAGGTCGAACGCGTCGTACGAGCTCCGCATCCAAGGGCAGGCGCGAATCTGAAGGTGGCAAGGATATGAAAGGCAATGTTCTTGTCAGCGTGCGCGTGCGACCCGATGCGGGCAGCGAGGAGAACAGGCCCGAAGGCGAGTGGATGGTCGACGGCAGACGATCCCTCATTTCGTATCGTGGACGAGAAGGCGGCGACTACCGATACGACAATGTCTTCTCACCCAACGACGGCAATACTAGAGTCTACGATAACGCGGCGAAGCGGCTTGTGCGACGAGTCATGGAGGGCTACCACGGGACCGTTTTTGCATACGGGATGACAGGAACTGGAAAGACTTTCTCGATGCAAGGAACATCAACACAGCCGGGTGTCATTCCGCTTGCCATCACCGATATCTTCTCATACATCCGGGAGAATCCTAGCCGGGAGTTTCTGTTGCGTGTCAGCTATTTGGAAATCTACAACGAGAAAATTTACGATCTTTTGACACAGGCTGCTCCTGGTTTAGCGCAGGAAGAGATCAAGCTTCGAGAGGATAGCAAACGCGGAGTCTATGCTACTCCGCTGAAGGAGGAGATCGTCCAGTCTCCGAATCAGCTACTACGCGTGATCGCACGTGGTGACCTGGCGAGACGGACAGGCAGCACGCAATTCAACGCGAGATCGTCTCGATCGCATGCCGTGGTACAGATCGTGGTGGAATCTCGAGAGCGCACACAGAATCATGGCGGAAATCTCGGCAAAGAGACCAGAAGAACCGATAGGATCATGCCTGGTGGCGTCCTGGTGTCCACTCTGTCCTTGATTGATCTTGCTGGGTCCGAAAAAGCCGCTGAAGACAAAGAGCGGAGAACTGAGGGCGCTCATATCAACAAGTCCTTGCTCACGTTGGGCACGGTCATTGCACGCCTGTCCACCGAAGACGAGAAGGACAAAGATGCTGTGAAGCCTGCAGACCGAGAGAAGGCCACAAAGCATCTCCCTTATCGAGATAGCAAGCTGACCCGGTTACTGCAGGGAGCGCTGTCGGGTAACTCATTAGTTTCGATTCTGTGCACGATCCAGCTCTCATCGGCGAACACAAGTGCAGCGTTGGCCTCCTCGCATACTGGCGAGACTCTCAATACGCTCAAATTTGCGAGCAGAGCCAAAAACAACATCGTCAGTCACGCCAAGAAGAATGAGTCCAACGCCGCTCCTGGCGATCCTAATAGCAGAGCTCTACTCGACCGGTATAGGATCGAGATCCAGGAGCTCCGTACTCAGCTTGCGCAGCAGAACAATATCAAGGAAGAAGCGGAGAAGAAAGAGCTGACTGACGAAGACCGCGAGCTCGAGGAGCAATTGGAGCGCGAGGAGAAGCACAGGCATGAGGAGCAGATGCTCGAAATGCAACTTGCTCGAACAGCCTTGAAGGAGCGCATCAGCCACTTGAATCGTCTCATTCTGTCCTCGAGGTCTATCGGGGTCAACTCCGGGCGATTTTCAGTGAACAGCCTCAATCGTCGGACGAGCGGATTGAGCGCGACGCAATCGGAGTATGGCCGGCCTGTAAGTGTTCGGTCTCCCGATAGCGGGCACCGCGACAGCGCCGTGACGCTCGAGGCAAGCCCAGTGTTAGAAGTGCCTCCTACAGATGCGATCAATAGGGCCATGTCCAGTGGATCCATTACCATGGGTACTATACCTGGCGCGCAGGTGAGTCAGATGGTCGAGGAGGACACACCTGCTCTCACAGAAGATGATGAAGGCGACGATGTCGGAGCACCGGACGATGACGGGAATGATACTGCTAGTTTGCAACAGCAAAATCGCATGTTGCAGGCGGACTTGGTTGATAAGAATCGATACATTGCCACGCTGGAGAAGCGTCTTCTGCAGGCGCGTCGGACTAGCCATAGCAGGGTCAGCATGACATTTGCTGGTCGAGTGGGTGTTCCGGAAGAAGGCAGCATCGAAGCTCTCGTGCGCGAGAAGGATCGTGAGATTGAGGAATTGCGAGCGAAGCTGGACGACCAAATGCGCATGGTGACAGCGCTCCGAAGTGCGCGCAAGCGCGAACTCGTCGATAACAGGAAGAGCCTTCAGACCGCCACCAGCGAGGAGACGGCACGACCGGCGACATCGTACTCGTCCCTCGCGGACAGCGTTCCCGACCTGTCCACATTGCCGTTCAACAGGAACAGTTCCCGCATGTCGAGCATGTCCCGCGTGGCATCGGCAAATGGTCACCGCAGCACGCCCTCCAATGCGAGTCGAGCCAGTTCCAGCGCGGTGAACTTCTCCAAGACGCCCCTTTCTCCCGTCGCCATCCTCAGCCCCACACATTCCTCCAACAACTCTCGCGATAGCAATACCATGATTCATCAGCACAACCAGCTCAAGAATAGCAGACGCAAGAGTGTCGATGAAATGACGCAACTGCTCGATCAAATGATCCAAGACAAAGTGGAGAGCGGGCATCTGGTGCGAGGAGGCGACCGGGGCTCGATTCGAGTCCGGCATGATACGATGATGCAGCAACATGGCAACGAGGTTTTGGAGGACGATGCGAAATGCTGAATTGGTCGTTTTGGTGGATCGAGCTCGGCATTGTTCACGGCTCACGACTGGACCTGCTCATGACGAGCATTCTTTCCCTTTTTGGTGTTTTTTTATTTTCTCCCTTTTGATTCCGACTACACATGCCAGGCTACTGGAATTTGCGCGCACGAGCAAACGAGAGCGATACCCTTCCCACGAGAGAACAGGATTACTTTTTTCTTGTTTTTTTTTTCTTCTTTCCCTTGGTCATTTGTATACATGTATGAGAGTGAAGAACGGCGAAGAGCGGAAATGAAGATGAGGTACCTATCTATTCGGAGGTTTTTGTATCACATGTGATTTGGAAAATCAGGTACCGACCTAAGGTGCGGTAGCTAGCTTCTTGTACAGGGATCAAGCGAAACGGTAGACAGACAGCAACGATGAATGAGTGGCACCAGTGGGCCGTCCATTCCAATTTATCTCGAAATGCTCCTAGACACACTTGCATTGCGCTGTTTGACGAACGAACGAGGTTGTAAGTTTTTCGTTTGTAGAGAAGACGGGTAGATTGGGGAGAGAGTGACGGAGAGATACATGGTACACGTATGCGAGTTCATGTATCCAGGTCATACATTATCTTACTTACCTGAGGTACATGTACTTTTTACCTTTGAGCAAAGGATGATTTGATGATGAGTTACTATTATTGTTTGTGATTACTGATGGATGGCACGTGTTTGTAGGGTTCTCTACTATATGATGACGATGATGACAGAAACACATTACCTAGATACATACATGTACCTAGTAACGATGATGGTGAGTGAGAGAGCACGGCCTCCTGATCTTCGTTTGGTCTGATCGTTTATCGTGTGTGTGTATTTTGTTCTCCCTGGACGATGGATGACGCAAATGGTAGATGAGGATCAACACAAATGTCATTTCACATCTTTTCAAGGGGACAGGATAGATATGTAGGTGGGAGGTAGTGACTGGATGGACAGAAACGGCGTTGGAAGATTGGATTGAATGATTTGATTGGACTTTTATGAATTCTATCGGGAGGAGGAGAAAAAGTGAACAGCCTCGGCATTTCTCCTGGTTCTTGATACATGTAGTCTAGTAGAGGTAAAAAGGTGTTCAGGTTCAGGATCGTTAGCAATGACGCCATGATGCATCGAAATAGTTTCGACTCACGGACTGGCGTGTTTCATGTTGCTCGCTAAGCCTGACTAAGGTGGCTGACTGATGACGGGGAGTTGGTTTGTCGAGATGTGAGTGGTCGAGAGATTGAGAAAGTTGTCGAGCACATGACACTCCATCCTGGACCCTCTCACCGTTCCAGTTCCAGGTAGATGTCATGAATCGATCATCACCGACAAACACCTCCAGCTCTTCTTACACAGTGGGGGGACTTTTTTGGTTTCTCATTCTGCACTTGTCCCTTACTTGTCCCCTTTTTTTATTTTTTTTTATCTTGGTAGCAACATCTTGCACTGCAATTGCCCGTCGTCACTTTTTACTGCACTGGCTCGGTCTCGGTGTCTGTGGGTGTGTGTGCTAACTGTACTACTGCTACCTTAATCGATACGAACTGGAGCTGGCCTCCTGGACACACCACGCACTAAGGACACCGCTCTACAGGACAGGTGCCTACTCCTTCGCCCTCTTTTTCCACCTCGGATCACCCCAAACGTGCTTTTTCGTTCCTCGTACTACTACCCTCATCAGCTCGCTGGGAGAGCTGTGCATCCAGTCTGCCTTCATCTCCTTCCCCCTCTTGGACCTTCCAGGGACAGATCACCCATCGGGATTGCTCGAGCATGCTGGTCGCCTCCGAGAATAGATTGCATTTGTAACTTGCTGCATCGTTTTTACTTGTAGCCTTGATCCTGCACCATTCACCCGCTCGCTCGCTTGAGCCACTTCCACCAAGATGCGCCCTCGTCGGAACACTGTCCTCTCGACCAGCCCGTCCATGTCCTCGGCGGACTCAATCACTTCAAGTCCTATTGCTTCATCCAACGAGAGTATACACGAGAAGACGTTTGATGGCTTCCCGGACTCGCCCACTTTGCCACTGCCGGCAACTACAAAGGAGAACTGGACGAAACCGAGGAGGGACAAGGCCATGGTGGTGAAGACACTGCTGGCAGTGTGTGGGGTGGTGATGTTGTGGCAGTATCTGTCCATGTCCTCCTGGTTGCATTCGCACAACGCATCAGCATCAGCATCAGCATCAGTACGGACGGAATCGCAATCCCGGACGCAAGCAGATATGGAGTGGATTGCTGCCAATGCACTGCCGGACGAACCCACCGCTCTCGTGGTGGCAGATCCTGTGGGAACCTCTCGCTGGACGATTTCCATTCCTCACAACTACACCTTCCCCTTGCCCACGCACTACTACAAGGACATGTGCTCGCAGGGGGATACGATGCGAGCTGGTCTGAGCGTCGATTCGGGATATTCCCATGCTAAGCATTGGTGGCAGCGAAGTGGATACTTTGCCACAGACCCCACATATCTGGACATCAAGGAGGCCGAGGACCTGGGCGCGCTGCCCAAATCGAAGGGGGATAGTTCGAATGTCTGTGAACGCAGTATGACTTTTGTGCTCGATGACAAAGAGGCCAGCTTCGGCAAAACGTTGCTGCTGTTGTGGATGAGCTATGGACTCGCCCAAGAGGAAGGTCGATCGTTCTTCATTGACGACTCCACGTGGGCCTGGGGCAAGTTCTCCGCCTATTTCCGACCACCACCTGCACCGCAATGCGCTCGACCGCCGCCACATCAAATCGTGCCCTGCCCGCACAGTGCGCGACATGTGGCCGTGTCTTCCACAACGGCACGCTGGACTTTTGGCCGATCATTCGAAAAGGAGTTTCGGGCAACGCACAAGCATGGCCTGGCATCTCAGCGTCGCATCTTCGACTTGGCACGAGCAGGCTACAAAGCCCTGTTCGTGCTGACCGGCGAAGACGCACTCTACGCTGCATCGCGCATCGCCAAGCTCCAAGACGACGCCACCGCGCACCACGGCTCTCTCGTGGGCATGCAAATCCGGCGAGGGGATTTACATCCCTTTGAGTACGAGTACAACGGGGACTACCTGCCTCTCGAACGCTACGCCGCCGCCGCACGATCTCTGTTACAGTCCGGTCACGACACTGCCGCCGCCAGCGGTCTCAACGACCCGGAGCACATCGGCTCTCCTTTAGTGCTCGCATCCGACGATCCGCGCATTCTCGACGCCGCAGAACTCCAGCAAGCCGCAGCGCCCTTTACTGTACAAAGAGCGCAAGAGCGAATCCAACTCGCCACCAAAGACGTTCTCGACCAGAGTTCTCCCAAAACTCCCGAACGCGCCCCCGGATCCGCATACGTCAAGCACGTCGACGAAAACACCGGTTGGGAAGGCGGGTTCTTCAGCGGACTTTTCTTCTCTCTCGGTGGAGGTGGCAGTAGTGGCAGTAACCCTGCAGACGATCAACGCATGCAACTTCGCCATTTGGTCGGTCGAGCGTATTTACTCGATTTCGCCGTCCTCGGCGCGAGCGATGGCGTCGTGTGTGCGATTAGTAGTGCTACGTGTCGTGCGGTGGCGGTCATGATGGGGTGGGATGCTGTGCGGGAGGGCAAGTGGTTGAATGTGGATGATAAGAGATCGTGGAGTTGGAATGGCGGGAGATGATAAGAAGATTGTGTGTGTGTTGTGCAGTCACTGTACATGTACTGTACATGTATGCGATATTGTGGACACAAAAGTTGCATATTGGATGATGACTTGAAAGGGAGGCATTGGCATTGGCATTAAGCATTGAGCATAGCGTAGAGCGGCACTTTCATCTAGATACCCACCATTCCCTCTTTTTTGTGAGAACAATGATGAAAGAGAAGAGGAAGAAGAAGTAAGAAGTAAGAAGAGAAAAAAAAAATGAAAAAAAAAAAAGCCAGTTAAAAGCAACATCGCCCGACTTGGGTGATTTTCCTTTTTTCTCTTATTCTGTGTGCTTTTTTCTTTTCAATTTTCATCATCACAGTTCATTCATTTCATTCCTTCTTCCCCCCTCTCCCTCTCCTTCCACCCCTCCCAAATCCCCTTTAACCTCCCACTCGCCCTCCGACTCACACACAACCCCGGATCCACCCTCTGCACGCCCCCTTCCCCACCATCCAACAACCCCAACGCCGCCAACCCCAAATAACTATGATACAAATCCGGCAAATCGCCCGGAAATTTCCCAAAGCCTCCCAACGTCGGATGTTGCGTCTTCTCCAATAGATAGCGTCGAAGTCGGCTGTGGCAGTACAAGTGCGAAGCGTGCATTAAATGGAAACTGGCTCCTGTCCACCACGCGTAGCAGGTGTCGGCGACTTTGTTTGTGCGTCCATTCATGCCTGCGTCGGGTGGCGAGAGGGTCATGAAGCCTGTGTTGGGGAGGAGGGTGGAGCGGTCGGGGCTTTGGTGGAGGGGGTTGGTGGTGGTGGAGGAGGAGGAGGGGATTTGCTGGGAATCTGAGGGGGAAGGGTCGGTTTTGGGTTTTTTGGGCGCGGGAGGTTGGTCCGTGGATGTGGAGGAGGTGGAGGATGGAGCTGGTGCTGGTGCTGGTGCTGGTGCCTCTTCTTCGGAGAATTCGAGTTCTTCTTCAATGTCTTCGAGGTCGGTTTGGCGCTCGACCAGCCAGCGGATGGTTGCGTCGGGGTCGGAAGGTGCTCGGATCGGCGCGTCGTTGTCCACTGTTGTCTTGCCGCTGGTGGGAGTGGCAAGGCGGCCGAGAAAGTTCAATGCGCCCAGAGAGCAGTATTCGTAGCCGGCGTGTGGCTCGTGGTAGGCATAATCTGCAATGCCGCCGTCGTAAGACTATCAGATTGAATCAGCTGAAATGTCTCCCTCAAGCTTGTGAAGGCGATGTTTACTTCAGCCAGTCGAATGCATCGCACAAATCCATCAACATCAATATCTTCCACCGCGACCCCGCCAACCTGAACCGTCCCCGTCTCCTGGCCACGCAGGATATATCGAACCCCCGCCGCGCAATATCCATATCTCGGGTCCATGCCACCATGAATTTCGCCATCGACAAGAGTTTCGCCAAAAGATCCATCTGGTCGTTGCATCTGACGTATCCAGATCAGTGTCTCTTTCCTCCGTACTCTCTCCAGATCATCGCCCGCGGCCAGCAGCGCAGAGAGCGCAAAGAATGTCGCTGGCACATTGGCCGGGTCCCATTTCGCATTCTCCTCATTGCGTAACGGACCAAAATCGGTACCAGGCCACATCCGAAACCCCCCAGCCGGGTGCTGACAATGGTAGATCCAATCAATGTAGTCTTTTTGTTCCTGGGGATTCGTGACTTGTTCGAATGCGTCCAGCAAATCCAAGGCCGAGAGGATGAAAAAGGCGAGATACATGCGATTGCTTTCGTTGCCCGTATAGTGGTGAGGGAGCAATGTCTTGAGACATCGCCGCCAGTATCGGATGTGTCGTGCCTGTAGACGTCCACAATATGAGCCAATAATGTTCACTGCCCCCTCTCTCTCTCCTCCGTTCTCTCTCTTCTTACCTGGTCCAGAACAACGGGTTCTGCCAAATCCATCGTCATGTCGGGCGGGCGGGCCCAGGGGAGGTGGCAAGGCGGGTGAATCAACGGTCAAGGCCACATATCTGGCTACGACCAAACCCAAAAATGTGTATGTGAAATTCCGAAAGAAGTGAAGCAACCCAACTCCAAGACGCCACGCGAAATCGTTTTGTGTCTGTTACGAATACGATGTTTTAAGGTGGTTTTTCTCATCGTCAGCGAAACCGCGGGGAAGTGGGATGCCGACGGAGGGACGGACGGGAAGACGAAAGCTTGTTTTTCTGCTTCTTGAGCGCGCCAAGAGGGCGAATAATTGGACCAACTTTGTCCATTTTCACCCAACCTGCGCCATCATCCATCGCTCCGAGTCCGACTCCACACCTGCCTTGCCACATTGCCACCGTGTGCGAATTGCTGGTGCGACCCCTGGACCCCGGAGATTAAACGGCCATGGCTCCTAGCCGCGCATATGCCTTGGCAGAAATTTACACAACTCAGGTGAAGTCGCCGGACGAAGCTGCTATTCTCGTTGAAGCAGGCGGATTCGCTCCCGCGCGCTGGTTTCTTGAGCAATCCGCTGGAAAAGAATCAGATGACCATCCGCCGAATAACAAGAAGCGCAAGATTCGGCATGTGGAAAATGCACAGCAAGAAAAAGACGAGCAGCAGGAAGCCCCAGAGCTGGTGCCACTCTTCGAGGTGGTCATCGACTTTTATTTTCCAGAGCACATCAGCAACACCACACCCTCACAGGCCGCCATCGACGAGCATGCCGAGTTCACACACATGTCGGGGCAGCCAGTTGTGCCTTATGGTTTTCACACGGACGAGGCCGGTACGAGATTGCAGCTGCGTCGACCACACGGCCGAGATTCGACACTCTTTGTCGAGTCTTCTAATATCTCCCAAGATGTTACCAAACTTCTGATCGACATAGCTTATTCGGGTCAACCACCAGAATTCAGATCGAGTAGGCGTGCAAAGGATCATCCAGCGACCGTGCTGGATTGCACATTGACACGATCTACCGGCATGCTGCACAACGTTTTGCGCTTGAAAGCTTCATTGAGCTGGCGCTCGACGATATCTGCGTTTCCGGCTGGATCGCCAGTGGGGCCAGCGAAAGTCTATGAGGACTACGAAACTCTTGTGAAAGCATTTCCAGATGAGGAACGAGAACATGCTGGCGACATGCAGCCTTTCAGCCCCGAGGATTTCTACGAAAGCGTACACGTACCGAATAAAGACATCGATACCGACGAGAAACACGAGAGTATGCTCGAAAGCGAACTCTATCCATTCCAGAAGCGCGCTTTAACGTGGATGTTGGGACGCGAGGGAGTGTCTCATGCAGGAGAGCCCGGTCATGAATCGTCTCAACCGGGCAGCACGACGCGCCAATTCTACAAACTTGTGGCCGACCTGGATGGTGCGCCATGCTGGGTCAACCACCTCCAAGGCATCATATCTCGTGAAGCGCCGCAGGACGACGGGGTTCTCTCTGGTGGCATGCTGTGCGAAGAGATGGGACTCGGTAAGAGTGTGGAATTGATGGCTTTGATGATTTCCAACGCGCGGTCCAGGAACATAGCCCAACCAGTTCACGACTTGAATTCCAACACCGATGTGACTCCATCACGCGCGACACTGATCGTTGCACCCAGCTCGTTGACATCACAGTGGAAATCAGAATTGACACAACATGCTCCCGCTCTGAAAGTGCAAATTTATGAAGGGGTGCAAGTCGCGAGCAAAAAGGCTCCAGAGCAGAAAATCCTCGAGGCCTTGTGCGAAGACTACGATGTAGTCATCACCACTTACAACATTCTGGCAAAAGAGGTTCATTTTGCTGAAGATCCACCAGATCGGGGCATGCGACATGTAAGACGGTTCGAGCGCAAACGCAGCCCATTGGTGCAGATTCAATGGTGGAGAGTGTGTTTAGATGAAGCTCAGCTGGTCGAGTCTGGAGTCACTTCAGCAGCGCGTGTAGCTTGTCGAATCCCACGGGTCCATTCATGGGCGGTCTCGGGAACTCCACTTCGGAAAGACGTACAGGACCTGCTAGGACTGTTAATATTCTTACGATATCGACCCTTCAGTGATGATGGAAAGCTCTGGCCTCACCTGCTCACCAACCACCGCCACTTATTCCGTGACATCTTCAGCGAGATTGCACTCCGACATACCAAAGCCCACATTCGCGATGAGTTGCATCTTCCTCCACAGAAGCGAGTCGTTGTGACTGTTCCGTTTTCTGTCATCGAGCAGCAGAACTACACCACACTGTTCAATAAGATGTGTGAAGAGGTGGGGCTGAATCAGTACGGCGTACCCAGCTTTGATGATTGGAATCCTGATGATCCTGCAACTGTCGAGACTATGCGCTCCTGGCTTGTCCGGCTACGCCAGACCTGTCTGCATCCTCAAGTCGGTGTGAGAAATCGACAGGGTCTCGGACGTAATAAAGCTCCGCTGCGAACTGTGGCAGAGGTCCTGGAGCTCATGATCGAGCAGAATGGGCTCGCTCTACGGATGGAAGAACGAGCCCGTGCACAGGCGATACTACGGCGGGGCCACATACTGGGCAACAACCGAGAAGATGACCACAGAGCCGAAAAGGCCTGCGAGGTCTATCGCTTAGCAATGTCAGCAAGCGAACAGATGGTGGAGGATGCACGCCAGAAACTGGCTGCTGCAGAAGCGACGGATCCTAGGTCTGCTCTCCTCTCTGACGACAATGGCAGCGAAGACTCGTCGTCTGACTCCATGCCTTTGCTCGGTCGCTTGCGGTCCAACTTGAGGCTCGCGCTGCAATTGATGCATCAGTGCAGTTTCTTTCTGGCAACTGCCCACTACCAGATCAAGACCAACAAGGCCTTGACGGCCGAAGGCTCCGAGAGTTTCCAACAGCTGGAGGCAGAGGAAGCCAGGCTGTACGAAACCGCCAAATTGGCGCGCAAAGAGATCCTCAAGGACACACATCGCAAAGCCGACGCCCTCATGGTCCAAGTAAAAGCAATACCTTCCAAAGGCAATGCGTTCACCAAGCTCAAAGATCTCCCGTCGTTCGGCGGAATCGAGAGCAGACGCATTGCCGAGAAGAGTGACAGCTTGTTTGAAGTCATGCGGGAGTCGGTGGGAATGATTAAAGAGTGGCGCTCAAAGATTGCAGAGTTTCTGTTGCAGCCATTGGTCGACGAAGACCATGGAATCGAGACCACTGGCGATGAATACGAAGACTCCACGAAAGTACAAGAGGAGCTCTATACGTACATCGATGCCTTGAAGGCCATCCATGCGGACCTCAACTTTTTGGTGGCGGGTGAGACTTCCCCCCTGATCGATCACGAGATTAAGACGCAACTCAAAGGCGCCATCTTCAATTTGGACCCAGAAAATGCAGAGACGGAATGGTTCCAGAGCGTCATTGGACGCGAAAAGATCGTAGTCAAACTTTTCAGCAGCAGGATGAAGGTCAGAGACCGACAAAACGAAGTAGGCTCTGTCCGCGGCTTGATACAAGAAGCTCGCACCCTCGAGTCGTCTCTGGACGGAAAGTCTTCAGGCCGCACCGAGACCGAGCTGAGTCTGGTCAAGCAGCACATTACGCATCTGCAGGCCGTACATACTTCCTACAGTAAGGCGGTGACAGCACTGGAGAAGGAAATTGAGCTCTTCAGGAGCGCCCAGAATCAGCGTCTCGACTTCTATCGCCACTTGCAAGAGCTTTCCGACGACGTATCGCCCTACAAAGAGGAGCTTGACGAAGAACTCGACCTCCAGGCTTTCGATCTATCTCTTGCTCGCGAGGAGGAGGCTACGGCGTCTGTAGCACAGCTACACACCAAAACTCGCTTTCTCATCAGTCTGAGAAACGACAGCAGTGGCCAGTCTGGTCCAAGAACTTGCAGTATATGCATTGCCGAATTCGAGCGGGGTGTACTGACTGTGTGCGGACACCATTTTTGCAAGGATTGTCTGGCACATTGGATGTTGCAGCGTCCCAGTTGCCCCATGTGCAAGCATAGGTTGAGCAAAAACGACGTTCACGAGATCACTTTCAAGCCTCGTGAGATGCGAGCCCAGGAAGAGATCCAGTCCGGAGAGTCGTCTACTTCTCGGTCGCCTGACAAGCCTTCATCTGCGCGTCCTCAGCAATCCATTTACACAGATGTTGATTCGAATCTGCTTGAGCAGATCAACAAGATCGATCTGCCTGCATCTTACGGTACCAAGATTGACACGATTGGACGCCACTTGCATTGGATCCGGCAAAATGACCCAGGTACGAAGAGTGTTGTCTTTAGTCAATATCGCGAATTCCTTGATGTTCTCGCTACAGCCCTTTCGGCATTCAAGATCGGATTCGCACGCCTCGGACGAAGTGGGTCAATCGAGAGGTTCCGTAAAGATGCGAGTGTGGAGTGTCTGCTCCTCGACGCGAAGACCGACTCATCAGGGCTGACTCTCGTGAATGCAACCCACGTCTTCATCTGTGAGCCTCTGATTCAGACGGCAGTGGAGTTGCAAGCTATCGCTCGAGTGCACAGAATCGGCCAGACACGCGCCACGACTGTGTGGATGTATTTGATCAATGACACCGTGGAGGAAGCCATCTACGAGATTTCCGTGGCACGTCGCTTGGCACACGTCCAATCACGACAGCAGCAAAGTCGACATGGCCAGAAGAGCAGAGCCGGAACACCCGCGGAACAGCTGACTGAACACGCATTCGATGCTGCAAACTCGGATGAGCTCCAGTCTGCAGCCCTATCGAAGCTCTTGGCCAATGGCAATAGTGGCGGTGAACTGGTCTCGAATGATGATCTGTGGCAGTGCCTCTTCGGCAAAGCTAGTGGCAACAAGATGGTTATCGCTGAGCGGACTGCGAGTCGCCACCTGCGAGCATCTGCCGCAGAAGCGAGAGCGACACTGGCACAGTAGCTATGATAAGCTACATATTATCGGTGAGCTGGATGGAATGAATACTGACAGCATCCGGGAGTACTATGGTCTCAGCCACATGAGAAAAACGGAACGAATGGGAAACTCACCCTCGACATGGAGTGGGAGACAGACATAGGTGAACAGTACACACGTGCATACGATGGAACATGCCTTGGTAATGACGGAGCTCCAAACCGAGCAAGGGGCCACACGCATTCGTAGTACCTCCTACCTCCTAGTGTGAATGTGTAGGAGTATATAAATCAGCTGACTCAGCCACATTCTACCGGGATTGATAGCCCGTTTGCATCCCGTCCCGACTTCGTCACTTCGGACTCCCAGTCTGTTCCATCTTTCCGTTACGCCTCCACAAAGTAAAGATGACTCCCGTCGCGCCTCAGCAGTGATGTCGAACTATCGGAGCATCCTCATTTGTCCTCTCGCCCAGTTAGGAGGTCCGAGACAAGACGTATTTGCACGACAGAGCTCCCATCCTATCTTTGGTGCGAACCTTTCTGGCCTGGGACACGCCTCGACCTCGACTAGGTCAGCACTCCCTTTGGAAATTGGCTTGCTCGTCTTTGCATAGCCTTTCTCCATTGTGATGCTATTTACCTTGGTGCTATGGTTGGCAGACTGCGCTGCTCAGTATATGGCCGGCCATGGTCGCTGTGCAGCAAAAGGTCAACGTCGTGGACGTGAAGAATCCGAATGAGAACCTTTGATACAAGGTCTATCACTTTGTCCAAGCATGTCCGGCTCACATAGATGTAAGTAAGCGGCTTGTGATACTGACCTTTGAATGACCATCAGCACCATTGATTACATTGTGCCGCTTGGGAATATCACATACAAGCACAGCAATCACCTCCAAACTCATCACTTCAACCAAGATGGGTATCCTCTCTCGACTTGCGACTATACTGGACGCTGTGCTGATCACAAGCGCTCTCGGGACTCCCACTGCTGTCATTAGCGATGGTCTGCTCGTTCAGGCTGGGGGCGGCACCGTTGCGACTTTGCCTTTTGTAAACAACAACAATTCTATCATCGTCCAACCTGGAGCTGTCAACGACATCGTGGTCACTAGACAGAATACACTCAACGCTACAGATGATTCGCCGTCGCCGCCCATGTTCTCGCCACAAGCTAATCCTCGCCTTCTGTTGAATCTGGTCAATCAGATCAGGGCTGGTCCGGTCAGTGCTTACATTACCGGCCTGGATCTCCGTGGGCGTTTAGTGTTTGTCCAGAGCAACGGAAAATTCTATTACCCAACTGCAACTCCGGGTCGCAGCAAGCCGCAACAGATCAAAGACGCCAACATTGCGATTCCACTAGGTGCAGTCGGAAGCACTAAGACAGTGACTCTACCAGACTACATCACCTCTGGCCGTGTCTACTTTGGAGTTGGAGCTCTCCACTTCTTCACTGTCTATCCCAGCGGTGCTGCTGGACCTACACTTGTCCAGCCAGCAGCCAACAATCCACGAGACCCTAGTGCCGGTGTCAGGTGGGGGTTCATTGAGCTCACGAACAATGCCGCAGGGTTATATGCCAACCTCAGCAATGTCGACTTTGTAGGTCTTGTGCTTGGTATGGCTGTGAAGACGGGCAGTGGCTCTACACTGCAGGCCAAAGGACTCAAGCCAGGATCTCTGCAGCCAATGTGCGATAACATGAGGAGCGCTGGCGCCAAAGATGGGCAGCCTTGGGGGAAGCTGTGCTTGACAGATCAGAGCGGTCACGCCCTGCGTGTGCTTGCACCACAAGATTATCTGGCGATCAGTGGCTCGCAGAAGTTCAAGGATTACTGGACCAAGTATATCGATCGAGTCATGGCCAGATACACGAAAGAGCCACTCACCATCATCACGCCCAGGAACGGGAACATCACTTGCAGGACAGTCAACAACAACGCCTTGGCCTGCAACGGCGACAACCACGCTTACGGCCCGCCCACCGCCGTAGACATCTTCGGCTGCAACAGTGGACCTTTTCAAGCGTACCCTAATGCCAATTCCATTCACCAGGACGTATACCCGAGAATCTGCGCTGCTTTCAACCGCGCGACTCTCCTGCTCCGTGGCGGCAACGTCCAGCCTTCCCTGCCTGCGTCCAGCTATTACCGATCCGAGCCGAACAATCTCTACGCGAAGCATGTTCATGCACTCTCCGTGGATGGAACTGGCTATGCTTTTCCTTATGATGTATGTACAGTCACGACCCCCCAATACCCAAGCTTGGTCAAGCACACTGGGAATGGAAAGCGAATTCGAATGCTGACGAGGAAAGATAGGATGTGAATCCACAGGGCGGCACTGATCAAGCTGGTCTCTTACATGATCCGAACCCGAAATTGCTGATCATCTATGTAGGAGGTCAGCAGTAGGTATAATGAAATATCTTGACACAGGCGAGCCAGCGCACAATCTGTTCAAGTGAGGGATGATCAGTGTGGAATGATGAAGGAATTAGCAGAGCCGACGAAATCGTTTGTCCGAGACGACTCTATATCGCCCCAGGGCCGGAAAGTCGAATAACGGCATATCGTGCAGGTAGAATCAAGGCACATTCCTATGTCGCAGCTTTTCTCGTGCAGCGTTTCATATCACACTATAGCAACTGCGGATTCCCATTGTGACGGACGTGTGGAAGGCGGGAGAGTCGTCCAGTGACTCCCTACTGTCGTCTGCAATTGGTGAAGTATGCCGCAGTGTAAAAGCAGTGTATGCAGCAAGTGGACAAGTGACTGATGTTGGACTCGGATTGGGCCGGATGGTTGGAGTGTCAACGAGAGGCATGCGGCGACTGCTTCGGCCCGGTGTCGGACAACAGGACATGGATGGGGAACTCGCGATAAACAGCAGACCAGCAGCAGCCCCAGACTCACACGCTCGGAGGCTACACATCAACATGAACGGCCACCATAATAACCACCATTCGCAGCAATGTACGTCGCACCGTCGCCTGTTTGTGATCAGAAGTTCATCCTGCCACCGCTCGGACACTAATGGGATGGTATACCTATACCAATAGTTCCTCGCTTCTCCGCGCAGCCTAACGCGTACGTCTACAACACCACGCCGTATCAGACTCCGTCGCTGCATTATCCCTATTCGACCCCTTCTCTATCCCAGCAGCAGCAGCAGCAGCAGCAGCAGCAGCAGCAACAGCCTCCGCCTTCGTCGTTTTTTCCCTCTCTACAACAAACATCTCCCGCAACTGGCAACCACCACCCACCGGCACCTGCACCCGCCCGACATACTCCACAGTCTGCTCCCAACTTGCGCCAAGTGCACCATAATCGCTCTTCTCCGCTGCCCTCCTCCCCCGGCAATGGACCAGGCGCGCCTCCACCAGAGCGCCATTCGCCGACTTTTGAGGATGACCTCTTGAATGCGCTGCAGAATAGTGGTGAACAGGGACATCGTTCCCACCCCACCAATGACGACGACGAGGATGACGAAGACGGAGACGACGACGACGACGACCAGGATGTCGTCGACGGCGATGAGCCCGTCTACCAGCTGCCTCCTCCCCCAGAAACTCAATATCCAAACGAAGTCGAGCTAGAGAAGGCTATTCACGCCTGGAGTCTCGAGCACGGCTATGAGCTCGTACGGAGAGCCAGCAAGAGAAATGCCAAAGGCCAGCTCTACAAACGATACTACCACTGCAGCAGGCATGGCAGACGGGCCAGTGCGCGGACACCCGATAAAGACAAGGTGCGAATCAATCGGAAAAGTAATCGCATCGGATGTCCCATGTCGCTTGCTGCCGTCAGTGTGAACCCGCATGATCCAAGTGGAAACTGGCAGATCAGACTACGAAAGACACATCACAACCACCCGGCCGTCAACGCCGCAGAGCTCGCTGGTCATCGAAGGAGGGCTCGGCTTGGTGCTGTAGAGAAGGCGGTCGATGGCTTGTTCGCAATCAATACCAGCACACAGGATGTGCTGAAGTTTTTGCAGAGGACGCATGCCGAAGGCTTGTTCAAGAGGACCGATGTGGCCAACATGAAGCTCAAGTGGAAGAAGTATGGCAGTTGCGCGCATCAAGCCGAAGGAGGACAGTCGGAGGTGACTCCGCAGAGCACGCCGACGACCATGCAAAGAGGCATTCCTTCTGCCTGTCGAACGTGCAGAGTGAAGAAGACCAAGTGCGATAGTCAGAGACCGACGTGTGGCACTTGTGTGAAGAGTGGGAGTGCGTGTCAGTATGATCCGCCGGCACGGACTGGACAGCAGCAGCAGCCTCTACCCCCAGCACCACCGAATCGAATCGTCCAACCGCAGAGTACGCCAAGCAACTCTGCACTGAGACGAGAAGCCCAAAGGCAAGCCACAGCTGGAGCTGCGGGCGCAGATTCCATGCAGATTGACTCGACGCCGCTCGACTTCAATCTCTCCAACCAAGTCAACGATGCCAACGCAAACAACACGCCCGGTCAGAAGGCCTCACAAACCGCTCAAACACAACAGATGCTGGCTGCCATCGCCGCCTTCCAGCAAGAACACATCAAACCGACCCGTCTCGAGTTGAGTAGCAGCGCCGTAGAAGTTCTGGCTGCTTCCACATGTGGTAGCGGTGATAGCTACCGATCCGCCATCCCTCATCCCTTCAGCATGTTAGGCGATTGGAAGCAATTTAGAGAGGCATTTGAAAGTGCTGCCGTAAAAGAGAACTGTGTCGACGTTCTCCGCGGTCACAAACGAGAACCCGAAAAGCCCGAACCGGCTGACGGCCAACGCGTGATAGAAGTGGAGGTACACAACGAATACGTCAAGCAATTGGCTATTTTCAAGCGAAGAAATGAGATGTTGAAGCTTGGGTTCCGAGAGACATTGGCACCTGCCTTGTGGTCTCGCCTCAAATCCCTCTCTGATGCGCACGAGATTTGGGTGGCATTGGGCGACATGTGCTGTCCCCGCGGCTCCGACCAGGCATATACACGATTCCGTTCCATTCTCGATGTCACTTTTCAAGCGTGTGGGAACCACTTGGATAATTATATTCAGACGCTGGAATTGATGTGGGGCGAGTTCAACGAAATGGCGCATACGCATGAAAGTCGACGCGCGACCAGCCAGTTGAATATGTCCGCGGCTGAAGTGCTCAAACGCAAGATTGCTGGCAATGGAACGTTTCCGGAAGAGATGCTCTGCTTTTTGTTCTTGAAGAACTTGGGGCCACAGCACCAAGCTTTGGCGACCAACATGTGCAAGAAGAACAATATTGGAGGGTTTGGAACGGGAGAAAGATGTGGGTTCAAGGACTTGTGGACTCAGGTGAAGAAGGCTTTGGAGAGATGAGGTGGCATGATCCGTGCATGAAGGGATGCTAGAAGTACATGTACTAGAACTTTGTACATCCGACCGCTGCCACGAATAACTAGCTGATGATCGTGATCGAACGTCATGCCTCCATTGAAATCTACCTTATGCAGAACTGTGACTTTTACACTCCGTCTCAAGAATTGCAACGTGCAGAAGAGAGAGCTATTCATTGCTGTAATGATTACAAGAGGCATATAACAAAGTAACCCCACAAGAAGTAAGTTATCTAGATAGGGACTGATGAATGAATGCAATGGAACATTTTGTTGAAAATTATCATATCCTCCTGTGAAATTCTTATCTATTGGTTTATCTATCTAATCTATCTATCTAGCGAGTAAGCAAGCAAGCAAATAAGTAAGTAAGTAGCTCGCTGAAGTTGTTGTGCGTGCGTGACGATATATACCTACCTATATATGATATATACTGTCGAATCATAGTGCATCGTTATCATCGTCGTTGTCCTCATCCTTATAATCATCCTCCTCATCATCCTCCTCCTCATCATCCTCTTCGCTAGAGACACAGAGCAGAGCAGAGCCGAGCAGGCCAGGGGCAGGGTCAGGTCAGAATATTACTTTGGGGTTGAATAGATGTTCCCCCTTCCTCTTCACGCCTCCTCACCAACCCTCATTCCCTCATCAACTCTCCCACCCAAGCAAAATCTCTTTCTTCATTCGATCCATCCACTTCATCCACACCAGAATCAGTAGACAAAACCAAACCAGACCATTCCAGTCGAGTTTCGATTCTCTTCAATTAATCCCCCCTCTGTCGTAATCCCACATAAATCCCCACCACCAAAATCGCCAAACATGTAGCTGTTACGATGAAAAAGAAGATCCACCATTTGATTCTTCTTCTTCTTTTTGGAAGAAAGAATTTTCTTCCGGGGGTGACGGATGTTGTTGTCGTCGTCGTTGAGAGTTTGACTGGGCAGTTTGAGGGAGATGCTGTTTTCATTGTTGTTGGTGTTGTTGGCGTTGTCGTTGTGTTGATGGGGAGAGGTGCAGGAGGAGGAGGAGGGGAAAGGCAGGATGAGCTTGTGACATGATGCTCGCTTGCGGTGGGGGGTTGTTGTTGTCGTTGTTGTCGTTGTTGATGTTGTTGTTGTTGAGCTGGTGTTCTTGTTGTTGATGATAAGGAGGAAGAGGAAGAGAGGCTAGATCTCTGATCGGAGTGGGATTCGGTATAGTGGAATTCCAGTGGGAGAGTCTGAGATTCATGCCTGGCGTGTTTGTGATGTTGATGATAGGGCGCGCAGAAGGGCAGAGGAGTAGTCTGGTGGTCCTCGGGCTGGTCGGGAAAGTGGGACATGGGATTGCTCTCTAGGGTTTTCGGCTTGCTGGTGCGGAGGATAATCTATGCGTGGTTGGTGGTTGGTAGTAGTGGAGACGGGAGAAGTTGAGACGCAGGTAAGCGACCGGCAAAGAGGGCAGTGTAGGGTCCAGTCAGGACTGTATATTGGCTTGTTGTGAGAACGAACATAGATGGACTGGATGCGGCGAGATGCTTTGATACCCAATCATGTCGGCTGTGTCCCATTCTACTCACGTGGGACCTTCTGGTCAATATACTAACGTGGTCGGTCCGAGCAACTTGAGTGCTTTGGGGAAATTCTCGAGCCATGGCGAAAGAGATAAATGGTCGCGGCTGCTGTACAATCGTAATTTTTCTTTTTGAGATATAGGCTGAAAGTGCCCCCTGGCAGGTTCGACTACGGATATTCTGTCTGCGTGATCAGCGGAAAGTTCCTGGTGCTAATAGGCTCAAGGTCGGGCCAGCGACCACCAATAATGATCAGCAGGGACAGCATACGAGCATACTGTAGTCCCAATAGCCTATTGTACATGCAAGCTCTCAGGGTGGATGTGAAGCTAGGTGACGAGGCAAAGCACGAGTAGGCTATTCGGGATAATGCCGATTGGAAGGCGGCCGGGATGCAGGGAGTAGAATTGCTCAACTAGAAATCCATCACGTCCATCCACCTCACCCACGCTGGATGGTGGTCGTCACAAGGCGTTGTAGATTCTGCTTCCTCACGTGCTGGCAGAGCTGTGCACATTCGAGCAACCCCACTCTCGCGTCTATCCTCCAATGTGCAATTCCACCATATGGCCGCCATGAGTCCTGTTGGTGCGATGATGACTGTGCTCCAGAAGAGAGGATGCAGAAGTCACACCGACACATGAGTGATTACGCTCTGCACAACTTTGCGTCTCAGCAGTATCGCAGAGTGCTGGCTCCAGCGCTTTTCATAGGAATGCCAGACCGCATTCGATGTTCCGACAACCCTTGTATGCAGGAGGATTTCCATATTCGGGCATTAAAGCATCCCCATCAGTCCCCAGGTTGCTGCAGAGAGGCTAATCAGTACGGCACGCCACGCACCGAGCCCCCATCCGTGCTCTTAGTATCTTTGGATTCCAGTGAGGCCATGTCCGAGCATGAGGCGGCCCGCCGACAGATCTTGCGCTCGGCATGGAGGCTCGACAGCGAGTTCTTCTTCAGGGATGGCGTTGTGATCCAAGATCGGCCACCCGCACGGGAGATCTGTACTTGATGCGATGATGATCCAGATCGTATTGAGTCGCATGGCGAGAGTGCAGAGAAGGGATGGAATAAGAAGGCCAAAGAGAAAGACCAAGCCATCTTGTCGAGCGAAACGGCAACCGGCGTGCCGAGTACACCCCAAGCCGTGCTGTGTGATCTGATCGAACGATACTTTCTGGCGACCCGCATCTTCTGTGATCTGAATGGTCATTATTATATGGTACCTGGACTTACGTGGGTTCTGTCGGCTGGGCTTCGCTCTCCGGAAAACAGCTTACACCTCGAATGCCGGCAGCCGAAGAGCAGGGCGTATACTGACGGTTTAGTAGGTTAGCACAGCTCCATCAGCGGATCTTGGAGCACAGTTCAGGATGTAGTGCCACGAAAGGATAGTATATGAGGTACTACAAGCAGCAACCTGGTTCCTGCGCATTCGAATACTCGGCATGCAGCTTCAGCGGGAGCCTCTAGATCCTCCGGCATAATGATGAAGCCAGAAAGACGGCGAGGCGGTGTCATTGCGAATGGTCCCTGAGGAAGGTCTACGCAAAGCTGCTGCCGGGCAGTGCCAAACTCATGGTCGAGAAGTCCTCGATACATTCCGCCGACGGCAAGACCGCATGCACATGCGCCAAGCAGCGCGCTTGAATGGTATAAAGTCGCCGACTTTGGTCCTTGAGAAGGTGTATATTCGCCCGTGAGAGTCGGATGGCAGCAATGCAGTGCTGGAGCGACAGTACCCGACATTTTCAGGAGTGAAGTTTCTACCCATGGCCCGCTCGTCAGGCGGCACAGTCCCATCGTGTCAGAGGCGGCTGCGGGTCGTGAAGGCACCAAGTTCCATCCGGTAGTGGGCAGTCTTTAACGTACGGCTGGCGCAACAGGTTACCTGACCTTAGGTACCTCCTACAGGATGATGGTCGTCATGATGAAAGTGGTTGCGATGAGTGCACATGCTAAGAGTGCCCAAGGTTCAAGAGCCAAGACTGCGCCATTGCCAAGCCAGCAAGGAATCCAGGTTTCGACAAGAACTGCCACCACGACACCGCCACACCGCCATACACATTCTTCCCCAATGGCGACGGTTGAAATGATGAATCTGGGAGTGGCGTAGGTGGCGTCTCTCGCATCGCCAGATCGAACAACAAAACTGCAAGACTGAGAGAGGAAACTGACCGTTAGCGCCACTTCAAGGCTCGTGCCGCCGACCGAGGCTCTCTCTCTCTCTCCTCGGGGCTGCATTGGGCAATGACGAGGGGCAGCAAGCCACACATAGCGCGTCATGATTGCCGTGAACGGCTGGGGCTGCGCACTTTGTACGTAGCAAGTGCATGTGTGCATCCATGCCAAACACGCGAACGCGCTTTTTTGCTGTTTGTGCCGCTTCCGTATACTTAAGGTATGTAAGGTCAGGTCAGGTAGGTACATGTAGCTACCTCCTACTGTACTCTGCCCTCCCAATTCTCTTCTCTTCTTCCCTACCTACGACCTGTGCTCCATACATGCTTACCTCACCCACAGCTGCACCGACACTGGGTCCCATTGTGATAGTCCACCATCCGACAACATCAAACTACCACTATTGAAAAACATGGATTCTATTCGCTCCATCCAAGCCCGCCAGGTCTACTATGGTGGATACGGCCGCAGACGATACGGCTACAGTCGCTGGAACCATTGGGGACGATGGGTACTCCTGGGAGTCATTCTCCTCGTCGCCCTTGTAGTACTGCTACTCTTCTCGTACGTATCGCCTTCTTCGCCTTCTACTGTATACGAGATGCCAGAGCTGACGTAAAAGCAACAGATGCGTGACAGCACGCCGCCGCCGCAAGATGGGTCGCAAGCCTTTTATGGGCACCGGTACGATTCCATCTAAACAAAAACACGACGACAATATTTGCATACTAACGTACAAGTAGGCTGGGCAGCGCCTAACAATGGAGCTAGCAATGGAGACAGTTACAAGCCTCCTCAGCAGATGCAGCAGCAGGGGAACAATAGCCAATACCCATCTGGACCAGATCAGCAGCCTTACTACGCTGGAGGTGGCGGTGGTCAAGCCAGCGAGTACTACAACAGCAACTCTGCGCCCGCCTACGACGGTGTTGCGCAGCCTGGCACCTACCAGGCTCCCTCATATCCGCCCCCAGCGCAGACCCGCTGAATGTAAATTACGACTGGACGTGACACGACCTGTATGATACACAAATCACCAGAGGATGGCGTTTAACAGTACGCGCGCAGAAGAATGTCCCAGGCAAGGCAACATGGGGATTGAAGCTGCTAGAATTGTAATACTTTGTGGAGGTTGCAAGTTGCAACCGCGTTGCGATGCTAGGAGGTAATTAGGCAACCTTCTATAATGAATCTGATGAATCGGAATCCCAGTGCAATTCATACTATATGTAGTGAACATGGTGCAACACACAGTCCAGCACTTGCACACGTAGTATTCAACCAACAGCTCTATCGGCGGGATGCTGACCTGAGTGAATCCTACACCGGCTCGATGGAGTTTGAAGCAGTAATGATCGTCGCGAAGGTCGACTCCGCCAGAATCCTTCTGCCGTCACCGCGATCCACAACAACCTACCTGCCTTTGCTTTTCAGCTTCCAGTCACACAATACCTGGCAACTGTACCCAGAGCTAGACCAGAACACAAAGAAAAGAAGAACCCCCCGGGAGTCGCAAGCACAGAAGCAGAAGGTCACTCTCAAGACTGTCGAAACATCACCACCCATGGCATCTCCCCATTCAAAGCAGGAAGACCTCTTGATGAGGATGAGGATGATGATGAAGAACCCAACCTATGACGAACCTAACATGAACAAGTCCGTCGAAGAAGAAGGAGAAGAGGGAGAAGAAGGAGAACGAGAACAAGAACCATACCACCTCTTCGACGACGTCCTCGACCTCACATCTGCCAAAACCGCCGACCACGACCTCCAATACCTCACCGCCCTCCGAGCCTCTTTCCCCTCCATGATCGTCACCGCCATTCCCGTTCCCAACATCCCGCTCTTATCCTTTGCTTCTGCAGGTCACGCTCTCGCCGAGCTCGACTTGGAGACGGACTCGTTTGCTTCGTGGCGTGGCTATGTTGGACCTTCTTTACAAGCTCGCAATGGAGGGTTGGCGGAGAGTGTGCATTTTGCAAAGTATGCGTATCGCTGGGCTGGGGAGGGGTTTGTGGTTTATGTGGTGAATCATGTGCAGTATGTGTTGAAGGAGAGGGCTAGAGGGGAACATCCTTTGGGGCCGAGTGGGAAGACGGATGAGTTGATTCGAGCGGTTGGGGGGTGGTTGTTGGATGGGGTGAGTGTGGTTTTTTTCTCTTTCTTTTCTTTCTTCTTCTCTTCTTCTTCTTTTTGGCTTTTTCCTCCAGCATAGTGTTTGCTGACGTGCTGGATTTACACAGGTCGTGTGGGTGTATGATAGATACTGGTACCAGGATAAAAAGCTTTATCAGCAGGTTCAGAAGGCGACATGGGATAAAGTCATTCTGGATGAGGGTATGAAGAAGGAGTTGACCGAGGCTGCGGAGAAGTTCTTCGATAGTAAAGATGTTTATGATGATTTGGGGGTGCCATGGTGAGCAATTGTACCAGCTTTGCACGACGACGAAACGATGGTGCTGATAATCTTCCCTCACAGGAAACGTGGTCTCCTGTTCCACGGTCCACCTGGAAATGGGAAGACCATCAGCATCAAGGCGCTCATGCACACTCTTCTTAATCGCAAGCAGCCCGTTCCGACTCTGTATGTCAAAGCGGCCCCGCTCACATACAACATACAAGAAGTCTTTCGCCAAGCTCGCAATCTAGCACCTTGCATGTTAATCCTAGAGGACATCGAGACCATTGTCACGCCCCAGACCCGTTCCTACTTCTTCAATGAAATGGACGGCATCGAAGATAATAGTGGACTGTTCGTCGTGGGGTCCACAAACTATCTCGAGAAGCTGGACCCCGGTCTCACGAGCAGACCTAGTCGTTTCGACAGAAAGTACCTCTTTCCCTTGCCCAATGAACACGAAAGGATACTGTATTGCCAATGGTGGAGAAGGAAGCTTGCTCACAACTCTGCTATCGAATTCCCAGAGCGACTATGTAAGCCCATGGCCGGCATTACAGATGGCTTCTCGTTTGCCTTTCTGCAGGAATGCTTCGTGGGCAGTATGCTGGCCCTGGCGCATGATTCAGGCGATACTGGTGGCCCTGGGAAAGATGAAGAGGACGATAAAAATCTGGACAAGTATGAGCTTTGGAGAGTATTCAAGAAGCAGGCCGCAGTCTTGCGGAAAGAGATTAGGAATGACTCCGAGGTGGTAACCCAGCCGTCTTTGCCATCTGGCGATGTTTCAGTTCTTGCTTTCGCATCGTCGCAGGTCGCAGTGCCGAGGAGGTCATCCGAGAAGCGGAGAGGCATGCCCGGAACATTCACCGACTCCGCTCTCGTTCCCTCGCTTGCGGCTCCTCAAGGACAGGATTTTTTGGGCATGGCGAGCAATTTGAATGTGCAGGGTGCGCAAGCTGGAACGGCGCGACTGAACACGACTAAGCAGACTGTGATTAATTCGCGGTCCTATGCGATGCAGTAATACCTGTAAGCACCAAAGAACTTGCGTGTTCGTGACATACCTGCGTACCTTACCTTAGTAGACTTGCCAAACCGGGATCTAGAAGATAAAAAAGGTGTCATGATGACAAGAAAAGACGGAAATGTCCTTGGTGGAGAAATGAACGAATATTCGCCGGGGGATGGGCTTGCCGCTAGGAGATTAGATTTGGTGATAACACGGACGGATACGAGAGCTTGGCTGGCTTGGAAAAGGCTTGTACGAAGGCTTGTGCGAGATGGCGTGACATGTGCGCTTGAGGCTGGGTCTGGCCCCCTCCACTGGAGCCTCTGGAGGTACTTCGTCACTGTCAGCTGCGGTGCCAGTGTGAGCTTACGCCATCCCACCAGCCTCCATCTGCGCGCTCCTTCCGAGTGGTCTGCCGTGTTTCTTTCGCCGTATCCATTCTGTCTGTCTGTTCGTCCGTTTTGTGCTGTTGTGTTCACCTCTTGCGTCTGTTGCTGTTCACTGGTGTCTTTCATTTTGGATCTGCATACCTAGTACATGTACCCTCCCACCAATCGCATCAATAATTACACAACAGTACCTTAATCTTCCGAGAGCGAGCAGGCCGATTAGGCCTCTGCTGCGGTTGCCATGTCGCAACGCACCGATGCGCAACAGAACGTGCAGCAGACATCGTCCGAGTCGCATCCCGAAGCCCTCAACGAGAAAACAGTCGACAGCGCGAACCCACAGGCGAACCGCCAGCCGGAAGACACAGAGGCCACGGGCAAGAAAGAGCACGATGGCGGAGAGAAGCAGCAAAGGCAGGAAGAGGACGCTGGCGCAGCACGAGCAGACACAAAGGATAACAAACCAGGTCCTTCGGGTGGCTACGACAGCATTCCCATACCGAAGCGCCCCTCTGGATATACCGTGAAGATGACGTTTCATCGCGCGGAGAACTTGCCCATGGCCGATATCAACGGCTTCTCTTCAGATCCCTACATCTTGGCTCAGCTCAATACCGACACGCCCACGCGCCACAAGGAAGACCCACACCTGCGTTGGCGCTCGAGAACGGTGCGGAAAGATATCACGCCCGAGTGGGAGGAATGTTGGATCGTTGCCAATGTGCCCGCGTCCGGCTTCAAGCTGAAAGTGCGTGTCTACGATGAGGATCCAGCCGATAAGGATGATGTGCTGGGCGCAGTGCACATATCTGTACCGCGTCTCGACGACCAGTGGGAAGGTATCAAGAATGAGGGCTACAAGCTTCTCGCAACCAAAGGCAGTGTCCGTGCATATGCGCTGCAAGCCGTGACTACATGCTTCAGGGAAGACAAGCGGTTCCGTGGCGTGGTCTTTGTGAGCGTCGAGGTACTTGGGCGAACAGCAGAAGACGGCCAGAATGGCAGACTCTACACCATCGGGCCCTGTCGCTGGATCAGACACTACTCGCCCATACTGGGCCGCCTTGCTAACATCAAGGAGCCGGACGACGACTCTCCGCAGCAGTCACAGTCTGGAGGCAAAGAGCAGAAGGGTAAGAAGCAAGTCGAGAGATACAACTTCCAGGCCAATCAGATACAACTACAAGGACCTGTGCCTGCGCAGCTGTATCATCGCTACGTGGAATTCAAGCCATGGGTTTCCAGAATGTTCACATCTTCTGGTCTCTCCGGTGTCATCTTGGGCAAGGCACTGCATCACCAACATGCCCGTGTCTATAACTTTGCTCGCTCGACAGTTCATGGAGACTTTCCAGAAGGTCCCAGTATCGAAATGACAAAGAAGTTCCTCGATTTAGTCCATCACGATCAAGGTGGTCGAATCTTCACCTATGTTCTCACCCTCGATGCACTTTGGAGATTCACCGAAACCGGCAAAGAGTTCAGTATCGACATGTTGTCCAAACATACGATGCACGCAGACGTCTCCATCTATATAGCATTTTCCGGGGAGTTCTTCGTGCGGAGATTGAAACACCCCGACAGACCGCCTCCGCCCGAACCAGCTGAGGAGAGCAGTCAATCTCATCCTCCCGATCATCAAAACAACGAGGAGCACCCTCCGGATAATCTTGAGGATGGACCACCGGACAGCGACCCCCCTCAAGACCCTAAATACTACCAACTAGTCATCGACAACGACTCCGGAACATATCGACCCAACGCAGACTTGCTACCATTACTTAAGAAGTTTCTCGCAAAGCAACTTCCCGGTCTGCACATCCTGACACTCGACTGCAACAAAGACGCGGAGAAACAACAACGAATGAAGAAGGAGCAGAGGGAGAGGAAGAAGCAAGAGGGCAACCAAATTCTCTACACCATGGGATCCGGAAGCGACAGTGTTTCGAGTAGTGATATTGAAGATCTGGATCGAATGGAAGGAGACATGGAAGATGAGGATGCAGTTGCGCATCAGCATGGAGCGTTCAGTCAGGCGACCAAAGACGCCAAGTTGAGGAATAGAGAACGAATGACGAAGATGAAGAATTTGGGTCATAAGAGAGCTGGAGGGACGGAGGGAGGTGAGACAAGTGGTGGTGATGGTCTGGACAATGATGAGGCTTTACAGCATGGGACAAGGAACGCCACAAGTGGTTAATGGATGTGTTTTTGGTTTCGTGTGCAGCGATGTTGATGTGTGTGGATGAGCCAAGCAGTGCCAGTGTTTCGGTCTGCAAGCTTTTTTATGTTCACCTTTACGAGGGAGGAGGAGGAAGAAGAAGAAGAAGAAGAAGAAGAAGAAGAAGAAGGTTATTGCTATTGATTAATTCCCCGGCTTGTACTGCCTAGCGTTAATGATTCCGCTTAGTGTGTGCTACTCGATTCCTCATCAATAAGGTAGTAGTTTTTATTGTATAGAAACGATTTTTTAGTTTTACCTTCAGCTACCTTGGCTAGAAACTGTCCCTCGCGAGCAAGCTCAGTGGACGGGACGTCTTTTTTTTTTATTTCCCTGTTTTTTCTTATTTTCTGCTTCTTCGAAAATGGGACGGACTTGCTCGAGCGTATGTCTAAGGTAGGTAGGTACTGTGGGCAGGTACAGGTACAGGTACACGTACTGCATGTGCCTCTAGATGCAGGAAAGAGATGACGACTGCCTTCCGCTGACTTGATCAAAAGCGTACGTACGCACCTCAGTTTGCATCCTGTTTCATTTTTTTTTTCTTTCTTTTCGCTCCTTCGAAAAAGGACGGACATGCTCGAAGCACACTACCTCCACGATGACGATTAGGTACCTAACCTTGACTTACTCCCTCAGGGACCTTACCTTTAGTACCTTATTGACTCATTGATGGCGAACGTATGCAACTGTGCAGACGTTAGGTGTGTCCGGATAGAGAAACCCTCAATGCTTCACACTACCTGTATCCGATGTAGGACGGGACTTTTTTGAGTAATGCAGTTGTGGCGGTTTTTTTACTATGACATATTTGTTCATTTTATTTCATTTCTCTTTCTCTCTTGCGATCAAAAATTGCGATTACATCATTTAGGTACTGTATGTAGGTTGTCCGTTGTAAGTTGGGCACTTAGGTATTATATCTGATAGTAAAAATGTATTCTAGATGAAACTCCTACCTGCCAATCACAATCACAATAATACCAGACCGGGCAGTACCTATCGGACATTCTTTTTTTTCTCAAAATTGAGCACGTGGGAGGAGACCTCCAGAAAAAAACCCCTCCGAAAAAAGAGGGTCTGTAAACCGTTGGAGGTAAGGTATACATCGGATCCCGAACAATGATTATAATTCATAATTGCTAATATAGCTATGGCAGATATAGGAGGTATGCTATACATGTTGAGCCTCGGAGGTGGGTGGTGGGGTTCCAGGCGGGCGGACGGGCAATTAAGGTATGTGATAGTGGTGGACCGTGGAGAGCTGATTGAGGCTTCCATGTCAGTTCGGGTGCGAGCGAGCGAGCGAGTGAGGGAGTGAGGGTCCTCGTCCTGTCCGTGCCTGGCTGCCTACCTACCTAGGTACCTGAGGCTTATTATTACTTTGTTTTTTCGGATTTCCCGCATGTGCGAGCATTATGATCCTCACCATAATCATCAGACCATGGATGGTTGAGGGCTTATGGAGGGAGTAGAGGGAGAGAGGGAGGCTATGCAAGTTGCATAGTGTTGAAACATTCTTTTGGGGAGAGCGTTGCGTGATGTGTTTGGTGCCGTTGATCGAACTGGTGAGGTGGATTGGTGGAAAGCGGTCAAGGGCCGTATACTGAAACAAACCTTCGGTGTTAAAAACCAACACAATAAGACAACGCAGAGGACTAAACGGTACTACTGTAGGTACATGTGCGTGTATTATGCCTTGAATGTGCTGCTGGTGCTGCTGCTGCCAACAACGGCGGCACAGGTCCGAATGATGATGAGCTGGCTGAGGTAGTTGTTTGGACTGACCTGGATGCCTGCCTGCTTGCCTGCCTGTCTGCTTGCCTGTCTGCCTCCCAGCCCAGGCAGCGGTGTGGGCATGCTACCCGTACAGTAAGGTACAGCACCTGTAGTAATGCTCACTGATTTCGGCAAGTGCTATCACAGGCCTCGAGGTACCTATACGTACGAGATCCTGATATAGAACGAGCAGCATGGACTCTCCGGGAGATCCGTCACGACCGTTGGAGAGCGTACAAGTAGGTACTGACAGTGTACTACCCTCGTAGGTAGAACTACAGATTGCCGATGACTGTCGCAACGCCACAGTCAACGCTTATCGTAGATCTCAGATGGCTTGGCATGTGTTGCGTAGGACCCGTAGGGTAGACATACGTGGACGTGCTTGCGAATGAGATGAGAACAATATGGTTGCCTGTATCAGACTCGGACTTGGTATGAAAACGGCGGCAGTTTGGGGGTTTTTTTGTCAGCTGTGCCAACTTCGGCCGTTGGAGCTAGAAGCATGGAAGTGCTGCAGTAGTATCTTCTACCTCGTTGGAGAGTAGAGAGTGCTGACGATGCAGAGCACGCGTGGGCGGTGCATCATGTGCAGGTCAGGTATCTGGGAACCTGGCCATGTTGTTGTACGTGAGCCTCGCCTCGGGATGTCCATCTCGATCCTGGTCGCGTCATCAAGGAAGCGAGTGGTCATTCTCTATCCTACGAGATACTATCCTACCACATACAGTACTGTAGGTAGGTATACATGTACCTGATTCACTTCTCGTGACTAGACTGGCCACACACGGGTGCAAGCAGACGGCCCATGGAAAGTCCGTCGGATAAGACAATAATGAAAGGTTACGAAAATGGAAAAATAGCCTCCTCCTTCTCGCGCGATATGAGCGGCATAGGTTAATGGCATATGCAACAGAAGCCAGCAAGCGACACGCGCCTGGTTTCCATTGCCATGGCGATCCGGCAACCTTTTTTTCCCATCTCCCACAAATTCGCACCGATGGCGTGACATGACTGGCTGTCGGTGAGCCACAGGACTTGGGACGGACAAAGTAATTCTACCTACCTCCTGGTACAGCAGTACCCTACGTAGCCTGCCGCTCGATCTGCGAGGCCCGCACCGACTGCAACTCTGCAAGCAACAGCAGCACACTGACCATACCAGCAACCCGCAACGGGAAATGCTTGTGGCTGACTTGGGGGCCATGAAACGCGGCCGCGACTCCACTTCTCATGTCGATGGATGCAGGCTCTATCCAAGTTTCGTCCACAGGCGATGGCCTCATCTCCGCCCATAGATTATTAGAACTGGGCACTGCCGCCCTCGTGCTCATCATCCAAGGCAGTGCTGCTGCCGCTATCCTTTAGCACAACTAATACATACATAGTTAATTCTACCACGGCCCAGTGCAGACGGACTGACCGACTTGATACTGCTGTTGTCCTTCGTTGTGTTCCCGTCCCCGTCGAACCACGACCACGACCACGACCACCCAAGCCTTCCCGGACTAGCCCTTGGAACACTGCAACGGCTACAAGCTTCGCAGTGCTGGGCGTGGCTGGACGACCACAACACCCGGTGAAACCTGGACGAACCGATTGCGGCCTGCTCACCCACCCCCGCGAGGGCAGACCAGCAGAAGAAACGCGACTTTCTGTTGCCTGGGGCAATGCACCATAGCTCACACTGATTAATATCAGAACCGACACTCGTTTAAAAAAAATCGTATGTCATTCATGCATCGTCAACGTTGACAATGGACGGGTACAACAACATCAACGACAACGGACGTGAGCTAATGTTCGTTCAAATACAGCCATCCACAACGCCCAACATGCCATTTCACAGGCACAGCAGGCCGAAATTGACCAAAACCCGCAGCAACGACAATACTCCGGTACTTGCTAATACAGACGCATATGTTGCTGCAAATCACTCTCGAACCTCCTTCAGCGACCTGAAGAGCAATGCTCGCTCAACTCTGCCACGGCAGTCAACATTTCCGGAAGACGTTGGAACAGCTGCCGATATGCCACACATAGGCAAGCAGCGCTTGTCCAGGGTCGTGTCATCATCGGCATTGGACGTTGATGCTGGTTTTGGAGCCTCGTCCGCAACGGTTAACAGCCTGGAGTCGAAGAGAGCAACGAACGGGACAAACGGGGAGACACAACGGTCGCCTGGACTGCCGGGGCTACCAGAGAGCTTGAGCAAGATTGACATTGAACAAGCTATCAACCTGCTGCAACAGTTGAAGAAGACTGCATCTCCCGAGGAATTGGTGTCCTTGCACAAAGCACTCCTGCCGACGAGAGATGTCTCCCCCGTGCCTCCGCCTCAGCTGTCGTCGATCGAAGAACATGCAGCCTTCTCCGCTCTTTCTGGCAGAACTAGTTCGGCAAGACCAGCTGGACTTGCAACTCGAGGTAGCTTCCTGGAAGACCCACTGCGTTCACAAGATGAAGTCGCTGCGAAAACCACGAAAGGCAAGGACTCTTCTGCCGAGCAACATGGCGCGTGGTTCCAAGAAACCATGTCAGCTGTTCATGCCAGGACGTTCTCAATTACCAGTACTGGGACAGCTCCAGATTCTTCCTACTCCAGACAAGGCGGTGCTTTTAGCCCAGGCACTTTGCGCGTCACGAATGGACGTCCTGCGTCACCTGAGCCTGCCACAACACTGAAACTAGTAGCTTCAGAGGACAAAAGCAGCCCAAAGGAGGAGATACCGCCGGCGAGGAGATCGGAAGATGCACCTGTCCTGGTCTCTGGCGACGCTTCTCAGGCTACCTCGCAACAACGCCAGCGTCGTCATAGTCAGGACTCGCTTGGCTCGGGAGCATTGCTCTCGCTTGCTCAGCGACGCTCGCAACAATGGGGTCTGCGCACTTCGCGGCCCATTCCGTCACTAACCAGTGTTGTTCAGCCCAAGCCCCAAGGACCACGGCCAGAAACACTGAAGCCAGAGCAACGACAGAAAAGCGAAACCAAAGACGATGCGCTGCCTGCTCGTCGCTCAACTGACATGCCCCGATTCGAGCAAAGATGGAACCAGAGGGCGAAGCATTTGTCCAACGAGTACCTGCTCGACTGTGACATTGTCACAAGTCCATATGTAGAACAGGTGCACGAGTTGCCTTCCCATCGACTCAGCACTGTCAAGGATCTGGACGAGGATGAAGAGGAAGACGACGATGCCTGCGCAAAGGCGCTGCTGAAGCTCACCAGTCGCCCTCCTGCCTTGGAACAGATACAAGATGGGAACGAAGGCGGCGAGAACTCTGAAGAAGCCTCCGCGCCCAACAAGGCGCCGTTCCTCAGGAATTCGCCTCCGGCCTTGCGAAAGCAAGATAGTGGCTACTACTCGGAAGCGTCCAACTCGACACCTAAGCGCACGAGCCCGACTGGCGCCAGCAGAGCAACGACGCTGGAGACGACTCCGGAGAAGTCCCCTGTGCCAGCAATTGACATCAGTACTGCCGCTCCAGTGATACCGGCCTCATCAGCCGCAAATGCTGAAGCCAAAAGTGCTGCGGATCCTCGTAGCAGTTCTACAAGCTTACACAGTCCTCGGAGCGCCACTGCGCAGAAAGATGCACCACCCGTGGAGAGCAAAAGGAAGCTTTCGCCGTTGGCCATATTCCGATCCCGCGCTCGCGATGCGAAGAAGAACCGCGTAGCTGCCAACACGTCTTCTGTCGCTTCTCAGCCATACGAATCGCTCCCGCAGAGTCCTTCTGCTCAATCCTCTCATACCGGAAAGACCTCGATAGAGACGCGACGCAGAACATTGCAGAAGAAGCTTCCTGAGCCTGTTCGTCAGCAGAGAAAAGAGGAGCAAGACAGGGCTCGACAGTCTATGGATGTTTCTCAGGCGACCGTGGGTACGCCAGTGACAGACTCCCCTACGCGCATGCCGGAGCAGCAGTCTACACCCGCGACCCCAACTTCAGCCCAGACCATCATCAAGCACGTTCCTCCAGCCAAGCATAATTCAGATGCGGATGATGAGGGCAGTGTCAGTTCTTCCCCTCACCCTAGTCAGTCCAGCCATCGATCTTCGAGGTCCTGGGGTGGAAGAGGCAAGAGCTTCGGGCGAAGGAGCAGCAAGACCATACCAGAAGAGAGTGTCGAGCAGCCCCCTGTGCCTCCTCTGCCAAGCTCGCTCGAGCGTAAACGTAGTAAAAGTCTCGCAGGGCCTGGGAAAGCGCTTTCTAAGCGTCCAGGCAATCTTGAAAACATGGCGAATGCAAGTTGCATACGAAGTCACAACGAGACCACTGCCGACCCGGTTCATTCCGACTTTCAGTCTGCGGCCAGGGCTCTCGAGACTATTCCGCAAAAAGAGAGCGAAGGCAGCACTATTGCTTCGGTTCCAAGAGGCGTACGTCGGGCCAGCCTGCGAGGCAAGAAGAGCCGTGAGAACATGACGAAGCCAGCCAAGGCAGAAGCAGCAACACCAGCTCAACGAGTGGCGCCAATCCCTGCAAAGAGGTCTGTCCAAGACCTCTATCCGGAGTGGCAGAGCAAACCTGCGTCGGAGGAGTCGTCGCCTGCTGCGCAGGAGGCACAAATCGCAGCAGCGCAGCCACAGATCAGCCTGCGCGGTTTTCCATCTCATAGTATTCCTCCACTACCAGAGCTGCCTACGGACCTGGAATCGATACTCTGCAAGGCCGATCTGATGATGTCCAAGAAAATGAAGAACAGTCCGAAGGCATCGCCCACAGCCCAATCTCGCAGCAGCGCAGAGTCGGGTCGTGATCAGAGCTCGACCAACCTGGCTCCACAGGACCAAGACCTCAGCTTATCGCTTTTCTCACAGACCGTGGTGGGTGAACCGCCTATTGCAGAGGGCCCCAGCGACACCGAGATGCCAGCCGAGGCCGACAGCAAGCCATTGCACCGAAGACAATTCAGCTTCGAGCCTCTGATCAAGCCTCCTCGGGCCGCTGAGACAAAGTCCAAACCTGCATCGCCTACCCACGATGCCCAGCATTCTGGTTGGCCTGGGTGGGAGCACCAATCCGCGAGATGGCATCAACGTCTCTCGGTCATTGGAGGCGCCGCTGAACTTCCAGCAGCTGACGAGATGAGCCCAGTCGACAACACCACACCCACTGCAAACAGTCCGACCTCGCCGTCGATTGTCGTCTCCAGTCATGTGACACCGCCCGCGTCTGAAGAAGCCGCGGATAGTACCAGCACGGCTCACAAACGCCGCAGCACTGTTCAAGTGGTTGGCCATATGCCCCATGACAGTGATTTGGAGAACGAGTCGGCCGTGCCCAGCCTGCGTCGCTCAAATAGCATCGTCTCGACTGCCACGTATGTGACAATGTCGTCCACTGATGGTCGTGCGTCGAGGATTGTGGATCTTTCGAGGAACAGCGCCATCTCTCACACCACGACCACTACCATGACTACCACGGTCTCTTCGCACACATCGCTCTACACGAGCAACAATGGCAGCACTAGCAGCGTGGCCACGGGACGCAACCGCAGTGCGTCGCAAGTCTCACTGACCAATTACATGCCGTACCGTCCTGCCGACTCTGTACAGGCCGAGCGTTCACGGGCACTGAACATGGCTCGTCGATCTTGTCAGGTCATGAAGAGTGATGTGGACAAGATGAGGCTGGGCCGTCAGCCCAGCCGATCCAAGCCCACCTCTCCCAGCGGATTCAACCGCTACGGTGGTGGGCTCGAATTCGGATGGGATCGCCAGGCGGGTCTCGTAGGTAGCGCTGGTACACGGAGCTCTTCGAGCGACAACCTGAGCAGAAAGAGCATCAAGATTAGTGAGGACTATGGTCTGGATCTGACCGACGTACCTGTCTTCTTGCAGCGCAGGACGTGAAAGAGGACGAGAAACACGGTCGTCGGGCAGATGCAGCCTCACAGAGGCAACGATTTTCCTTGTGTGGAATATTATAGCGGTAATCGTGACTTTTACACATGATACCATGAAGGCCCGCGTATATATATGGAGGCCAGCTTTAATGTTGAATGTATACACCAGCTTTCGTTGTTGGATCTCTCTTCCTCGTGCCCACTGCTGCTATGTTTTCCACGTATGGTCGAGCGTCTGTGATACAGCCTTATCAGGAGGTAGGAGATAGGTGAGTAGTACGTTAGCTCACCTGTGTCAGCAGTACCAACCATCACTCTAGGAGGTACCTGAGTAAAGGCAAGGGATATTGTTATGCCGACCCGCTCGTGATCGTTCCCGCCCGCACATTTGCCAAGAAACTAACGAGCAAGGCTCAAATCATGGGGACCCACAGTTGCGAACTTCACCCACTTCACTCAATTTTCGCATTTTTTCGCGCAACCAGCCCAAGGGGCCAGCCAGCCAGCCAGCCAGCCAGAGCACACCCGAGTCGCGCAACGTGCTTCCCACGGTGGCGGCTTTTTTTTTCCCTTTCTCATGACTTACTACATGTACGCTCTTTTACTACTAGTAGTCTCGATCGACGCTGGACGAGACTATCGTGCGCCCGTCCAGAACAGATGCAGCAAAGGACCACTCCGCCCGCGCTCTGTCTCGTCGCCGTATCCGCGCCTCGTCCTCACGCCTCGCTTTCGCCTCCTTTTCCTTCTCCTCCTGTTCCGAGACATGCGGACTGCGAGCGAGGTGTGGTTGCGGGGATGCGATACAGATGCAGCGAGTGGGCCTCCAGGAGCGAGCGCGTCTGTTCATGCTCAGAGGCAGCGTGGCAGCACATGAAGGAAACAGAAATGGTGTGGGGTGCACGGCACAGTAGAGCAACAAGTCGGCAATCGTGTGCGGTAATAAAATATCTCTATCGCTCCCATAGCCTGAGATGCTTGCTGTTGTCCGCTGCCGCGCTGCGTGTGTAATTCCATAGACGTTCTTCGCAAACCGAGACACCCTGTCGCCCGGGTCAACCTAGGATAAATGTGTGGCCATGTCTACTCCGGTCTCATGTTACCCATGCACATTTGGCACGTCGGGAATCATCACCCTTTTTCCGCTTTTGCATACATTTTTCCATCGATCGACTCATCGCGTTCCACTCTCTCTGTGTTTGGAATTCTTCCACCTGGTACTGCTTCACGTCGTCGGCTTCGAGTTCAATCCATTGTCACGCACCAGTGTCGCGAAAATAGTGCTGCCAAGGGCCGGCAAATGTTTACCTGGGTGCTGGGTTCTGGGGGCTGGGAGCCGGAGCACTGACTCCTGACTAGTTCTATCGGTCTCGCCGCAGTTCTCTCAACCCTTTCGCGCTACGCTCCGCAGACCCTGCAGCACTACTAGCGCCCTCACCGATCTGCTAAAGTTTGGTGCATCAGCCAAACTGTCACGTCGAAAAAGGGAGTACGTTTCTTTTCAAACACTCCAGTTTCACACGCCAAGACGTCCGTCCTTCACCGACTGCACTCGAGAGCAAAGGGGCACCGTCTCGCACCTTCTCTGCGAGCTGGCGCAGTTTAGACAAGTGAAGAGACTCTCACTTTTCACAAAAACAACAACAACAACAACAACAACAGCAACAACAACATCCGCAACAAGGACTACGTTGCCATTGCATACCTCATGAGCAGAATGTCAACAATAACAACAACCACAACCACAACCGCCACCGAGCAACCTGCCACCATGGCACCTTCCAAGGACGTCACTGTGGGAGAACTTCGCAAGGCTGTCCCCGATCACTGCTTTCGTGCCTCAGCATTGCGTTCAACAGCACACATCATCGTCGACCTCACCCTGGCTTCCACTCTGGCAGTCATTGGTTATCTCTACATCAACCAGATCGAAACCTCGCCGCTCAGATGGCTGACATGGGCTGCATATGGCTACCTGCAGGGTCTCTTCTTCGTCGGCATCTGGATCTTGGCGCACGAGGGCGGCCATGGAGCCCTCTACTCATCGAATGCTGCCAACAATGCGGCTGGCTTTGTGCTGCACAGTGTCCTGATGGTACCGTACTTTTCCTGGAAATACACCCATGCTCGTCATCACCGCTACCACAACCACATGGAGAAGGACACGGCGTTTGTACCCCACCGTGAAGGCGAGAAGACGTTGGCCAAGAAGGTGGCCGACATGCTCGGTCACACGGAAGATGCACCATTGTACCACCTGGCTCTTCTCATTCTCCACCAGACGTTTGGATGGCAAGCATACATGCTGTCGTATGCCAGTGGCGGCAGCGCATCCACACCAGGGAAGACGAGCTCGTTCATCCTGTGGAACAGCCATTTTAACCCGGAAGCTGGCATCTGGACCAAATCACAACGTCTGGCCATTCTCGCTTCGACCTTTGGCGTGGCCGCAGTGTTCATTGGGCTGTGCATCCTGGGAACGCACATTGGCATGACCAATGTTCTCCTTTTGTACGGAGTCCCATACATGTGGGTTAACAACTGGTTGGGTAAGTGTTGCTCCATTCTCATAATCAACTTTAAGTTGGGTATACTAATGGAAGAAAAAAAACGCAGTGGCGATTACATACCTCCACCACACTCACCCGGACAACCAGCACTTCGAAGCCGATCGATGGAACTACACCGACGGTGCTCTGGAGACTGTCGACCGCCCCTTTGGTTTCATTGGCAAACACATTTTCCACGGCATCATTGACTGCCACGTGGTGCATCACCTCTTTCCGTAAGTTACTACATCTCTCTTCCGCCAGACCCCTCATGATCCCCACCATTGACTTCTTCTTCTTCTTCTTCTCCTTCTTACAATCTCTAGTTCCATCCCCTTCTACCACGCCGAAGAAGCCACCGAAGCCATTCGCCCCATGCTCGGCAACCGCTACAAGCAAGATGCCACTCCCTTTTGGCTGGCTTTGTGGCAAGCGTTTACGACATGTCACGTCGTGAAACCCGCAGAGGGCAAACCGGGTGTGTTGCAGTGGGCGATGAAGTCCGGTCGTGTCAAGACTCAATGATGATGATTGACATGTCTTTTTATCTTGTCTTTTTTTTTCTTAAAAAAATAGAGGGGGTTGGTTGGTGGGGGCGTGTGGGCGTGGGTGGGTTGAAGCGTTCGTGTTCCCACACCAAAAAAAATCTTGTCATCACGTAGTTAGAGGGAAGGGGAGGGGAAGGGGGGGATTTTAGAGTCTACCTATTTCAGGTAGTAGTATAGAATTAGAGGATGAATGAGGGCTCAAGAAATGGGCCAACTCTCTCATACAAGGTTTTATTTCTTTGTCTTCCTTTTTTACTGCATGAGTACCTATATATGTCATGGTCGCTACACTAGGTACATGTAGTCTACCATACCATATTACCCCCCCTCCCCACACATCCCCATCAAAACAACTCACATCCCCCAGGACCATGCGTATAAAACCCATCCAAAATCTCCGCCAGCGTCACATTCGAAACTCCCTCTGCCAATTTCAACCATCGTTGATTATGCTGCTGCCCATCATCATCCATCCACAAATTCGTCCCATTACTTTCCACAATCTTATTATATCCTCCCCCTCCCACATTCCCAAATTCAAACAACTCATCTCCTCCGTTGAGTGGTGAGTTAAGAAAAAGTCCTTTCAACCCCAAAATTCCATACAACGTCGTAATCGGATCCCACGATTCTCGAAGCGTAGAACAGCGACCTACATACCATTCGTACGCTGCTCGAATCGGACTCTCTTTTCCCCCCTTATCCTCCTCCTCCTCATCGCATTTTTTCTGCTTAAGTCCCTTCCCCGAAAAAACCACCCCACCAAGTTCAAACCCCGAAAACGTCACTCGCACATTCGAAGGAAAATTTTCCAAAACAGTTTTTGTCTCCAAGGGAAATTCTCCGAAATTGAATTCCCAACCGGGGCCCGGATAGGTTCCGCCCATGATGATGATTTCTTGGACTTTTTGTTGGACGAGTTCGTACCCAGAAGAAGAGGTGTTGGAGGTGAGGAGAGTAGCGAGGTTTGTGAGGAATCCCAAAGAAATAATCGTGATACTGTTGGGTTCGGGAGTAGATTCTAAGAGTCGTGTATACATTTCCAGGGGAGTTTCCAGCGTGTTGGTTTTCGTTTCGTTGGTATTACTAGTACTACTAGGAATAGTAATATCATCCTCTTCCGTTTGGAGAGTATTGTTGAAATTGGGAAAATGGATGGCGAGTTTCGAGGCGTAATCACTTCGAAGAAAAAAAAAGTCGTCGACGTAGATTTCGTCGGTGAATGGTTGGAGAGCGGAGATGGGGATGTGCGGGTTGTTGTAGTAGGTGTTGATTGCACTGGCCTGGAGAGGAGGAGGCGGAGGTAATGATGAGCGGAAGAATGTGAGAGAGAGAGTGAAGAGGGGATTTCTTCCTGGAAAGGCTACTACAAGTGGTCAAAACTTACTGCTAAGGCGCCATATTTGGATGGAGTGTTGATTGCGATGCCTCGAAGATCACACAGGCCACAGTTGTGGAGGACGTTGGCAATGGCGAGAGCACCGACATCGTCCACGTCGGAGTAGAGGTCTGTGTCGATGATCACGGGGCGGGGGGCTGACCGAGATGTGCCTGTAGCACGTGAAAAGAGGGGCGTAGTGGCCAGAAAGTGAAAAAGGACAGAAGCCAACAACATGTTGTTCCAGTTCAGGAATCAGGTGGTGTGGTCAATAGGATTGATATCCAAATCAGGAACCAACTTCAACTTGTGGTCTGATACGATACTAGTACACCACACGCACACACACACACACAAAGACACATGTCACCTGACGTCACCCGATAAGACCCCCCGTCTTCACATCCATGTCCATATCCACTCTCTTCCCCCGGCCCCGCGTTCCCAAGACTCAAGAGATATACTGATATCGTACCTCAAGTGGTCAAGCATTATAATGCTGACGGGAGCCCACTCCATGTCATGATTGTCATCCATCAAGACAATATTTGCAACGTCAGGCTGTCATCTTCCGCCCGTTGCTGATTCCACTGCCACTACGTCGCCACTCCAACGGCTCGAGGTGCCAATGAGCTCGGCTCACTCACTCAGTCTGAGTAGCTTTCGGCTGGGCTAAACAACGCTACTCCCACTCGAGCGCACAAGTGTCGGAATTGGCAGTGGAATTGACAGCGTCAGGTACAGAATCAGAACCAGGACTGACATTCCAGTCCGTCTGTGCGAGACGATGCGACGGGGCGGGACTTCCTGAAGGGGCAGCCTCTGGAGCCGTGCCTGGCTCCAAGGGAGCACCGCCATGTGGAGAGCTGGTCCTCCTCCGTTTGTGGGCTGTTGTTCCAATCATCGTCGTTTCATGAGATGCTACATCCTAAGTTTGCATGGGCATGAATCCGTCCATGTGGTCGGGAGTAAATTCGGCGTCTTGATCGGTGCCGTCGTGAGTGCCGTTCGCATTGTCGTCTACCCAGCCGTGCTTGATTCGCAGGTTCCAAAAGGTCGTGACGAGCCTGTTGACCACATCCACGCCAATCTGATTCCGCTTCAGGACATGCACGAAGCTGTGCGGCGACCAGTTGCGCTCAATCGAGTCGCCGAGAGGTGCAATGGCTAACGCGAGCATGCATAGCTCGGCCAGATCGGGCTGATCCTGCACCCAAAAGTTCTGCCACCACTGAATCGGCGTCATCTGGTTGCTTGCCATCCAGACCATGTCGTTGGCAAAAGGACCCTGTTTGACGCGCAGCAAAGACAGCATTCCGAGCAACACAGAGGCCTTGGCCATGTTGCCGTTGCAGTACTTGAGCAAAAAGGCCTGCAGGGAGCGGGACTGCGTCTCTTCATTGCTGTCGAGAATGGCAGGACGGCGGTGGCGCTCCTGCGGATCGGCCAGATAGGCAATGAACATCAAGGGCGCATCTACGAGGGCGTGGGTCAGCTGGTGTCTGCTGGGGATCTTGAAGGCGGGCCGCAGCGTGCGGGCAAAGGCACGAAAGGCGGGATGGTCGGTGACGGCGGGATCCAGGCCAGCGGCGTGAATCCACTGGGCACAGGCGGCAGTGGCAATGTCCTGCTCGGTGGGAGACATGGAGCCGATGCCGCGTGTGCGGGCGCGCTGTTGTAGCTGTAGCTCGGCGGCGGAGGGCAGCGTCGGATCGAGGCGGTGCGGCTGGTAAGTGCGCCAAAGGGCCTCGGGCAAATCATTGCAGCGCTGCAGATGTTCAATTACGCGCGCTTTCTCGTTCGACGTCCATTCGGTCATGCAATGTTTGCACGTCACGCGCGGATGGCGTTTCCCCGTCGTCTCGTCCAGAGTGCGCGTGACCTCTTCCCAGCACTCGTCGCGTCCGCGCGGCATCTTCCCTCCTCTCTTCGCCTCCTCGCACCGGTGCCTACTAGGGGTTGGCGAAGATGGATGGGCTCGATCACGTGGCAGCCGCAGAATACCTTAGGCGGCGGGCGGGCGCTGCTGGCTGGCTGTGTACGCTGGACGTGGATTATCGTGTGGATTCAGGTGTTGGAAGTGGTCGACATCACTTTTGGGAGAGGGAACTTGCCGTGTCGGAACGGGCCGAGCCGTGGTTCTGTCTTGTCATGTCACGTGCTGGCGTGTAAGTGAATCCTGCTTCATCACACTAGTGTATTATACCAATTCCGTCTAGTCTCGTATCGCATTGCGGAGGGTGTCTAGTCTAGTCTAATCCTCGATACAGTAATTGTCCTTGAAGATCACCGTCGTCTCCACAGCACTGAATTTCACTTCAAGTTATACTCCTCCTCCAAGGCTCCAACTCCTCGGCAACACTGGAGATGAGGCCGGCAGGGTAGCGATATGAGGAGGGACAGGGGTCTCTCCTTCACCTTCACCACTATAGAAGCCTGCTCGCGGCAGCCTGGCTGTACAATATGGGCTTCTCGCTCTCAATGGCGCTGGCAGGCGTGCTGGCCGTGGTGGGCGCGCTGGGCCTGACCGGCGTTGCGCCGCCCACTGCTGATACCTTGGCAGTGTGCGATTACCTCTACCACACCTATCCACAGTATATGGCCTACGATCCCCTGGGCACCAACGCTCTCCGGACCGTCCACAATGCGGATCTCTGGACTCAGACAAACACCGTCTACTGGAACAACCAGAACTCGTATGCTTTCCGCTCTGCTTGCACCTTTTTTCCCGCCAATGCGGAGCAGGTCTCTGATGTTGTGGTGCAATTGAACCGCTACCCATCGGTCCAGTTCGCCATCAAAGGCGGTGGACACCAGCCGGCACCGGGCTTTAGCTCGACCAACGGCGGAGTTTTGCTGGCTTTTGAGGTCAATCTGGGCTCTGCAACGCGAACCGCGGATGGGAATCACTTTATTGTTGAACCTGGCGGCCGCTGGGGTGATATCTATAAAATCACCGGCGAGACCAACCAGATTGTGGTCGGGGGGCGACTGGCGCATATTGGAACGGGCGGGTTTGTTCTCGGAGGAGGTCTCTCCTACTACTCTGCTCAATATGTAAGTAACAACGCCACTACTACCGCACGAGATGTCATGATGGGCTCAGCTAGGTAGCTATACGGACTGACATATTCCTCTTCTTCCCAGGGCTTGTCGTGTGACAATGTCGACCAATGGGAAGTGGTACTCGCGGACGGCACTGCTGTGAACGCCTCAAGGACCGAGAATCCCGAGCTCTGGTGGGCACTCCGGGGAGGAGGCAACCAGTTCGGCATCGTCACTCGAATGTGGATGCAAGCTCATCCCGAAGGTATCAATGGACAAGTCTGGGGCGGCCTTCGCGCCTACACCCCAGACAAACGACACGCCCTCTTCCGCGCCATCACCAGATTCATCGCCTCCTACCCCGACGCCAAAGCAGCCGTCATTCCCGTCTTCCAATTCGGCCTACCTCTCAATCTCCTCAACGTCGTCACCGGACCCCTCCTATTCATGTTCTACGACGGCCCCCAACCACCACCAGGCATCTTTGACGAATTCGACGCCATCACCCCTCTTCTCGACGACACCCGCACCCAACGCTACGCCAGCCTCTCCGAAACCGCCGGCGGCGCAGCTCTCATCGGATTCGGCAACTCCTTCCGCGAACAAACCTATCCCAACCTCCCAGAATCCCAAATGGTCGATTTCTTCAGCGCATACTACGACGCAACTTACAATTCCACTTTTATCGACGGTCTCGAATCCGGCCTCGACATCCAAATCACCGGCTTCGACCCGCAACCCGTCTCCGTCCGCATCGCACAAGCTTCGCAAGCTCAAGGCGGTAATGCCTTGGGTTTAAACCCGGCTCACGGCGATCGCATCTGGATGGAAAATAATTTCTTGTGGACCAATCCGACTTGTCAGGATCGTTGTCCGGAGTATTCCAAGGAGATTTCGGAGCGCATGTTGGAGTTGCAGCGAGAGCAGTATGGGGAGATTTTACCTACGAATTATGATTACGAGTCTTTGGGGGGTGGTGATGATGTGAGGTGGACGAATTATAATCCGTTGTTTATGAATGATGCCGCGCCGGATCAGGATGTGTATTCGAGTTATGGAGAGGTGAATTTGGAGAGGTTGCGGGCTGCGAAGGAGAGGTATGATCCTATGGGGTTTTTTACGACGAGGCAGGGGGGGTTCAAGTTGCCTGGTTAACTGTCAGACTGTCAGTCTGTCAATGGTGTTCCTTTTTGTTCTTTTTTACGTTAGGTATGTATATTGAACCCAGACAAGAAAGAGAGCAGCATGCATATTGGATAAGGTATTGAAAAAAAAAGTTATGACTTGATCAGAATTCCATATTCATCGTCTAATTGCCCCTCGTACCTCCTACCAATCTGTCCATCTATCCAATCTGTCGTCAATTTCATCTCTTCTCCCTCTTCCCTCCTCCCATCCAACCTCAAAAACTAACCAAGCACCCCTCTTTTCAAATCCCCGAATCCTCCTGCTGATACTCCAACCCCATCTCCTCCCACTCCCGACAAACCTCCCTCGTCTCATCCAACGAACCCATTTTCAAACCTCCCACAATTTCATCTTGCCTTTCAATAATATTCAATGCGAGACCACTTGAGGCGTGCCAGGCTATGTGGCAATGTCTGTTTATCATCATATCAGAATCAGAATCAGATCATATGTTATTTACTCATTCATTCATGCGAAAAAGGATGGATGGGGGGATGGATGGAAAGAGAAAGGACTTACACAAGCCAAATCCCAGGATTATCAAGTTTAAAAGCCAAAGCGAGATAACCTCCTGCGTATAATAGTGCCGTGTCTCGTCGGGTGGGGTTATCGGTGTTCATGACGGGAATGGTACCGTCCCATTCGCGGTCGATTTGGGCGAGGATGACAAAGTCGTGGCCTGTTTTTTTCAAAGAAGAAAAACATCAGTTGGGGTTGGGAGAGAAAGAGAGAGAGAGAGAGAGAGAGAAGTGCTGGTAGATGGGATGGGAAATGGGAAAAAAAGGGGGGAAAGGATTTACCGTGGAGATGAATGGGATGCGCTACAGGCACTCCGATTTTTCCAGGGACGTTGAGAACGTTGTTGGCGGTGATGACGAGGTAGACGAAGCCGTCATTCCAGGCGGGATTGGTATCTTGATAAAATGTATCAGCAAAATATATGCATGTACCCTTTTCAATGGACGAGACGATTTTATCAAGAGTGTATATATAAGGAGAAAAAACTTACAATTGGCTGGTGCGATCTCCTCTGTGAAATAACCAGGGTTTCCCACATTCAGAAGACTCGGATTGGAGTAATTGAGAAACATGGGTTCATCTTTCAACTCCCATCGAAATGCGCCATTCGTGGTCCGATTGTTGAAGCCTGCTTCATAAGTATAATTATCTCGATTGTTGCGCAGGTCGGATGCGTTCCATTGCACGACGGGTCGAAGTAGCTCGGTGGGCTCGTCACGGCATGCTTCGCGATCGTTGCCGGAGATGGTCTCGGGAAAGACGTTGGCTGCTCGGTTCGGAGAGTATTGAATGATACCTGTCTCTTCGTCGCCTTGCGCGACTGTACCACATCCCGTAGCAATGCGGGTTCGGATCCAGTAGTTACACCTGGTAATGTCTCCTCGACAGAGGGGAGATTTCTTTTTGGGTTTGGCAGTCACGATGATTTGATAGCGTTGTCCGATGGCGACAAATACCGAGTCGGTCTTGTAGGGTACGATTGGCACCAAATCAGCCGCAATCACCTCAAAGTCGTGATCGTCAATGGAAAAGATAAACATGGATTCCGAGGATGCATTGATGAGCTGGAGCAGATATCTTTTGCCTTCCTCGAATGTTTGGTTGTACTTGGAGCCTTTGAGGATGGTTTTCACGCCGTTCACAGTCTTGAAACAGCTCGGATCAGGCGTACAGCAGTATTCGGGATTCTCACCCTCGGCAATATCGCATGTGGCCGAGTTGCATGCATCACAACATTTGGGATCGAGAGACGAGCACTTGAATTGGTTGACGCCGCCCAGAAGCAGACCATCGCCCACGGGAATTGCCTTGGCCAGTTCTTGCTTGAACGCAATGGAGCTGTTCTCGTGCACCCAGTCTTGCATCATGATGGGAGTAAATGTCTCGTCCCAGTCGTTGCTACTCGGCCCATAGATGGTCAGAGGTCCAGCAACGCCATCGGAGTACTGCGTTTGGTAGTGGCTATGGTACCACGTATGGCCATATTGCTGAGCATGGAAGCGATATGTGTACGTCTGACCGTATGCGATAGGACACTGTGTCACACCGTTCACACCATCGTGCTGATTGGTGTGCAGCTGTCGAATACCGTGCCAATGAATGGTCGTCCCGAGGTTGGGAATCTTGTTGGTAACATGCACGACAAAGGTATCTCCCCAGCACCCCTCTAAATGTGGTCCTGGATAGGTTCCATTGAAGACCTGGCCCACAGTCTTCAGATAGCCGTCTGGAGCAATGGGCAGGAGGTCCACGTCAAGCCAATACTGCATTTGGTCAGCTAATCGATTGTCAAAAACAGGCTTGTGGCGATGGAACATGCCTCGCGAACTACGCCCACAGGCGTGAAGTCATCGCCGGGAGTATCGTACTTGGTGTGGATGTTGTAATGAGTGTCCTTGCTGTTACTCGGACGCAGCCAGCAGTTACGGTCATGGGCGCCATTGCACGATCGATATCCGGTCATAGAGGGATAGCTACAAGTGAAGTTGGTGCCAGCCACTTTAAACGACGGCCCGGCCAGTGGCGCTGAGACATGGCTGTCAGCGTGGTGCGGAGTGATGCTAAAAGGCTGCTGTCGATTCAAGTCTTGGCTGCCCAGGAAGCTTGAGTAAGTCGCAATATGTAAAAGGGCTTCCCAACAGGAGGTGAAGAGACCCATCGTTCTCGTTGCACCCGGGCGTTTGTATGAGTGAATTTGAGCAAGTTTAGGTGAGCAAGATGAGCAAGATAGCGCGGTCTATAGAAGGGGTTATAGTTCCCGGCTTCGCACTTCGCACCAACCATCTCGCGTATGCATCATCGTCTTTCTCTGCGAAACGCCGCGGCATCCGCAATGAGGTCAGGAGGGTGGCTCGAAATGCCTACCACTGCACTGCCTCCTACCAGTCACAGCGACGCATGCCAGCCGCATGGCAGCTGAAGGATGGGCAATATATCCAGGTCACACACTCGCAGGGGGCATTGATAGGTGCGAATAGCTGACCGCCAACGGGGCCCAGCAGGATTGATGAAGATTGTGCCTGATAAAGCAGAGCAAGAGGCCGCACGAGATCGCAGCTGGTGCTCTCAATCTTCAGGACAGAGGGAAGCAAGACAAGGCTCGATCCATGAGCAACGGAGCATCGTATAGCAAAAATGAGGCGCTCATGCAGACAACCATGCTGCCCAGGTGCTGTTGGAAATGCTTCAAGCTACACAGGTCTGTGGCGTCTCGGTCAGCGCGGAAGGGGGTTACGGACTTTGGATGAGGGCTGAGTCGTGGGATGATTGACGATGGTTCAAATGCCGACATTAGGTTCCATGGAACCTGGTCCAATTGATCCAGGATCGCTGCTCTTTTCCACGATAGCCTGGGGGCATATCTGATATCTCTACTCGCCACATTCACTATATCATCAAACGAAGCGTTCGAAGCTCGTTGATGAGCGGTACGATCAATTGGTGACTCCGGGCTCGTTTGTTGAATGCTACGTGCATATGAGCTGGAAAGCTGAGGTGAGCCATAGTCGCACGGCATGCCGACCAGCATTCTCTCGTATTGCACACCGGAGGAATCCTGTCGCGCGGGCGCACCGAGCCGTGTCTTCTCGTGGTCAGGGCCAGAAATTCGGGTGGGTGGAGGTGGTTGTATTCTGTCGTGATACATTCGGAGCGAGAAGCAGCAGAAGAGGAAGACGAGAAGAGGGACGCGAGAGAGATGTCGGACTTGGCGCGTTGCCTTCGTGCATGATTCGCGTGTTACTGCCTGAGGCTCTCTTCCTTTCCCAACCGCCAAGTTTTCCGCTCCGCTCCGCCCCGCCCCGCTCCCCTAATCCACACAGACTCTCCTATCGGTACATCACCACACTGTACGAGTCCTAGTCTTGGCACCGAGGCGGCGACAATGTCACTCAAGCAAGGGATTCTCCGGCGGAATCTACTCTTATCTACCTACTCTCACCGGTCCACGGACAGGCAGTAAGTGAGCCCTCCCGTATAATGACTCCATGGTAGGTATACATTCTCTTCTCGCCGCGTACCAAGTATACCGCACGCGTTTTTGCTATAAATCTCCATGAATGCGTCCGCCGCTCCCAGAAGCCAGGTGTAGTCTACAATAACCATGCAGGAATGCAGAATCGTGGCACAGCAACATGCGACGCCGTGGCTGCCGAGACCGTATCGCGAGCCGGTCTGTGGCCGCATGCCGCGTGGGACCCATCTCACCGCTGGGACGAGTGAGTGATTTATGAGGACTTCTTCAAGCAGCTCCTTAGCGGTCTTTACGAGTACGACGACTTTGACTATAGATGTTGTATAGTAGTGCTCGTCGACTGAAAGTGCTTGATGATTCTAAGTTCTGTCATCACTGTGAGCTGCTGAAGAGAACTATAAGTCTCCAAATCTTCATTTTTCATGCTTTGTGCCCCCAGGGGAAGGGAGGTCCTTTTTTTTGATTTCAGTAGATGAAGAAAGCTGTCGTCGTAGCTAGAAGTATTGTGTTGTATTGTACATTACTGTAGCAGTAGGTAGCAGCACCAGCAGCAAAGAAGTGAGACGTTTCTTCCATTCATCATTCATCATGGTCAGTGAGTGAGTGAGTTAGTGAGGAGAGGAAGGGAAGGGAAGGGAAGGGAAGGGTTCGATCGAAAAAAATTATCAATCTTTCAATAGCCTGGAAATGTTTTTCTTTTTTCGATTTTTGCAACTTCCAATCGAGCTTCTTTCCTTTCCATCAATTGACCCTCCCACCTCTCTCTCTCTCTCTCGTGGTGTAACAGATAGTCAGGTCAGGTAGTGCCCACTCAGCAGGACATGGTACTTTTTCTGCAGGATCGCTGGAGAAGAAGATTTATAACGTGTGGGATGTATACAACGCTTCGGCTGGTTGTTCGTACATGGTATTTATTTCATTGCTCACATGCAAAGGATTTCTTTTTCCCCCTGATGATGCATGCGTGCTCCTCTTTTGGCGACGAGGGAGCGACTTTCATCTTCTTCTTTTTCTTCTTGGGTATGCCATGCCGCCTTTCTTATCTCGCATTCTTCCTCTCCGCGGCCGCTCTCTTCGCCCGCACCTCTGCTTTCCTCCTTTCACCACCATCGACCTTGTGCCCTCTCCTCTGTTCCCACAAACCTTCACGAGTTTTCAGCACCGCCACGCCCTTCCGTCCTCTGATATACTCCACGCCGGTCCCAGCGATCGTGTTCGATCCAGCGATCTTCATCCCCTTCACCTTCGACACCTGATTCTTCTGCACGATCGGCGACGGAGCCAAGCGATTCAATATCGAAAGCTCCTTCACCTTGCCTTCGTAAATTTCTTTCACAAAATGCGGCCGCATATTCGAGATCACCTTGACATAACCCGCATCCTTCGTCAATGTCGCCGGAGAGTGCTGGCCGCTTTTCCCAACCCGCGTAATCCGCAAATTGCCAACACCCGCATCATTCGTCAATGTCGCCGGAGAAGTAGAGTTTTGCTGCTGCTGCTGCTGCTGCTTCCGGCCGCTTTCTGGAACCTGCACAATCCGCAACTCCGCAGCGACTTGATTCCCAATTTTGGTCGTGTGTTTCACATCTCCCCCGACGCCGTAGATGCCGCGTCTGAAGCGTTCGCGCCACCAGAGGAGATATCTTCGGGCGCGGGGAGGCTCTAAACCGGATTCTTTCAGCTGTTCGGAAGAGAGCGTGAAGAGAGCTTCCCAGCTGGGGATTTTGGCTTCGTGTTTGATCATGTCGCGGCCGATGAGCGTGAGGAATGTTGGGACATCGGGCACGAAAGGTATTGGAGGGGGGATGCGCAGTGAGGGCTTATTTAAGGCGTGGAGGGAGCGGCATTGCGTGCATGCTGGAGTTGCCGCTGTTCGGAGAGAAGTGGGAAGTTGTAGGAGGGCGAGAGGGCGTCTGAGCGCCATGATTGTATTGTCTCCAGGAAGATGAGGAGGGTTGCGAATGGTAACTTGTAGGTATAGGTACCTTAGGAGGTAGGTGAATGACAATGGATGGGCGGTTGCGGCGGACGCGGGAAAGCCTGAGGCACCAAAGATATATATCAACTTCACTTACTTGCCTCCTACTCTCATCTCATCACTAATGATATTATGCCCCGACAACAAACACAAATTCACAATGGCGGCTCCTCGTAGCCTCAAGTCTCCCGCATTGGATGTGCCACCCGAACCACCGTTCAAGCGCCTGAAGCTCACCGACAGCACCAATGGCATTCACAACTCCGCATCGGCACCAGATTCACCCAACTCCACCCCAGCAACAGCAGATCTCGCTGAACAACTCGACGCCGACTTGCGCAATAAATATGTCAAAGGCAGTAAACTCGGGTCCGGTCAATACGCCGATGTCTTCTCGGCCCACGAACGCGATGACCCCAGCAAACTCGTCGCCATCAAAAAGATCAAAGTCGGAGCCGAAGCCAAAGAATTCGGCATTTCCTACGATTCCCTGCGCGAAATCAAATTTCTCCAAGAACTCGACCATCCCAACATCATTAAACTGCACGCCGTCTTCAGCACCAAAGGCCAAAATCTCAATCTTGTTCTCGAACAACTCCCACAAGGGGACCTCTTAAAATTGATCCAAGACACGCAGAATATCAGCTACACCCCCTCGGACATCAAAAGCTGGATGTTAATGCTCCAACGCGCCATTCATTTCTGCCACGCAAACTTCATCTTACACCGCGACATCAAACCCAACAACCTCCTCATCGCCAGCAACGGAGAAATCAAACTCGCCGATTTCGGTCTCGCGCGCAGTTTCGCCGATCCCTATCAACACATGACTTCCCAAACCATCACCATCTGGTATCGTCCTCCCGAACTCTTCTACCAAGCCAAACACTACGGCGGCGCCGTAGACATTTGGAGTTGTGGATGCGTTTTCGCCGAACTGATTGCTCGCGATGTCCTCTTTCGCGCGTGGCCCGAAAGTGAACTCGGCATGATTAAATTAATTTCCGAAAAAGTCGGAACACCGACGGAACAGAATTGGCCTGGAGTGAGTGGTTTACCCGGGTATTTGACTCCAGAACCGATATATCCGCTCAAACCGAAAAGTTATTGGGAAGCGAATTTTCGTGCGATTGGAGAGGTTGGAGTGGATTTGTTGATGGGTATGTTGATGTTGGATCCGAGGAAACGGTTCTCTGCCGAAGGGGTGTTGAGACATCCGTTTTGGACGAGTGAGCCCAGACCGAGTAAGTTGGAGGATTTGCCGAAGAAAGGTGGTGGGGGTCTGGAGCAGATGGGAGAGGATTTGAAGAGGAGAGGAGGGGAGTTGCCGTTGGGGGAGGGAGAGAGGGGGGATAAGGTGGCGAGGAAATTGTTTTGATGGAGTGGTGATTGTTTGGGTTGGAGGGGAGCGTGATGAGGGTATAATAATGAAGTAATGATATCAGCTGCCTCGGGGGCTACACACATCTAAAAAGGCTTATAGAAATCTTCTTCGCACGAGCGTGGTATTGATCATGAGAGCCCCCTTGCTCTGGCGATTTTGTCGCATAGCTCTTACCTCTTGTCTCCGCGAACCTTGATCATATCGCGATTTGACATTTATGCGTAACATCGAGATCTTTGTCCTATCCGCAGCGAGTGAGACCCGAAGTTACGGGAGAGGCCGGCAAAAAGAGCATACATACATACACACAAATGCATGCATTATGAGAGTACATATACATAGAATGAACTTTCATACAATAATTCTTACATCAAAGCGGAGAATCATCCTCCGTTTCCCTCTTTTTTCAAAGCTCCATTTCACGAGGCCCCAACAGCAGCCATTCCCTCTTCGGTACCCTCACCTTCCATGACAGGATCCTCAATCTTCTTCGACTGCCCCATCTCTTCTACCTGCCAACCTCCCTCCTGCAAAAACTTCTTGCCCTCTTTGTTCCCAAAGACTGCAACGTAACTCTCGTTGTCCACTTTTCTCACAAGGCCCTCTGCCGCTGCCACCAAATCCTTTGGTGTCACATCCAAGAGCCATTCTCTCCGCTGCTGTTCCTGTTCATAGGTAATCCCATTCAAGAATCTCGTCATACCCTCCTGACTGACACTGATCGGTGCATCGACTTTTTGGAATACGCTGAGCTTGGCTTCTTGCATGTCTCGATCATTCCACTCTTGTTTGGCTGCCCATCGAAGTGCATTCTTGTAGATAGATAGTGTGTTATCCGGGTTGGGATCACGGTATGAGTACATTCCAAAGGTACCTGTGAGTCCGCTACTGGTAGCTCCACCGCCATAGGCTCCGCCTTTCTCGCGGATCTCGGCGTGAAGATGGCGATGAGTGAGGAGTTGGGATAAGACGGCGATTGCGGCTGTGGGTTGGGACGTGTATGGTCCTGTTGGAACTGTGAGGGCGGAATATGAGACTTGGTAGGGAAGGTTGAAGAGTGTGTTACGGTGAGTCGCGAAGTCGTTGGTCGCCGATGGGAAGAGTCCGGACAAAGATGGGGATGACAGATTCGAGCGAGAGACTGTGCCGAGCCAAGAGTTGAGGGAGGACTCATTGGAGGATGCGGCGTCTGCTCCACATGTGAGGGCTGCTCGCATATTGCCTTCCCGAATGCTGGATACCGCAAGGTACTGAATTGCTTTGAGCTTGTTGATGAGCTCTTTCATCGCCTCAGGGTTCTCTTCTGCGGCCGCGAGGCTGGTTATGAGTTTGACTTGGGTGATGCCGCCAATCTGCTCAGAGATCTTGCCCGCTGGGGAAACCCCTGCTGTTGCGTAGCGCATGGCGTACATGTGGCCTCCCGAAGCGACACCATCAACTGCGCCACTAGCGCCCATCTGCAGCAGTTGTCGGATCATCTTGTGTGCGTTTGGTGAGTCGAAGTCCGTTTCGAGCAGGATGGTCTGGATGAGCTCATACATCGCAGGGACATTCTGATCAAATGCACGGCCACCAATCGAGAAACCTTCTTCTACTCTCTGTGTGTCGTGAGGCGAGGTGCTGGAAAAGTGGCCGAAACTGATGCCTCCCGTCTTGAGCTTCATCTCATCTTCGAGCTGGCCCATTGATTTGTTCTTTGTGCCTATCCGCATCAGACTGTCGCAGAACAGCGGAACCAGCATCCGCAGCTCATCTGGCAGATCTTTGAGGATCGAAAGTGCTCGGAAGTATGTCAGACCGTTGGTAGGTGCCTGATGCCACTGCACCTTGACACCGTTGTACACTGTGCTGTCCTCGAACTGAATCTCCTTGTCTGTTCGGGCGATATCGGAGACCTTCAAGGATGGCAGAGAATCGACAGACTCAGTGTGACCAGCATCCTGCTCCTTGATGAGTTCTAATTCACGCTCGCGAAGCTGCTTGTGGGCTTCTTCCTCACTCGGATAGCTCTTGATGGCCTCGTCGATCTTGCTCTTAAGTCTAGACGCCTCCTCGGCAGCAATATCTGCGGAGTAGGTCGTGCTTGGCGTCATAGTGAACGTGAGGGTCTTGTCCGTGAGAAGGTACTTCTTAAGCAGTCCCTCCAGATAACCTCCCTTGGCATAATTTGCCTTGAATGCGTCGACGACTTTGTTATATTGAAGCGACTCAAACGGATCTACCCCATTGAACCATCCAGGATTCAGTCGCGAGACAATTCCCATACCGAACGCCGCTTTCTTGTGCTTGAGGCCAAGCTCGAGCTGATGTAAGATTCCATCGACTTTCTGCTTCTCCAGTCCTTTGGCAATACTCTCCTCGATGGTCTGATAGATGACGTCCTTGATTTTGGGCAGGTTCTCCTCTGAGACGCCGTTGAGGCCTAGTGAGAAGATGGACTTGCTGCCGAGAGGCATATAGCCTGTGTTCATCGAGAAATCCGTGCCCAAACCAGACTCAATCAAAGATTGGTACAGAGGCGAGCCATAGCCGTCCATGAGCAGATTCGTCGCAATCTGGAGACCAAACGACTCCACCTGATCCGTTCTTTCTGTAGCTATCCAGCTCAAAGACGTCTTGTACTGCGCATTCGGCGGGGTCAAAGGATCGATGGGACCCTTCACAGTGACGTGGAGCGGCTCCTCTATCGCGATGGGAGATTTCACCTCCTTGTCCACTGCTCTCTGGTTGAACCGTGACAGCTGTTCGCCCAAAAATTGCAAATGCTCTTCCACTGATTGGTCGCCGTATGTCAGTATCTTGCTGTTGCTCGGGTGGTAGTGTTCTTCGTGGAATGTTTTCAGTCCTTCGTAGGTCAAGTCGGTAATCTTCTGAGGATCACCTCCGCTGTTATTGATGGAGGGCATGATGTGCTCCATGAAGCGCGAGTAGAACAGATAGGTGGCGTCTGACATTTGTCCCTTCATTTCATTGTACACGACACCCTTGAATACCAAGTCGCTTCCCTTGTCGTCTTCCGCAGGTGCTTTGGGATTCTCTGGTCCCACTCTCCATCCTTCTTGCAAAAAGTCTGTTCTCTTCAGCAGTGGGTGCAGGGTGGCGTCCAAATATACGCCCATTAGGTTCTTGTAATCCTGGATATTAGTAGTCGCGAAAGGATAGTAGGTGTAGCTAGAACTGGTCATGGCATTCATGAAATTTTGCAAAGATCGGGGGAGCATCTTGAAGAAAGGATCGCGAACAGGATACCTACCAGTCTATCAGCCTACATGTCACCGCCGATATTCTGTTGTACTCTGCTACACGCACTTCTCCGACCCGCAGAGGGTAACATGTTCGAGGATATGAGGCACTCCAGTGGCGTCGGGCGGATTTGTCTTGAATCCGATGCTGAAAACATTGTTGGTATCATCTCTTGCAATGTGCAGGTATTCGGCACCCGTTTTATTGTGGGTGAACTGGAGAGCGGACAATTCTAGCTCAGGCACATTCTCCTTGCGCTGGAGAGTGAAGCCATGCAGGCTGTCTCCCGTCTTTGGGTACTGTTGGAGGTCGGTGACAGAGGCGTATGTTCTGCGGACAGGCGTGGTTTGCAATCGGTGGTATGGAGCGACGACTCGCGGGGACCGCGCTGTCCTGCGCAGTGCACTCAACATTGGTATACAGAGCACAGTGCGATGCAGCAGAGGCAGTGAAGATGATGTCGGGACAAAAGAAGAAGTTCAGGTGGTGTTCCAATAGACCAGATGGATGACATGGCCGATGTGCTCTGATTGGTCATGGTCAACGGCCTGGCGGCCTCACTTTGCACATTGCCCGTTTCCGTGCAGAAGATTAGATGCGGTACTACCTAATACAATCCATATCGCCACCGCCAGCAGCTGTGTACCGGACCGCTGTATAGAGTCGTCGACGCGTGCACCCAGACCGAGGAGACAGAGACGGAGACTGGAGAAGGTGGCGAGGCAGAGGAAAGGCAACAAAAGGGGACGGAAGGGTTTTGGAAGCGTAGACGGCGTGCATCTCCCTGGTCACGCGCAGATTACCTTACTCCACTTTACTCCATTTCTCGCCGCCATTGCTGTCAGCCTTCCAGAAGACGAGAGAAGGGAAGACAGAGGCAAAAGGAAGAAGAGAAGAAAAGAAGGAGAAGCGGGAAAGAAACGAGAGCAAGAGCTAGCGAGAGAGCAAGTGAGAGTGAATTGAGAGGGAGGGTGAAAGAGAGGGAGCAAGAAACAGCTAGAGAGAAGAGAGACTGGAGGCAGACAAAGGGAAAAAGAGACAGAGAAGAGAGAGAAACACACACAGAGAGAGAGAGATTGACAGTGAGAGTGAGAGAGAGGAAGGAGAACCACGAGGCTGATGCAGCTAGCCGAGACTCTGCAATCTCTGCCGTGAGTCTCTCCGGCGGCGAATGGCTAGCACTCTGAACACGGCGCAAATACTGGCGCAAAAGAAGAAAACGGACAAGTACGAGGCTGCGCGCACTGGCGCCCGCAACTCCAAGGACTCCGTCGTCGAGACTTACACCAAGGGCGAGCGCTTTATCAAGTATCAGGAATCCGTGATGAATGCTGTCGCCCAGCAACAGCACCAGGCCCAACCCGCTCCGCAGTCCGCCCACCGCAGCTCCCCCTCCATTCCCCATGACTTTGCGCGCGACGCTCCTGTCTCCGCGACCGCCGATAGCACCTTCGCCACTCCTCCGCCGCCTCCAGCAGCTGCGCCTCTACCGGCAGGAAAGGGCAAGGCCAAGGGCAAAAAGGGCAGTCTCAGCTCCGCCAATCCCTCCGACGCGCATGCCGCGCTGCTTTCTAAGATCTCGCAGCTCGAATCGACCAACGCCGAGGACGCACACCAAAATGCTGAGATCGAGGCAGAGGTGAAGAAGGCGAACCGGGATCTATCTCAGCTGCTCAACACTATGGAACCACATCACAGCAAAATGGACATCTTACAGAAGAAGTACAGCGACTTGCTAGCGGAGATGAAGAGGACGGAGCGCGAGCACGTGAAGGCCAAGAAGCGCGGAGATCAGCTGCAAAAAGAGAAGGAAGAGGTCGGAAAGGAACGAACGCGCGAACGAGGGCTGAAGGAAAAGTTGGAGAAGCTCAGTCGCGAGTTGACGCGTGAAAACAAGAAGCTCAAAGACGACTTTCGAGAGCTGAAAGAAAACGCTGCCAACAGGAATGATGAGCTGCATCGGAAGCTGGAGAACCTGGTCATAGACGTGGAAGAAGTGGTGTGCGAAAAACGCTCGCCCGAACGGCAGGCCGCCGAACTGGAGCAGGATAGGTTGTTCCGCGAGAAGTTCACTTCATTCCTGCACCAGTACGAGCTGCGAGAGCTGCACTTTCAGTCGTTACTGCGTGTCAAAGAGCTGGAAATCCAATATCAGATCGCGCGGCATGATCAGCTGAAGAAGGCACAAGAAAGCGAGTTGAGCAAAAGCCACCAACTCACACGACAAGTCAGCACATTCAGCCAAACGGAGAATGAACTGCGCGGCCAATTGAACGTCTACGTGGAGAAGTTCAAGCAGGTATGTCAAGACTTCTACCACCATCAACACGCAAAAGTGCGTTATCGTCCCCTTGCTGTCCAGCGTTGCTCCTTCCGTGAATCGCTAAGAAAACATGGTATGGTTGTTGCTTGGTAACTGACTGACCCCAAAGCAGGTAGAAGACACCTTGAACAACTCGAATGATCTTTTCCTCACGTTTCGCAAGGAAATGGAGGAAATGTCCAAAAAGACGAAGCGGCTCGAGAAGGAGAACCTCAATTTGACGAGAAAGCAAGAAGCCACGAACAAGAACATCTTCCAAATGGCCGAGGAGCGCTCGCAGTCTCAACAAACCATCGACCGACTCACACGGGAGAACGAGAAGCTTAAGAAGCTGTGCCGAGCAATGCAGACGGGCGGCTACGGTAATGCACAACAAATGGCGCAGCAGGGAGCTCACGTGGGCCAAGGCGCCGACGAATTCGATGAAGGGATCGATGGCGAGACCGAAAGCGAGTATGAAGACGATGAGGAGTACGACGAGGACGAGGGCGAATACGACGACGATACCGAAGAAGAGCCCGAGGACGAACAGACTCGGGTATATGGACCTCCACCTCCTCCGCCACCACAGACGGAGGTCATCAAACCCAATGGACAGATCCATCGAGTCACAGAGGGTGAACAGCGGGCGATGATGGCTCCCGCACATCGTGCGGCACTCGATGCGCAGGCTAAACAGGCTGTTCAGGTTAATGGGAATGGACAGAGGCACTGATCACGCTTGATCAACTCTGTGTGCGATACCTGCTTGGTCGCGCAGCGATCCATTCTTTGCTGTACAACATACACACATTCTTTGCGATTGCGGGGAGTGTCACTGCGGGCATGTCAAGCTCAATTCTCTGATTGAAAACCGACCATGTACAAATCATCAACAACAAACCATCATTTCCCACCCCACTGCACTTTCCTATCCCATCGCATGTCACATGCCCTTCACTCATCTTCTACCTCTTTCCCTCTCTTTCTCTCTCTTTCTCTCTCTCTCTCTCTCTCTCTCTCTCTCTCTCT